CGGGGATGGAGACCTTTGAGCCGCCGCCGAGGCCGCCGGCCCCCGCGGCCGCGGCAAGGAGTGAGAGTCGGGGAAGTGGCCGCTTCAGTCGGTTGAGCACCCGCCGCGAGGACAGGAAGAAGCGCCGGCCGATGGAGGAGTTTGAGCTGGACCTGGAGAGCCAGGATGGCAGCTTGACCAAGGGCGGGCGGGCGAGGAGCAGGAGGAGAAAGAGGAGGGCCAAGGAAGAGGAGGACAAGCTGCCGTTTTTGCTGCGCGCGGGCATAAGAGTCGCCAAGGGCGTGTTCAAGTGCGTCATCTGGGTGTTGACGGCGCTGTTCCGCGTACTTTTTAGCTGCGTGCGGTCCAAGTATTAGGAGGAGGGGGTTCATGATGAAATGATTATGTTTTGGCTATTTCTTTTTAAATTGATTAGGCAGGGCGCTTGGGAAACAGCAATTTGGCGAGTCTTTTCTTCTAAGGTGGTATTTTGTCTGATTTTGCAATGGTGGTCATGTCGTTTAAATATCACATTTTCTCTCATTATTCCTATGTGACTGGTAGCCAAAACGCCGCTAAGCATGCTTTGAATAAATGCAACGTACAATATACCCACGATCGCGCGGTCTACCGCTTACGCGTACGCACCATGAGCTTTTTCCCCCGCCTTGTCCTGCCACCGGACGTTGCCGTCTTGGCCATCTTTGCGCGTTGCTCCTCGAGGGCCTGCTCTGCGTCCGTCAGGACCGTGAACTTTTTCCGCGCATTTTCAAGCTGCCGTTTCAGTCTCCGCAGCGACTTTTCCCGCTCTGACTCTTGCTCATTCGTTTTCTCGTCGACAGTGGAACCATTGCCCTTATCGGTCTCTTGCTCTTCAATTTCGAGGTGCTCTTCCATGGCGTCCTCCTGTGCCTCCTGGTCATCAAAGAATAGGATCTTTCGTGCCGCTTTGGGCTTTGACTTCTTTCGCGCAGGCTCGTCATCGTCGTTGCTGTCGAAGCCGTCAAATTCGTCTTCGTCATCCGCGTCCTCGTTTAAGCGATCAATGCCTCTCGTCATGACAATCTGCTCTTCGAGCCTCGCTACTTCTTTGGTTACCATCTGTTTCATGGTGCGAATGTAGCCCATATCCTGCGTCTTCAGCAGCCTGGCCGTATCGATATCGAGTATCTTATTTCCTCGGTCCCCCTGCACGGTGCCGCTCCAGCTCTTGCCGTCCTTGACACGGTTGCCGGGGCCCTTGCGGGACATCATGCCAAAGTAGAATTCATCCTCGTTCCGCTCGGCCGCTTTGGCGCGCAGGGCCTTTATCTGTGCCTTTTTCTTGTTGTAATCCTGGGCTCGCTTGGAGTAGTCCTGTTTGCGGGAGAATCGTGGTCAGCGAGAGGGAGTCGGTAGTGAAAATGGCACGAAAAAAGCTCGACGAACCTTGTGCTTCTCGAGCAGACCGAGGCGACGACGCTCAAGAGGCTGCGCTCGCTCGCGATGAACGCGCCGGTCAACAGCGTTCCGCATAGACGACATGTTGGTATTTTATGATGTTTTATTTCTGTTAGAGTTGCCGAGTGATGGCGTGAGCTCGTGTTGGATGCAGACTTGGATGCCAACCAAGTGGCAGAATTTCTTAAAATTTTGGCGGTGACGGCGGCGGGCCGACTTACTTGCTGGTGGGTCCCAATGTCAATAAGTACACGATGAGCGACAACTAGGAACTCGGACAACCACGATAACCACGATAACCACGATAACCACGATAACCACGATAACCACCATCACCACCATCACCACCATCACCACCATCACCGCGACATCTTCTCATACAAAAAGGGTAAGCCTCGTCAGATCTCCTGTAGAGAGCCTTGGATCAGGTACGCCAGGAGAAGCTTGCCAAGCAACGCCAATGTGCTTTTCACTGTCTCCCTTAAAGGGCCCTTCCTGGTCCATGCTCAGAAAACCCTCATCCTTCTGGAGCTGCTCATCGCCCATCCGGTCACAGATATAGCGAACATACGCCGGGCTGAACGAGGCAACGGTGCAGAACACCTGGTCCTTGTCCTGCGATAGCAGCAGGCGCCGGTAGATGCGCTGCGGGGGGTCCGCCTTCGCGGTTGCAGGCGGGCCGTCTCCTGCATGGAGACGGCCCTGTTGACGTCATCGCTGTCCGAACGATCATATGGCTTCACCTCGACAATGGAGACGACCTTATCCTCGACAGTGTAAATGCCGTCCACGCGCGCCTCAAAGACCTTTTCGGCGTTGCGGTCCCGCATGCAAAATGGCTGCTGGTAGAGCGACCACTCGCCCTGAGCCTCCTCGAAGGCGAGCGTGAGCAGGTTGAGTAGGATTATGAGAGCCGTGTTGACAATCTGCTCGTCCTTGACCGCGCTGTTCTTTTCCGGGCTATCCGGGTCCGGGTCCGGGTTCGAAGAATAGTTGGACTCGGTTTGTTGGCGCCGCCCCGTACCGCCGATCGAAAAGGACTTCATGGCCGCGGCGAGGTTCTCTGGCGTCGATGGAGGATCTGGTAGGGAAGCGCCCGGTGCGGAGGTATTATGGATCCAGTCCGTGACAGTGTCCTGTCGCGTTGATCCCGGCGCAGCACCTACGCCAACGGCCGGGGGTCGGGCCGGACTACCGGAAGCGGAGCCCGTGGGTGCGGGGGCCGGTGGCTGAGCGGGACTACCGAAAGCGGAATCCGTGGATGCAACGGCATAATTGACCGGCTTCCGCGGTCGCAACTTCATGGGCGAGTTTGTAACCTTGTCAATACCTCCACAGTCCGTTGTCGTCTTCACTTGGGTACAGACATGCTGACAGTATCGCACCAGTCCCATGGATCCCTGGGAAAACCTTACATGATCTCTATATAGATGAATTAATAAAACGACGAAGGAAAATCGGAACACAATAAAGAATAATAGGGAAACGTACCGAATTGATGCTAGATAAAGCGCCCAGTCATCAGACTTGGATAGTAGGTCTTCGGCCACCGCGATATTCTCACTGCGCAAGTACTTGGATAAGAGAGTACTGGATGGGGTAGAGAATAGTTCCGTATAATGCCAAATAGTTCGAAGCAGCAAGTACTGGGGTAACTCTATCTTTGATCCTGACAGGGCTGCTGTAAAGGTGTGGATAGTGTCATGGACCTGTACTTGTTGGACGACGACAGCCGATCCTTTTGACCCACGGCTGTCTTTTCGGCCATTTAAACTAGGTCGAAGACGTTAAAGATAAAGAGACTAAACGAGGCGGTTAAGGCGGACGAGGCGGACAAGACGAATAAGACGAACAAGGCGAAGAAGATGAAGAAGACGAAGAAGATAAAGACAAGGTGGGGGTAAGCATGGGCCTTTATCAACATGTTTAGAATAACACAGCAAACTCATAACAAACTCACCATCACACAGCGTATTCATCGAGCCCCGCCAGATGCGAGGGATCACCTGAACTGACTACGAAACAATATCTGCAGCCACGGCGTCTGGGTGAAGGCTGAGGACGTTGCAACCGGCGGCAAAAACTGCAGCTGCGATTTGCCGGGCCAACTAGACGTTTTCGCCTTGGATGGTTGTGATCACAGCAGAAGTGGGTGTGAGTGTGAGGGTTCGCCGTCGGGCGTCAGGCGGATCACATCTCACTATAATAACTTTGAAAGAGGGCCTATGAAACGGAGAAGAATGGTGTTGATCGAGTTTCGCGATCGTGAGCATGTACTGATCAACGTTGTTATTGGATCTTGGCTCTGCAAGATAGCCGACTGCTACGTCCACTTCGCCTACTGCCCCCTTGCTTCCGCGTGCAACTACTGTAGGATCCAGGGTTCCAATTCTAGGATCATGTTTGCATTCAAGCCGTGGAAGCAGATGGAGCCATTTTCCTTGCCGCCTAAACTGCAAAAGCCATACCCAATCAGTCCGTAGTAGCCAGCTGGCTGAGACGAGCCTACCCCTTCTGCTCCCCCTCCTCCTCCTCCTCCTCCTCCAGCTCCTCCCTATAGTATCCAACAGGGATTGGCACCACTATCCCAATTGTAGGAGTATCTTCACAAACAAGCTGTGGAAACAGAGAGAACCACTTTCCTTGCCGCCTTACCGGCAGAAGTCATACCCAATCTCGCCCAAGCTGCAGCCGTCAGGGTAGCAGTCAGGATGATCGGTGGCAGTAGGTCACCCATGAGCTGTGCGCTCTTCCTATTGGATGAGGCGTGGTTTGAGAGGCGCTTCGGTACCTGTGGCGCCTGTGGCGCCTGTGGCGCCCAGACCAGCCAACGTAACTTGGGAGGAGGCCCCCTGCTGTAGCCGCCTGCTCGCGACCTTGTTTGCCCCCTTCTATCATAAACATCCCATCATTTGTGCATGCAGATCATCCCTATTCGCCAGCACTCCATGTTCCCGTGATCCCGCCGCCATTGCTTCTCTATAATAAGTCCCTCACCATGCCACCAAAACAGTACGATTCGTCCATGACAGAGTCGCCGCCGCCACCGCCCTCGCTGCTACTACCGCTGTCGCTACTCCCACCTCTACCACAAGAAGAACACTACCAAAAATGTTGACCACCGCCCACCGTCCCCAGCCCGAATCCCCACAAGGGATTCAGGAAAAGGATGAGCTTCGGAATTGCATGTGGGACATGATCGTGCGTCTCATCGATCCCCTCACACCAGGTCCTCCGCCCACCGTGTCACCCCCGAGCAGCTGCGCGCCGAGTGGGACATTGTCGTTCAGAAACTTGATCTCAGGACCGGGCGGGGGGCTACGGTGAGGCCTTCATCCGCCCCATCCCTCCCGAACAGATCCGGAGCTGGATCGATCACTTCTGTGCGTTGGCCTACCCGAGGGGAAATCCCGATGACTATGACCTGTTTGGCATCTATGATCCGCTCGAAGACCCTCGCTGCGGTATGACCGATTCGATGGGCATATTGAGTATGGTCGTCAGTTACACGGAGAGGGCCTATCCTTTTGAAAAGGGCAATATGATGCAGGACAAAACATACTGGCGCTATTGCTCGTAAGCCCGGACCCTTGCCTCACAGCCGCATCCAGACCGAAGCTAACATCGCGTAAAGACCTAATACGAAGCGCCTTTCGTCGTCCACCTCGGATGTTCACTCCTGGATCGTCAAGAGGATTACCGAACAGTGTGATCCCGCCACCGCCCAAAAGTACACTTACCTTGATGTGCCGCGAAGCAGTACGCTCCCGCATTTGAGCTGCTTTGTCCACGACGATGAGATACTCCAGGATGACGGGTCCCTATCCAACGGCGAGCTCACCGCCATCATGGTGTTGGCATTGCGGCAATCGAGCGACCGCACTTATCGCCACGCTACGGTCATTCCAGTATGTGCCCCGAGCCTCTGCCTGAGCAATCTCACTAATCTCACCCAAGCTCCTCGTGTTTTCTTGCTCCGGGCGCCAGGTCCGCATTATTCAGGGCTGCATCGACTTTCGGAACTATCAGTTCGACGTGCGCTGCTCGGAGATTCTCGACTTCAACGAGGGAGGCATACGCGGCACCGACGAAAACCTGCGGCGCTTCTATACCCTCCTCGGCTGGGTGCTCGGTGAACCTGTTGGGAATATCGAGCAATCGCAGGTTCCCGGTAGCAGGCGCTAGATGAGTCTGCTTGTTTACATTGTCATGTCAAGAACGGGCGGCATCACACCATCAGCCTTGTGATACGATGGAAGCTGGTGTGCAGTACCTCCGACTAACTAGATTCACATCCTCAACATATAGCAACAAATTAAGGCTACGTATCTAGAACCATGTCAGGAAATAAGATGATCATTGAGATGGATAGTCTCTGGTTTGCATTTGTGCAAACTCGCACCGCAAGTAGAATAGTTCATCGAAGAGCTAACATGCACAGCAACAGAAGACATTCGCCTATGATCTGCCGCTTTGGCATGGTCTATGATCGTATCGTAAAAATACAGTGTAGGGATGAAGTAATAGTACATGGTTTTCTTTTCTTTGTCCAAGGCTTCCTTACTGCCGTCATCTGCGCAGTTGCAAGCCGTACGGCGCAAGCTGCTCGTCCGTAATCCGACTTGGCGACTTGACAAACGCGTCTTCGCCCTTCATCGTCTTGGGAAAGGCAATCACGTCGCGGACAGTCGCGGTGTCCGTCAGCAGCGCCACCAGGCGGTCAAAGCCGAGAGCGAAGCCGGCGTGCGGCGGGCATCCGGCGCGCAGCACCTCAAACAGGTGCGCAAAGTCCGCGATGCGCTTGTCCGTCATCCGCAGCACGTCGCGCATAATGAAGTCCTGCACGTCCGCAATGTGGTTGCGGACGCTGCCGCCGCCAATCTCGACGCCGTTGAGGACGAGGTCGTACGCGGCGCTCTTGGCATCCAGGGGGCTCGTGAAGAGCAGCTCGAGGTGCTTTTCGGAGAGGGGGGCCGTGAAGGGGTGGTGTGACGCGGCGATGCCGGCCGCACCCTCCTGGCCGGGCTCGTTCTCTTCGGTGGGCTTGAACATGGGGAATTCGGTCACCCATACGAATTGTAGGGAGCCGGCCTCGCCGTTGCAAGGCTTTGTCATGTAGCCCTGCTCGACGAGCGCTTTCCATAACGCGACGCGCAAATCGCCGATTCTTGTAGAACCCGAGCAGTACTGGCCCTTGGGTGTGTCTCGGGCCTGGAATACAACGAGGTCACCATCGTTGAGCTCTTCGCCTTCAGTGATCTGGTCGATGAGAGATTCATACTCAAACCCAATCGAAGAGAAGCCACATAGGGGCTTTCTGCTGTCGAAAATGAGCACTTGCGGCTTGCCTTCGGGATTCTCTCCCAACTCTGCTGGCAAATTGTCCATGAACTTCATGACAAATTGCCGCGACTCTTCTGGTGAAACATCGTTAAGTCGGAAAGCAAAAGCTTCCATGGTGGGATTCGCTAGATGAGTAATCATTCCCACGAAGCTTTGATAAGGTTCAATATCTTTGATGGCGTGAATGCGCCCCGGGATTCGCAGATCAGGTTTGTCAGAGCCATAGGAGGCTATGCACTCTGCAAATGTGAGAGTTGTGAATTGATGCGCTACTTCCGAAGCAGACACTTCTGCCGCTGCCATGTTCCGTACCATAGGTATTCTCTCTCCCCGCATATCTTCATAGCAGGACGGGCCGAGGGCTGTCAAGGCCTTCATAATTATGTCGTTGATGTCCTGTCGCACCGTAGCCGCACTGACAAAGGCCCACTCCATATCGAGCTGAGAGAACTCGGGTTGGCGATCGGCTCGCGAGTCTTCGTCACGATAACAGCGCGCCCATTGCATATACCGTGAGATACCACTCGCCATTAGTACCTGCTTGTACTGTTGCGGGCTTTGGGTCAAGGCATAGGCCGTCCCCCGTTGCCTCGTAGGGACGAGAAACTCCCTAGCACCCTCTGGCGTAGACTTGAAGAGAGTAGGTGTCTCGATGTCTGTGAACCCCTTTTCCATCAGTCCCTGGTGTAAGACATTCTTCAGCCACGATCGAAACTCGAGTCGAGCTTGGATTTCAGGATGAAATCGGATTTGCAAATGGCGCTTAGTTTGGGGAAAGACGGTCTCGGGCGTAACAATGAGTCCTTTCGGGACACTGTTGAGGGCGCGAATGTCGTCGAGGTATACTGTTCTCTTGCTGGAGCTGTGGCGACCTTCCTCCTCTGCGTTCGGAGATCGAATATTTATTATTACTGGGCTAAAGGCCGGTATTTGCCGAAAGCCTGTGTGCGCATCTTTGTCGACTTCACCATTGGAACAGACTTGTATTATCTCGCCCGAGGGTGTTTTGAGGTCGGCAAAAGAGAGATGCTTCGAGAGAGTTCGTTTTTTGCCAATGAAGCCAATACATACGTTTGCGGTATTCATTTCGTCACGGAGGTCAACGCCGCGATCTATTCATGGAAATTGTCAGAGTAGTTCGGGTTAGAACGGCGCAGCACGCACATCGATTCCACGTCTCGAGGAGCTTGGCTTGCTTGGATGTTGCTATTGAGCTGCCCATTCGTATAGTGGTTTGCGGGAGACATCGCCGACAAATAAAGGCCAGCGCCTTTCCAGAGAGAGGTTTGAGCCGTATCATAGCAGACAATGGCTCGCGGCCCGAATATTTGCCAAGCTTGCCTGCAATGTTCACATGGACTTCACGACAGCGGCCTGCTCCAACTTTACAGTGGGCCTCGGGCAGCTGGGCGCCTGGCCAGGACGCAAAGCACGCGCCGACAAAAACTCCGGCCCCCATATAAATTTTCTCGCGTGAAGAGGACTCTCTCTCTTTTTTTCTTCTCTTCATGAATCCTTCCATTCAAAAAAATGTGAGTATCTGCCGCAACCACACGAAATGCCAAATAAAAGCTAACCGATCTTCTTAGATGATGAGAACCGCGTGCATAATATGATGCAGATGCCAGCTACACGATTCTACAAACTCTCTCCTCGGAGCTCCAGGGTCGTAGTTTACGGTGGCATGGTATTTTGAAATGGGCGTCCGACACACAGACCTTGTTACAGCATCGGACGCGATGACAAATAGCTCTGACCTTTAAGAATGGAAGGATTTCTCGCCGGGTGCCTTGGCAGCAGCGAGGATGGGTGTCCGCTTGAGTTGTTCAAGTGAACACACCACTGGCATCCGGCTACGTCCAGCTAATCAGAAGTCTGAGACGCGGTCGATAAGCTAACGGTAGGTCGTTGAGAAGTATTGTTTATTATAGTGCATGTTGAATACATTATATATTTCCATCTTTGATTTTTCTGGTCTTGATTTGTATCTGATGTCTGCGTTTGCTCTGAGAAGATTTAGCCTGTCCCTCTTATTACGGATTATACAGGATATGCTGAAGTGCGAAGTAGCGAACTCTTGCGTTGAAGATCGAATTCATGACATATCTAAGTGGGACATATTCAATTCTATGGTTTCCGTCTCTCGGCCGCCATTTGCGTCCCAACTGCGTCCTTGGTGGGTCGCGATGATGGAATGATGTGAACTGGTGCAGCCGGCTAACCGGCCAGCCACTGTAACCACCGCTGTGGTCCACTGTCAACTCTCATTTCCTCACCAGCCGCAGCACCGCCAGGGTGCGGGATCCATTGGGCCAAGCCACACCTCATGTTGCGAGTGGCGGAGCCCAACCTTCGACTTTCCAAGCTTCGGCTAACCTTCCATCTTTCAGGGTGTAGCCTCCTGTTCACCCAATTGCCGCTCAAGGCGTTCGCTCTCTAGCATCCAGTCCGTCATCATGTCCAGCTCATTTGAAAAGTCCGTCAAGGGCGCTACCAAGATCAAAGTATGTCGTCATGGGCAGGTCCCCTAACTACCATTACCCCATCCCATCGCCTTGGGGTTGCGGGCATCGTGGCTGGACGAAATAGCGAAGAATCGACTGACAGCGCGTCTCCATAGAATGCACCGCCGAAAGCAAAGTATATCGAACATCTCCTAATCGCCACACACTCCGGAGAAGCTGGCGTCGGCGAGGTATTTCGGGCCATGCACTACCGGCTCAGGGATTCGACATGGACGGTTGTGCTCAAAGGTCTCCTGACAGCCCACTTGATGATTCGTGAGGGAGCCCAAGAAGTTACCCTCGCGTACCTCTCCAAGCATCGTAACATGCTCGCTATCAGCAGCTTCACAGATGGTAAGTTTGCTCCCTATGCGGCGTATGTGAGCATGCGACGCTAACTCGTTGCGCAGCGCAGACACAGGGCCGAAACATTCGGCGCTACGCCAATTACCTCACCGAGCGAGCGCGCGCCTATCGCGAGACGAAAATTGACTGGGTTCGGTCCGGCGAAGGTCGTCTAGAACGGCTGAGTGTCGACAAGGGCCTTCTTCGAGAAACGGAGGCGGTCCTACACCAACTGGCGGCCCTGCTCAAGTGCGATGTAAGTTTCGGAAGAGTCGCATTGCCTCGTGTAGAAAATTACTAACCTGACCCAGGTTTTGGACTCCGAGGGCGAAACCGACATTACAATCTCCATCTTCAAACTGCTGGTGCTGGATCTGCTAGCTCTTTTCCAGTGCCTCAACCAGGGTCTCATCAATATCCTCGGCCGGTTCTTTGAAATGTCGAGAACCGATGCCGAGCGCGCAATGGAAATATACAGGAGCTTCTCCAAGTATACTGACTACGTTGTCCAATATCTGTCAGTTGCACGGCAATACGAGTACCGCACAGGTGTCCAGGTTCCCAAGCTCACTCATGCGCCCGTCAACCTCGGCCGCCAATTGGAAGAGTACTTAAACGATTCCGACTTTGAGATCCATCGCCGACAATACCTCGCTGAGCAAGACTTTAAAAAGGGTGGAAAGAGCAAGGACGCGTTTGATTTACCAAAACCGCCACGATCGCCTACGGGTCGGGCCAGCAGCGCGCAGAACTCAAGCAACCCCTTCCCAGCACCGCCCAAGGATGCGCCAAAGCCCGCAGCCAAGGGGCCTGATCCCGACCTCATCGACTTTTTCGGCTCTATCGAGCAGAACCAGACGACTATGCAGGTCAATACTCAGCCCACTGTGCCAGGCCAGAACATGTTCCAGCCTCCCCAACAACCACCACAGCAACTCCATCTTCAGCCTACGGGATTCATCAACCACACGGCTAGCTTTCCTGCGGCCAACAATCAATTCCAGCAGCAGCAGAATATGTTTCAGCAGCCGATGCAGCAGCAGCAGCCCGCACCTCTTCAGCCCAACTTTACTGGAGCTGGCTTTGGAGGCTTCACAACGCAACCGCAGAACAACTTCCAGCCCGGCTCCCTGGCGCCTATTCCTCAGAACACGGCTACCAACTTCCAAGGCCAGAATTTCATGCAGCAGCCTCAACAGCAACAACAACAGGTGCCTGGACAGTTGCTTCCCATGCAGACTGGTACCACCAATCCGTTTAGACAATCGATGATGATGGCGCAACCAACCGGTATGCAAAGTTTCATGGGCCAGCAACCCCTACAGCAACAGCAGCAACCCCAACTACAGCAGCAGCAAACCGGCTTCGTGGCTCCCGCATTGAACCGCCAGTCGACGAATCCATTTGCCAAATCCGTCTCACCGACAAACAACAACTCGCCGTTCCAGTCGCCTGCTCCGCTGCAAGCCATGCCTACCGGGACGAACCCATTTGCTCGCAACGTCCCTCAGCAACAAGCGCCCCCTATGCCTGCCATGCCCGGCCAACAGCAGCAACAGCAACCCGGTGCGCTCGCCCCTCAGCCGACTGGCGTTACCAATCCGTTCCGTCAGGGCGACTTTGTGAATCACGCGACTGGCATGGGCTGGCAGCACAACCAGACGCCCATTGGCGGCGGCATCGACCAGATCCAGACTGTTCCCATCTTCCCTCGCCCGGCACAGCAAGCTCCCTGGCAGCAATAAGGCGAGCCGGCCTTTTCTCACATTCGATTCTTCTTCTTTGTTGTGTTTAGCTTGTTTGTTTTTAACAGCGTGGCGTTTTTACTCTGATGCCTTTTTTGGTATATAGGGGGGGATGGATTCGGTGAGATTGGCAATATATCGTCTGTCTGCGATGGAAGAGAGTAAATATGTGTTATCAGATTTCATGTTTTCAGGTCTGGGACTTGCTCGACGTGTGTAAAAAGGACAACAGACAAAGCATGCTTAGCGTACACTCGGTATATGCTATCAGGAATATAACTATGCATCACGTCTACAGAATAAAGGATATTGGCAAGTTGAGAAAGAAAATTAGAAGCACGTGCTTTAAGCTAGCATCCAACTGATTTATTGTGTGGCAAGCTAATGTCTACCAATGCATATGATGAGGAAGATGAAAAACGCTATTGTAAATGTCAATACCTCCAGAACTCCCCGATTTCCAACGCCAGAACATGCCATGTGCAAATGCTCCCTGAATAGCACGTAAGCTTCTCTCCTCGGAATACATCCTCCAACTCCATCGGACCAGCTGCCGCGGCCCTATAACGCTACCTATCCTTTTCCTCGTCCACGAACACGCCCAGGCCGGAGAAGGCCTCGAAGAGCGCGCGCGTCAGGTACTCGTCGGCGCTGTAGCCGCCGACCGTGAACTCGTGCTTGGAGCGGGCGTCGTCGAGCCACTCGCTGCCGTACTGGCCCAGCCGCGCCGGCGCCAGGTCCACGCGCCGCGGTGCCAGGTCCAGCCCGCCGAACGGGTCGTACGGCTTCCTGCTCTCCGCCGCGGCGTCGGCCGCCGCCGCCTTCTTGTCGCGCAGGCCGCGGATCGACAGCCCGCCGCCGCCGTCCATCAGCGCGCGGCCCGCATGCTGCTGCTGCTGCTGGCCGCGCTTCTTGAGGACGATCTTGTGGACGGCCTCGGCGGCGCGGCCGACGTCGGCGTTTTGCAGCGAGTCGAGCATCTCCTCGCGGAAGCGCGCGGCGCTGGCGCGCTCGTCGGCGTCGTCGCGGAGGTCCTGTAACCTGCGCTCGCGGGCGGCGTCCTGCTCGGCGGCGAGGCGGCGGTGGCGCGCGTCGTCGGTCTCGCGGGCAAGGCGGCGGTTGCGCTCAATTCGGTCAGGCACTCGACCTCCTCGAGGTAGTCGTTGTAGCTCTCGAGCGACTCGAAGTCGTCCTCGACCTTGTTGAAGACGGCAGCGACGCGCCGTCGGATGTCAACGTCGCGCTCGACGGCCAGGTCGGCGAAGTAGGCCGTCTTGAAGCCGCGCGGGCGGAGCGTCTTGTGGCAACCCGCGTAGGGGCACTGGTTCGGGCCGTCCTTGAAGATGCGGTCCACGCACGTCTTGCACATCCTGTGGTAGCACTCGGGGTGGATGAGGAACTCCATGTCCTTGTTGAAGTACCGCGTCGTCTTGCACACGGGACACGCCTCGTCGTCGTCGCCGGCGCCCGCGGCGAGCGTGGTGCCATTCGTGTGCCGCAGCGAAACGGCCATGATGTTGGTATCGTCGCCGTTCGAGCGGTCGCGAAGGAAGAATAGACCTGCGCCGGTTGGTCTACTTGGAATTCGAAGGAACGCGCCTGGCTTTGCGCAACGGACCAGGATGTGGTTGTCGGAGATGCAGGAGTGAGCTTCAGGTCTGAGGTTCGCATTCACAGTCTATTATAGATAGAGTACCTGTGCTCGCGTAAGCTGCACTAATAAATAATTCATTAATAAGTATTTCCACTAACTAATTCCCACCTGCCCGAAAGTTGCACATCCCACCCCGCTTTTTATTTCCCCAAATAATAACTAAAATATACTCTTAAAATAATCTCGTCGACCACCTCACTCACATCAATTCTTGGCCCCAAGAAACACCAGGTATGCTGTCCAATCTGTCGCAATGTACACGGCGCCCGGCATCTTTCGAAGGCTTGAAAACGCAATAGCGAGCAAACCCAATCGAGAGATGCATTACACTATACTCGTGCCATATAAAATGCACTTGTTGGCCACGGAAGGCACTGCGTTTTTCCTTGGCCACGTATTGGTCCGAGCCTCCTACTTAAGTTTCTTCGCATCGGAACGGCGGGATGTCTCTACCAGGCGCGCAAAATCTTCCTTAAATTTCTTATCGTCGTGCAGGTCCAATGTATTATCCAGAACTGGCCCATGCCTTTGGCCCTTGGCATTGCTCTGTGGCTCCTTGTAGAAGTTCTTGTAGGGACCTTCTAACAACAAGAAATTCGCGACATCTAGTAGAAATGGACTGGGTTTTAAACCTTCTACCACGAATATCTTTGAGTAGTGTGCACAATTTCTGTCAGTGACTTGTTGTTCAAAGGTCGTCTCACCCAAGATCGTCAACACGTTCTCGTTTTGGAAAGGCAAACAACGCGTCAGCACCACCATTATCGAAGACTTGCGCTAGGCTGGCACTGCAGATTACGAATCCGTTGTGACGAGTATTAAAGATGGAAACGAGGATCGCAAAGTCACCGACAAACCCGGCAGGACAATCCTACATTGGGCCACAATTCTTGGAAAGTACGAATTAGTGGCATGTCTGCTCGAGCTGCAAAAAGTCGACATCGGGGCGACGGATCGGCTAGGAAAGCCAGCGTTGTATTACGCGATTCTACTCGAGGACGATGACATGGTGCGGAAGTTACTCACGTCACAAACCGAAAATGGGACAACACGTTACGACGCAAATGGCGGAAGCGCTATTCACGACGCAGTGAGTAGACACGGCGACATAAGAAATAGAGTCTTGATACCAAGATTCGACTCCTTGCATGACCGTGCCGGGCGAACCCCATTACACTCTGCGGCAAAGATTGGAGACTCGGACACAGTATTGTGTCTGATTCACGAGGGCGCCGACGTGAATTCTGAGGATAACAATAGAAAGAGGGCTTTACATTACGCAGCCTGCCTCGGCTGCGTGGAAACGATGAAAACACTCATTAAACACGAGGCTGATGTGGCGGCAGAGGACCATGGTGACCACACAGCGTTACATGATGCGGCTGCGAATGGGAATCGTGCAGCGGTAATATTTCTGCTGCGGAACGATGAATCCCCTGACGATGTAACAACACTTCTGGATGAAAACGTCTCCGACAATGATGCCGACGACGACGACGACGCCGGCGACAGAGTAGGCGTAGGCATGTCCTATGAACAGAATGACGAAAGCCAAAAGAGGAAAGAAGAGGACGAAGAGGACGAAGTCAATGAAGAGGATAAAGAAGCCAAGAAGGCTGGGCGCCAACGATGGGCGCAACGATAGGCGCAAGAAAAGGCGCAACGATAGGCTCAACGACTCCCTGTCACTCATCCGTACGATGCTGCGGTATCTTCTGGAGGATCGCGATGCGTCAGAGCACTCGAAGCATAAATAGGAAGAACAATACTTCACTTTGCGGCGCGGTTTGGCGATGCCACCTTGGGAAGCTGATGCAAAAGTATCTCAACGAGACAGGAGTTGCTAAGATAGACGAAACGGATGATGAGGGCAAGACGCCGCTGTACATGGCGGTCACAAACGGGAACCTGGGCATGGTCAAGGCAATACTGCGGCTTTTTCGAAATCACAAGAAGACGAGCGGAGCCGGTACATCCTTGACGAAGAAAGAAGAATCTGGTGGGGGTACGCCGCTACACCGAGCAATGGAGCTCAACGACGAAGCAATGAAGAAGGTGATGCTTCTCCATCTCGAGCAAACGGAGGATAGCGCGGCCCTGGAGATCCCAGACGGCCAGGGTGTGGCACCGCTGCACTACTTGGCCGCTTTTGCCAGTGAGGCACACATGGAGCTGATGCTGAAGCTTCTCGAGAAGACGAGCGATGAGGCCTTGGTGATGCGAGACGCACGCGTTGATACGCCGCTACACTGGATGGCACGGCAGAACAAGTAGCCAAAGGTAGTGGAGATGATACTGCAACGCCTCAAGCAGACAAGTTACAACGCTGCTGTAATGGTGCGAAACAGCAGAGGTGACACGCCACTACACAATCTCGCGCAGACACGGCACAGCCGGGTTATGACAATGAAGAGCAGAGACGGCGATACGCCGCTACATAAAGCTGTGGAGGCGTCTGGTGGTCAGCCGGGGATTGTAAAGATGATCCTACAATACCTCAGGCGGACAAAACAGAGCGTCGCCGCAACGATACAAAACAAACGTGACTGAACGCCACTACACCTCGCGATGAGCCACCGTGAGCACCCGGAAGTCTTGAAGATGGTATTAAAACATCTCGACAAGACAAAACAGAGCGCAGCTCTGACTGTGCGGGACAGCCTTGATAACACGCCACTACACCTCGCGACGTTCCACCACCATGAGCACCCGGAGGTCCTGAAGATGGCATAACAACATCTCGAAAAGACAGGGCAGAGCGCAGCTATGACTATGCGGGACAGACTTGGCAACACGCCGCTACACGATATTCTTCGCCGGACCGGGACGCCTTCGAGTCCTGGCAGCATGAATACAGGGCTGGAAGTGATGCTACGGTATGTATGTGGTGAGGACATCCGGCGACGCATTCAAATTGGAGAACGACTATGGACAGATACCCATCGAGATGACTGTAAATCCGTGTATCAAAAAGTTGATGCGGAAGGCAATGTCTGCGAGCGAGAACAAGTTACGGCATGCCAACTTGTCGCGTACCATTGCCGGAAACACCCGTTGAATCAGCTGGCGAGTAAATCTACAGCAGCGGGAGCAGTTGAACAGAAAATTCCGAGCATTGATCCTATGGCATTTCATCACTCCTGCAGTAAAAATTACCGTATACCATCAAGTATATTTTCTATAATTCGTAGAAAAGTATCCCACGGTACAGCGACGCCAGCAGCAGCGTGGTGTAATATTTGGTCGACCCCGCTAGTGGGGTCGTTGTTGCCCCTCCAAGATCTTGCTTGCGCTTTCGAGCTTCGATTGCTTTCCACTTCCATCATCCAGCCTCAGACAACATCACAATCATGACAGACAAAGGTGAGAGAAAGTGGCACAGAAAATACGAGCCAAAATCTCTTCGGAACGCCTTTGCGTAGTCCAAAGTCGGAGCTGACCCGGATCGCAGACCCCTCACCAGCCGAAGAGGCCGCCGCGCGTGCCAAGGAGCGTCAAGAGCAGGCCGCCCTGCCCTACAAGTGGACGCAGACCATTGGCGAGCTCGACATCACCTTCACCGTCCCCGGCAACATGAAATCCCGCGATCTGGTCGTCGACATCAAGAAGCTCTCGCTCACGGCCGGCATCAAGGGCCGGGATCCCATCGTCAACGTGCGCGACCGCTTCCCTCCACGCCGAGACTCGACCTCTTATACTGAACATTCATAGGGCGACTTTCCCCACGCCATTCGCGTAGACGACTCGACCTGGACGCTGTCCACCAACGCGGACGGCACCAAGACGGTGGAGATTCACCTCGACAAGGTCAACAAGATGGAGTGGTGGGCACACGTCGTGGCCGGCGCCCCCAAGATCGACGTCACCAAGATCCAGCCCGAAAATTCCAAGCTGTCGGACCTCGACGGCCAGACGCGCGGCATGGTCGAGAAGATGATGTTCGACCAGCGCCAGAAGGAGCAGGGCCTGCCCACCTCGGACGAGCAGAAGAAGGCGGACATCCTGAAGAAGTTCCAGGAGCAGCACCCCGAGATGGACTTTAGCAAGGCCAAGATCAACTAGTCGGTTGATCAAAGTAGCATGGAAGGCGTTTAATAAAAATACCAAGTTTTTATTTGATCATCTTGTCCCGAGCACTGCGGCGGCGCGCTCCAGGAAGGCGTTGAAGTCTTGGACTTGGCGGAGGAGACCGCCTGTAGAGCCATTGCTGCTCACTTGCTCTGCTAGCTGTGAAATGGTAAGCTCCAGGTTGCCAAGCTCGGCTTCCTTTCGGGCTCGTGATGATAGATCGGCGGCATCGCGGCCCTGCTCCACAGCCAGATCAATGTCGTGCATGAGGTTTGAGGCACTCAATCGGTACTGTATAGCCATCAGCGTGATGCTAGTATAACAAGTATAATCCAAACATACCTTGGACTCGCCGCCGTCTTTTTCGCTGCGAGCTCGTACGCCGTCCATGCGAAGTGCCACTTGGTCCTTTTCGGCCTTGAGGCGGAGAATCTCCTGACGCAGCTCGAGCTTCTCTTTCTGTACATGACGGATGCGTTTCCGCAGCGAGTACCAGTGATTCAGGTAGATCGACTAAGTAAACCGTTAGCGATAGAGCAGAGAAACCGGAACAAAGCCGCCGGCTCTACATACATGCTGCAACAGCTGCGCGCTGACTTCTTCGCGAAAGGCCTCGATGGCGCGCATCTTGATGCGGCAGTCCCTCTTCTTGTCCTCGGCCTGCGTCTCCTGCCGCAGGTACTCGTACTTGCCCAGCGTCGTGGCGATGACCTCCTCGCAGACCTGGGCGAAGACGTCGACCACCGTCTCGCCGTTGCGGTTGGCCAGGGCGGTCGCGGTCTGCGCCTCCTCGTCGCTGTCCGCGTCGGGCCCGTTGACGAATCGTTGCACCGTGATCTCGATGACGTTGTCGTCGGCACCGCCCGCGACGGTGCCGCCCGAGCGCTGCGCCGACTCCTTGCGCGGACGGCCGCGCTTCTTGCCCTGAGCGCCACCCTCGGCCGGGTTTCGCCGCTTGGGCTGCCGCTGCGCCGCGGGTTCGCGCCGCGACGGCGGTTGCGGGCGGGGACGCTTGGGCGCCGGGCGCTCCTCAGCGGGCTCAGGATCTGACTCTTCGGAGCCGAGTTCGGGGGATGGCTGGAAGCTCACGCGGGGTCTCTTGCGGCCGATCGTGGCGGCCGCGGCCCTGTCCCCGATCTCTTCGGCCTCTTCCTCCTCAGCGGACGGAGATCCGGGTATGACGCCGCTACCAGCGGGCTGTGGCAGCTTCTGTGCTGCTCGAGGCACTCTAGGTGGTGGCATCAGCGCCGCATCGTCGGGTTCGGCCGGGGATTCGTCGCCGGAAGCGCCAGCTGGGCTCGGGGTTCGCCGCGTGGGCGCCGGAGCCTGACTCTGACGAGGAGGACGGCTAAGTGATGGCATGGGGACCGCCTGGATTGGAGTGGACTCCAGGGCGATCCTCATGCGAGCCCCGGTGGCTGAGGCGTCCTGCACAGGAACTCGCCGACGGTGTCCACTGCCTGGGGCATGAACTGGGCTTTCGGTGACTTCCTCATGGTATGGGGGTGGCCATCTAGGACTTCGAGGAGGTCGGTTTCTAATCGGAGAGCTTGCCGGCTCGCTTGGCTCCTGTGGTGCGGAGGGGATCTCCGGGCTTTGCTGGGCTGCAAGGCTCGGCCGGCTCGCTGGCGGTGTGGACGAGCTGGGTGGTCGGAACGGCTCGCCTATGCCCTCGATCTCGAGGTTAAAGTCATCGCTCCCGACGTCGGCTCGACTAGCGGGTGTGTTAGAAGCAATGCGCAAGATGAGGCCGGGGAACAACGTACCCGGCGCCACGAAGGCGTTCGTTCAAGCGCTGGGCGCGATCTTGTCCTGCATCAGCAGTCAGTTCCATGAGTCTGGACAAAGTCTGAGGAGTGACAAACCCGTCTCCATGGTAACAAAGGAGCCACGCGAAGGTCGTTAAATGATGACCATCGAGAATCGTACCCTGGCCGTTTAATTGGTGCTGGTAACGGTGCTTATGGCACTTTGTCCGACGCGTTTGCGATGATTGAGTGACGCGTTTAGTTTCAGCTGGCGCTAGCTGGGCCTGGTCACTGCAAATTCAGGCTCTGGCGCTGAGGACTGCAGTGAGCCCGCTGACACGAGGCTTGTTACCGTGGGCCTTGCGGGGAGCAACCACTAAACGGTGCGCTAATTCACAAAACACCACCAAAGATTGGTGAAAGGTGGTGAAGAAAGTATCGCGAGAGCTTCGAATGAGGGATCTTTTGTGGCATGATGAGATGTTACGAGACTGGATTGCTTGAGAGCCAGAACAAGTATAAAAGACTGGAGAAAATGTGCGTATTGGTAGCAGAATCAGCATTCACAAGCTTCTCCCTCTTTACATCAATTACAATGGCCAAAAAACAGCAAATTCCCAGTGACAACATTATCAATCTTGGCTCCTTGATTGAGCTCAAGCTTGTTGATATCCTCCAAGATGGGCGACGTCAGACAGAGCTTCCGAGCTCTTATGTTGTCGAGGTTCGCCGCAAAACGGACGGCACACGGCCCAGCAGAAGCGCTGGCAGGTGTGTCTTGAAGACAGTACGTGACAGCCCGCCAAATGGAATCGAATTTCGAATTTGCATTGACTAGATTTTATAGTTCCCCAGAGACAAGAAAAACCAAGAAATCTTCCGCCACGAAGCTCAGGCATACTCCAAGCTCACGGGAGATGTCACTTACAATAGCGCTCAAGACGCCGCCGATGCGCTGTTCGACACGCTTTCTGCGCTCAAGCCCAAGAACGGCTGGCCTCGCTGCCTGGGATACGTGGCGGTGCCAGCCAGCATGGGTGAGTACGAGTTTGAATGGACAGACATGGCCGAGGCGGCGGCGGCCAAGGGCCAGACGCAGAATGCGCTGTTGCTCGAATACATCCCAGGCCTGGAGCCCCTCAAATTCGACATGCTGGATGAGACTCTGATCAAGGACGTCTTGGATGTCCTTGCCCAGCTGCAGGAAGAAGGCATCCACCACCGCGCCAGCACCAACCCGGCTGTATGGCCCAAGCCTGGGATTCGCAACATCTACGTTCGGTACTCCAAGCCCGGTGCCAGAGGTGGTCAGTGGTTCTACAGTTATCCGTGCATTGCATACCAGTAGCTCATGCTAATGTCATCTAAATTTAGTGCCTTTTGTTGCCAACTTTGGAAATGCCCTGGTGCTGGGCGACAGCGCCAGAGAGCAGCTCCAGATGGGAGGGGAGGAACTTGAGTTCCACCTGCGACGAGGCATGGAGGGCAAGCTGCTGGTGGATGAAGTGCCGAGGGAAGTTCAGGTTCTCCTTGCTGATGCTGCGTAAAAATAAGTTACGGAGCACGGAGCACCAGTATAGAATTCTTGTGCGTCTGATATGCAGCATTTGTGCTGCGTTCCCGAGCCGAGACATTGAGGGAAAGCTAGCGCGGATATGCTGCAGTGAATTCTGAATACATCTTGACAACGCGGCAACGCTGTCTGATTTGCAAGACATGAGTACACCGCATTTATGTATTCTGTTATTCTGTCCTTTTTGCCAAAATGTACCAGGTGTCGTAGAAAGGGTATTGTACCCATGACTTACGTGTACTGTCTCTATCCCCAGTGATACCCACCTTAACAAGGTACCTGTACATTAATTGCCCGCTGCCTGCACTGCACCTGTGCCGTCACCACTGCAACACTGTAACCTTCTCAGAGCTCAGCTGGCCCTATCATCCCGCAGATCCACCCAGCCTCGCCGCCAACATCTCCTCTTCCCATCCATCACATTCCAACCTGAGCTTGTCGCAGGTGACGCAGCTATCCGTCTTTCTCCTCAATCCCATCGCCATCTCCTTCTGCTGCGCACCGTATCTGCCTCGCGATCCTAACCGCCCGGCAGCAGCTTCGTCTTGCACAGTTCACAACCTCCTCCCCCTTCCGCCTCCGATCGACCTCCCGTGCTTGCGCGTCCGCCGACGCCCTCTCTGCATCATGGGTGCCTGGAACGCAAGTCGTGGCCTCAATCCAACAACGTCCCGACGCCCTGCTAACATCGCTTTCTCTATAGATTTTCCGCATACTGGGCGACCTGAGCCACATGGCGTCCAAGGGAATCCTCATTTTCTCAATCCACAGCAACCGCAGCGCCGAGGGCGTCTCCCTCATCACGCAGATCCTCTACGCCCTCGTCTTTTGCACCCGATACCTCGACCTCTTCCACACCGGCTCGGCATGGAACGTCATCTTCAAAATCACCTATATCCTCACATCGTTTTACATCCTGGGCGTCATGCAATGGGTGTTTCCTCGCTCTCGCGAAAGGGAGCTGTCCTGGAAGCTCGGCGCCATCATCCTTGGCGGCGCTGCTGCCCTCTCCCCATTCGCCATGCTCGTCTTCATGTCTAAGCGGAAATGGGGCTTCCTTTCTGTCAGTCACTCCCTCCTACACAGGCCAGCCGAAGCTAGTCACTAACTTTTCGTAGTGGATGTGGTCCTTTTCCGAGATTCTCGAGTCCGTCTGCGTCCTGCCGCAGCTCCTCCTCCTCCGCCAAACGACCGTCCCCACCGTCATCGACTCGTTCTACCTCCTCGCGCTCGGCTCCTACCGAGCCCTGTACTGCCTCAACTGGTTCGTGCGCATGTTTGACGAGAACAAGCCCGAGGCCATCTCCGTCATCTTCGGCATCATCCAGACCGCCCTCTACGCCGACTTCGCCTGGGTATACTACACCCGCCAGCGCGTCAAGCTGCGCGGCGGCGGCGTCGTCGATGCCGACGACCTGCGCAACGGCTGGCTGGTGCAGCGCATCTTTGGCCGCACCCTCGGCCACCACAACGAGGAGCACGACGAGGAGGCCGGCCTCGCCAACGGCGACCAGCAGAACCGCGGCGGCCGACCCAAGTGGGGATCTCGCGGCATCTCCGTCTCCGCCGACGAGGGCGTCTTCGAGGACCATGAGCACGCTGAGGGCTCGCAGGGCTTGGACGACGCCGTCGATCCCGACGCCAAGATGCAGGACCCCGATGATCTTGCCAAGGCACTCGACGACGATGACGAGACCGAGGATGCGCCCCTCCGGGGTCAATCATCCAGCAGCCAAGCGCCTTCAGGCGTGCGCAGCGGCAATGAGTGGACGGATTAAACCTTGGGCGTCGTTATGTGAACAAATATATGCAAACCTTGGGTACGGGTATCATTGGGCAGGATATGAGGTGGGAAGGGATTCTTGTTTCTCCTGCGCATGTAAAGTACGCACAGCTTGATATTTAGCCATGGGATAGGTGTAGAGGTTCACCTGGATCACTATTTTACTGGTATCTGTACGGCCGCGAAATTGACCAGCGACTGGCCTTGGCGATGGCGCGCGGTGTAGACTCTTCTCTCATGCTGCAGTAAGCAGGGTTCAAAGAATGGGCGTGATATACATATATACAAGCTCTGATATGTGCGCAAAAGACAACTAGGGCCAGAAGGGCCTTGTTCCAATACTCCAATCGATGCATGGTATCACTGCCCAAGCCATCCCCAACGCCAGATAACCGTAATCCGTACATCCAGAACCAACAGAGTCCCAGGCAAGCAAACCACATCAAGGCCAGGTATTACACTAAACTCCCAAGAAAAATATCCCAATCGCCAAAATCACAGCTCGTTTACAGAAGTCGCTCCCGCCATCAATACCGCGAGTGGAGGTGCCGGGGCACATCCAGCGAGGCCGAGAAGCTCGTAAACAAGTGGTCGTGCCGCTCCACCGGTGGCATGAAGAGGTAGTGGTGATGCGGGAGGTACATCTCGGGCGTCTGCCTCACCATTGGCGGCCCCGTCCGTCTTTCCGCTTCCTCCTCGCGCCGCGTCCAGCGCCGCGGCGGCACCGGCTCCGGGTACGGCGGTGGAACATCGGCCTCAAGCGGCGGCGGGAGGGTCGCCGGCGGGGGCACCGCGACGGCCGGCGCGCGCTCATAGTCGGGCGGCGCCGCGCCGTCCACCATATCTCGCAACTGGACGGCGGTTACGCTGCTGCTCCGGTAGTGGTAGTGAGACGTATCGGAGGAGCTGTAGCCAAGGCGGCGCAAGCGCCGGTTGAGGCGGTCGGTGCGCCGTCGCTCCCGGTCGGGCGACGGTGGGCGGAAGAATTCGCTGCTGCAGACATCAGAAGTTGAAGATGCGCGGCGTTGCTGGTTACAGGGAGGCTGCTGTCGGTGGGACGCGCTGTCACTCAGAAGGACCAGCGCGGGGGAGGCGGAGAGGACAGTAGGGGTGATGGGTGCGTGTGTTTGCTCGGACGGCTCTTGTGGTTCTTCCTCGATACGTCGCGTATCAAAATGTAGTTGCTCTTCTCGGGTGGTCATTTCCGTGACGTCCTGGCTGCGACGCCGTGGCTGGTCCGCGCTGCGTCTGGCTTCTCCTGTGCTCCGTCTCCCGTACCCGCCGTCGAGTCGCATAACATCCTCGCTGTGCCTTGCTGATTCTTGTATAGATACGCTGCCTCGAGGGGACCTGCTATCGTTCTCGGCCTCCTCGTCTTCCTCCTCCACCTCTTCAATTACACCACTCCTGCCTCCGTCGGTCGCGCTGGCGCTACCTTCCGTCACGGCCTTTCTAGGCCGGTTAGGCACATCGTACGGCGGCGGTGCCTCGCCGAGCTCATTGAGGCCCTCGTTGGAGCGTAGAAACCACCAGCGGAGATTGATACTCCCCGGTGGCCAATTATCCGCTGCGGCCCCGCGGTCCCGGCCGCCCCGACGGCGCTCCTGCATTTGTGCCTCGCCGCCATCGTCGCTGATGCCGCCGTCGAGACGCGGACCACGACGCCGCCGCATGTACGCAAATACTCCGACGAGGAATATAGACGCAAGCGTGACGAGCGGGATGATAGCGTAGGTGACGGGTTGTAGGTTGGTGCTGGGCGGTGGTGATGAGCTCGGCGCCGGCGCGTCTGAGCCGGAGGCCGACAACCCGGGATCTGTTGCGGACATGGCTTGTGGCTGGCCCGCGGTGGTTAGGATTTTTGCTATGTCATGTAGAAGAAAGCGTTGAGCAAAAAAAAAGAAGAGAGGGGCGAGAGACAAAGTCGACAAGCCCGAGTATGGAGGCGATTACTTTGCGTCTTGGACTCAAAGAAAAAGAAAGATTTCTTCCTCGTCATGCAGGACGCTTGGCGGGTTGAATCGATGTCGTCACAAGCGGATGGGTCGGACCCCAAATAGGCAAATCGTCCCCGGTGAATGAAAAGGTCCGGCAACGAGATGCCGGCGAGAAGTAACCAGGGAAAAAATGTAAACGGAGAAGGAAACGGGTGAGAAATGTCCGATCTAAAACGCTTCGAGTGCGAGACGCAATTCGAAGAGCGAGACTTGGACCAAGGAATCGAGCGACACGCCGAATCGGCCAAAAGTCTCCTTTTCTTAGTGGTGTGATTCGGTCAGCGCAGACGGCGTCGCTGCTACTCCCCTTAGAGGCGGATCGACAAGGCGAAAAGCTCGAGGGTTTTGGCGTGCCACACACACTGTCGGCGAAGAGTCGGCGTTGCGGGTTGCGTCACCAGCCAGTATGGCACCGGTGATGAAAGAGTTTGTTGTTGCCTCTGTCCACAACGGGGCGGACACAGGGTTAAGGACAAGAAAGACGTGAAAGGGAGAAGATTGAATAGAGCGAGAAAGATTCAGTGGTTAGGCTATGAGGAAATGAAGGCGCCATCGAAGGTTGGGCATTTCGAGATTTCCAAACGTCTTCAGCCCATGGAGAAGCTTACACCACCTACGCAACACAGCTCAGCATCTAAAGAGAGGCGGAGGAGCTAGGCTTTTAGCTAGCTTGCTAGCTGATGGATGGGCGGTAAGTAAGTAGGGAGGTACGCGAAGACGAGAGGGGGGTGTGGTGACAGGCAGTCCCAATTCGGCTTTACCGGATCTGAGGTGAATGGTCGGAGGTGTGGATAGGGAATGATCAGGAGGCTCTAGAATCCCGGGCAGAGCAAATAGGCCGATGAAAGCTATGTACACGCGCCGTTGATGGTGGTGTGGGTGGCTTTGGTAGTAGCGAGGCGACTGTAAGAGGATCTCCGGCAGGTGCAGCAACTAGGAACAATGCTCGTTTTGCCGCTTATCAGAAAGTTGGGTCATGACAAGAGCATTGACTGTTTTCGTTCATTTCCTTTGAGTTTCTGGCGCGGTTGTGGCGAGGATTGCGATTATTGTTGGTTGATCAGCACTGATGACCTGTCGTGTTGAGATAGTAGACGGGGCGGGCGCCTCGTAGGCCCCACGGCGAATCACTGCTCTCTGTTTTTGACTTTGAAGCCACGCTTGCCACGGGGCTTATAGCTGACGTTGCAGCGAAGACGTTGAACGGTCCAGTCCAATTGCTCCGAGGTACATCGCTCTGCCGCACGGTATGCCCCAAGACAACCCAAGGGAGGCCTAAGGGAGGCTACCAGGACGTCATTGAGAGGCGGCGAAGAAGAAGAACGACAGGAGTTGAATGGAGCCCCTCCTTGACGCTTGCCGCGCATGCATGTCTGAAACAGCAGGCTGCCGCTCTCGCTTGTTGATGCCGTCCAGCTGGGGCTTGCTGATGAGGTTGCCGAGGCGAGCGACAAGCTGGCATACCCTCCCTCTTTCCCCTTGCCCTCCCGGTATTGCCCCAAAACCTTGCATGTGTCTAGCATGGAATGTTAAGGTGGTCGCCAATATTTCTGAGCCCGGAAGAACTAGTTAGTGGATGTGATTCTGCAAGCCACCATTGGAGCCACACACCAGCGTTCGATAGCGGGGGAGGGGGGCGTGGCTCAGGCGAGGCCAGCTGAGAAGCGCCACGCTTTTGCAGTGTGTGTTTGCTGGATAGTTGATTGAGGCTTTGCACCTTGCGGCCGCAACGCGATGAGGCGGTCAAAGTCAAAGTGGTCCGACAGCCGAAACCAGACAACGCCATGGAGGAATATGTGAGGCGTTGCGGAAGGCAGCTTCGCGGCGTTCTGCCATGGATGCAGCATTGGGCATGGATGCGGTGATTGAAGACAGACGAGGGAAGACGAGCAACGAAGGATCGCTTGGCAGATAATACTGAATGATGGGACCGTAGCATTGGATAGTTACGGGTGTCAAGGAAGGATGGCGTGTATCAAGAAGAAGCAAACAGGAACCCGGCACTTGCTGATGAGGCAGCAAGATTTATTGTGGGCTTGCTACTAAATGATCTGGACGAAGAAGGCGCAGGGCAACATGCAAGCAAGTAATAGCAGCATCAGGACATGAGGTGGCATGCTGCAACGGTGTCTGCCGAGGAGTGTGCACAATGGGACCTTGTTGAGTTATTATTACTCAGTCATATTCACGTCAGACGGACGATACAGTGCAGGGGTTATTTTTTTTTACATTTGACCCGACTGCATCTTTGTGTCTGGAAAAGGTGCCGTGCAGCGTCGTAGTCGTGAATGGGCGTGCAGAAAACGCTGCAACTTGACGATTCCCCTGTAATTTACATAGTTAGTGGGCTTCGGCGGTTGGAGGCGGCACAGTTTCAGTGCATCGGCAGCGGAGCCAGCAGTGGATACAAGGCCTTTCACAGCACATCCGTAGACTTCAGGGTTCCATGCATTGCGCAACCAATGTTCACTCTATCCACATCGCCAACAACATCTTATCCCACGCTCGCAAACTATACCCCTCACCATGCCTCGCGCCATCAGAAGTACACCCAAGGCCTGCCCTCTTCTTGTGTCTAGCCCTTCGTTTAACTGACAAGCTGCCCTTTCCCGCAGGCGTGCTCATCGAGTGCGACCCATCCATCAAGTCCATCATCGTCAACATTGACAGCGAGAATCACGACTTCATCATCGAGGATCTCGACGACGAGCGCGTCGTCGTCAAGGAAAACATGGTCCCGTTGCTCAAGCAAAAGCTCGAAGATGTACATACGCCACGGAACTGCCAAGCGCTCGCCTGCTAACTCGTCGCAGCGCCTAAAGGAAAACTTGCCTCCGGTCGACGAATCTGGCTCTGAATGAGTTTCCCTCGATACGAGTTTGCGCACACGACCGCCCACAACACAAACAACATTACGACACATTATAGACACTAGCATTCAAGGCGTTATCCTGTTTAATGTATTTATACCCCATTTTTCAACAAGACACAGCCGTCCTCGTCACATACTCTTACAACTTGGAAAACACGGGCTTTTTCTTCTGCATGCTGCTCATCATGGCCGTCACAAAGTCCTCGCCCTGCAGCGCCACCGAGTTCCACACCTGCGTGTACCGCAAGCTGTCAGCCACCGAGTGCTCCTTGCCGTAGTTGAGCAGCTCCTTGGTGCCCTGCACCGCGACGGGGCTCTTGGACGCCAGCAGCGACGCCAGGTCGACCGCCGCCGCGACGGCCGCGGCCTTGTCCGGGTGCACCTGGCTCACGAAGCCCTGCGCCAGCGCCTCGGCCGGCGTGAAGTCGCGCGCCGTCATGCACACGTCCTTGACCCAGGACAGCGACCCGACCACCTTGGGCAGCCGCGCCAGGGTGCCAATGTCGGCGGCCAGCCCAATGTCCACCTCCTTGACGGCGAAGCGCGTCTTGGCCGAGCAGATGCGGATGTCGGCGCAGGTGGCAATGTCGATGGCGAGGCCGATGGCAACGTCGTGAAGGACCGCAATGACGGCTAGTTTTCGTCTGTTAGCACACGTTCGGTAGTAATAGCATGAATATGAAAATGAAATGAATAGAACTTTATCGGGAAGGAGACGTACGCTTCTCGCACTTCTCCATGGCAGAGATGCTCGTCTGAAACTCTTCAATGTGATTGCGCAGGAGCTTGGCCCGGCGCACCTCGTCGCCCTCGGCCGTCGTCAGCGGGGAGTCGGCGGCCGCGGCCTTGACGTCGAGCCCGGACGTGAAGGCGCGGTCGCCCACGCCGCTCAGGATGGCGACGCGGAACTGCGAGTCGGCGCTGATCTGCTCAAAGACCTTGCCGTACTCGAGCCAGACGGCCTGCGAGAAGGCGTTAAGCCGCTTCGGGTTGTTGATCTCGACGTGGGCGACGTGCTCGGCGGGCGAGGTCACGCGCATGTACTGGTAGGACGCGTAGGCGGGGACGATGGACATGGTTGCGGCTGGGGTGTAGGCGTCCTTGATTCGAATGATGCAAAATGAGACGAGAAGAGGAAAGAGAAAAAAGACGGCGGGGAGTAGGGCTTGTTAATGCATGAGGTTTTTGCGAGATGGAATACGGTCCGGCCGGCCGGCTTTAGGTAGGGTGCTAAGTCTGGGGGAGCTAGTGATGCCGAGGTTCACCGGACATGGTTCAAGTCGCGGAAGTTCATCTCATCTCCTCCGGCCACCACATGCCGGTACCGGTGAAGTCCACCCCGAAACTAATAAAGGGGACTCGTCCAGTTTAAGGATGTTCTTCAATGTTCTTCTCTTTTCGAGTTCTTAGATGAACCAATGCGCACATGCCAATCAGACTGCCAAACTTCGCTACTGCAGAGCCATGTGATTGTGCGTCGTGCAGCGGGCTTTATCTAGAATACAAGTCTTTCGTTCAAACGTCGCCAAGCAAAAACACAAGAAAATAAAGGTGCAGTTCATGGTTAGGAAATTGGTAACCTACATTTCAGCTATACATCTGGGGAATTTTCCAAAAAAAGTCAAACGAGATTGGGTGCTGGTGATTTGGCTTCTGTACCGTAGAACAAACCTTGAGAATACCAGCTTGCAAAGAGGCCCAAGTACACGGATGATATCGCAAGCTTCATTACGCATTATCTTTATCATTGGGTTACCAGCACATTTTCATTTTTATTTCATTTTTATTTTTGGAAAATTCCCACTCGGGAGTTTCCAAAATGGAGCAGGTCGCCAGCGTTGTTTCAAGATACACACCTTAGTTAAATGTTGGCGCTGGAAATAAGACGGCATTACGTTCTCGATCTGGCCAGACAAGCATTATCGAATGCATCATCCTGCCGTTGAACGCGCGATATCTACCTACGTGATAGAGAAACAGCAACTGCATTAATAGCAACGATAGCAATGCCTCAGTGCATGCTCATCGGCAGCCAGCGGCCCCGTCATCCGCAAGCACCGAGAAGCTCCCCGCAAAGGTGGAGGATGCGGGGAAAGCTCTGGCATTGGTTAGAGAATGTGAGCAGATTTGCAGGTTAACGGCCTAGCCCTGGAAGACCCTGTCAGCTTTGTCTCGCCATCATTCTAACGCCGAAAGTCCTCTGTGCGTCGTCGTCCTTGTATCGGGCGAGACGGCTGCCTAGCTCCGATGGCCATGGACAGGGGGAGCAGCAGGCAGGGAGGTATGAATCATTCAAGGCACTGAGTAGTGGCACGCGAGGGGGCAGCCGACGGGCCCGCGGTAGCCGTGGACATTGTCGGCCTGGCCCGAGTTGAAAGAGCCGGGTTTTCATGAGCTTCAGCCAAGATGGGTTCTTCGAGGCCGCAACAAGAAATGAGTCGTCTGCTCTAGGCGCCCGAAAGCAGCTTCACAAAAATAGCAAAGCAGCAAGCCTCTGATAATAGAGTTCCACGACGATCCGAACACGAGGAAGAGGGTGTCATGCCCCCGCCCGCATTGGCTGCTATTGTAATCAGGTCTTGGTTGTGACAGGCCTGGTGAGTAATGCCGGGACTATATTCTAGGCACCTACGGATAGTTTTCCTCTCTTCCTGTCCATCTAGGCTAGCTTTTTGCAGAATACGAAATCGATGGCGGTCGGGGCGCCGATCCGGCAGCGGAAGACGTAAAATCCGCAGCGTCCGGGCTCATTCATGCTCTGCTCGCGACCACGCACTTCACCCACTCACCACTTCTTTTTTCCTTTTTTGCTTTTCAAAAATTCATCAACTGTATTTGACAAGAGTCATCAATTTTGCCCTATTTTCTTCGCCGTATTTCATCCCTGCTGGGCTGAGAAATCCAAACATACCCTTTCCCACCAACACCTCCTCCACCTCCTCCCGAAGGTCCCGAAACACCAAAATCCTCCACCAAAAAGCTTCCCGGAAAGCCATCCATCTGGCCCGCGCTACCGCCCGCTAGCGGCCCTGTGCACATCAACGACCGAGTTCGCCACCTTGTCTCTCCCGGTCCCTTTTCAACATTCCAACTTTTTTTTCCGTCATCTTCCTCATTGGGTTCGAGAGAACATTCAGTCGTTATCCATCCTCCTACCAGTCAATCGCTCGCTTCACCCCAGCCCAAGTCTCCAGAATACGACCTCAGACAAACAGCACACACATCCATCACCATGCCGCGACGCCGCGACAGCAGCCTCGCCGCTGCTGAGCTCGGCGTGCAGGTCGAGCTCGAGCCCTTTCACGACGACAGCTTCCCCCTCGCCTCACCCACATCCTCCTCCTCCTCCTCCTCCTCCCCCGACGACCACGACCACCCCGACTCGCCTCTCCTCCAGCCAACCTCCTCCACACAGCCCTCCGCCTCCTCCGCCGTGCCCAAATGGCTATCACCACCGCCCTACGCCTCCCGCCGCGGCGCCGCCCGACACCTGCTGCACCTCGCGCACATCCTGCGGCCGCGGCGGTCCTGGCGGTGCCTCGCCTTCCACCTCGTCGCCCTGTACGCGCTCGTGTGCGTCCTGCGCGGCGAACCCTTCTTCGCCTCCAACCTGCCCACCGGCCACCGCTACGGCGGCGCCCCCGAGGCGGCCCCCTACGACGTCGGCACCGTCGACCTCGAGGTGCCGCTGATTGAGCCGCGCCGGCTCTCCGAGACGGCCCTCAAGGCCTCGGGCCAGCCCGCCTTCGTGCTCGAGTCCGTCCTCTTCAGCCTCTACTATCCCGTCGCGCGCGGCGCCCGCGCCGCCGCCGGCACCTCGCCGCACCTCTGGGTCCCGCGGCCCGTCAGCCTCACCGCCGCGGGGCTCGCGCGCCTCGCCCACGCCGACTACTTCTTCGTCCGCCCCATCCTCACCTTCCTCCTCTGGGCCGTCGCCGGCCGCATCGAGATCCCCGCCAAGGTCGACGCGCCGCTGCTGCAGCTCATGGCCACCGCGCCCGGACACAACGACACCGCCGGCCTCCCCGTCGTCGTCTTCTCCCACGGCATGGCCTCCTCCCGCACCGACTACACCGCCTACCTCTCCGCGCTCGCCGCCCGCGGCGTCGTCGTCGCCGCCCTCGAGCACCGCGACGGCAGCTGCCCGGGCACCAGCGTCCGCGTCCGTGGCAAGCCCGACCGCGACGTGCTGCACTTCGACACGCGCCACGTGCTGTCCACGCCGCCCATGGACGCGCCCGCCATGAAGCGCGAGCAGCTCGCCTTCCGCGAGGCCGAGATCCGCGAGGCCGTCAAAGCGCTCGGTGCCATCAACGACGGCCACGGCCGCCAAGTCTACGACCAAAACTCCCGCAGTGAGGGCACCACCCTCCAGGAGTGGACCGGCCGCCTCGACCTGTCGCGCCTCGTCATCGCCGGCCACTCCTACGGCGCCACCGGTGCCCTGCAAGCCCTACGCCCCGACTCCTGGAGCGCCTCCTCCTCCTCCTCCTCCTCCTCCGACTCCTCCTCCGACTCCGAGTCCGCTTCCGCCGTCGCCCCCGCGGCCGGCGTCATCCTCGACCCGGGCAAGAGCAGCGGCCCGCTCAACGCCGACGTCGACGTGCCCCTGCTCGTCGTCAACTCCGAGGCGTGGTCCCGCGGCCCAAGCCCCTTCTTCGGCCGCCCGCACTTCGGCACCGTCCGGGACCTCGTCGCCGATGCGCTCAACCGCACCGCCGCCGCCTGGTTCCTCACCGCCCGCGGCACCGCCCACCCGTCCGTCACCGATGCGCCGCTCCTAGAGCCCCTGCTGCTCTCCGCCGTCACCGGCGCCCGCCTCGACGCCCGCGCCGCCCTCGCCCAGTACGTCAACGCGACCGCCGAGTTCCTCGACGCCGTCCTCCCCACCGGCGCGTCCCCGAGCCACCTGCTCGCTGAGGGCGTCACGCACGAGGAGTACGGCACGTGGGTGAGCGAGGAGCGCGAGGAAGCGTTTCCCAACGAGCTGGCGCGTCTGTGGGAGGTCCACGTGGCCCCTTGAAAAGAGGGCGTCGTGGATGGATGAGGTTGACGGGGAGGTGAAGGAGTGTCAAAAAGTGACCCCTTCATAAACGGTGACACGCATAAAACTAAATACATACACTGGTACGAGCATGTTTGGCATCAATATACAACAACACCCCGGGCGGACAAAGAGAACTGGATACTCCGCGTCGTCCTATACTGACCTTACTGGAAATGAATGATACCTTGGGATTTGACATTGGCGTTATGTTACACTTGTGTCTTTTTTTTTTCTTTGACTGCATACATGATTGACGAAGAGTGCGCGTACCACCATCATTAAACTCTCACTGCAGCGTTCTCCTTATCATACTCTCCTTGATCTTATATACATCGGCAGCTTCACTACAATCTATCAACTACCATGCATCCGTCCATAATAAAATGATTCAAGTGTCCTGAAGCGATATCAAATAAATGCGGCGGCCCAGTCCGAAGTGACTGCATCTGGTACTCGCTTAGTCTTTCGGCTGTTTAGGAACAGCTCAACCATTCGCTTGCTTCCCATGGCTTGGGCATCCAGTCCTCTCCTAAACCGACAATCATCAAATGGTGCCGCCTCCCGCACAGTTTTACTCTGAACCACATCTTCTCCACCACGAATGCTGCGGCGCCGAGGCGATCCCATAGCCACTGTTCCGAATTGTCGTCTGACGGCAGCGCTTAGACCCGGGCTCGATTTGAGCGACGATGCTGCCCCGGAATTAAAGTACGCTTTCTTGGTTCTGCTCGGAGATTCTGTCAGAGCAGACGGACTGCTCTGCTGCTTTTGAGGCGTGACGCTCATTTTGCATGTTGTCTCGTACGCCTCAATCGCCCTAACGTTGGGGAGGGATGAAACACTGCGAATGTTTGCCTGGGTTTTGCTTTCCATATTTTCAGTCTTCTTGTTCTGGTATTCTGGTGGTGCGTTTTCATCGTGCGTGAGCAGCGGGTGGCTGTGGTGCGTGGAGCCATCTTCGATGACGATACTCTGCGTCAGGGGGGGGACAGGAATATCTGCAGTCGCAACTCCGCTGGTATGTATGCTGCCATTTTCGGCAGCGCTTGTATCGGATTGGTTGCTGTTTGGCTCAATCTCAGCATTCTCGCGAACGTGGCCCAAAGTAGACCAAGGGTTCCATGTATGCTCCTCGCTAAGAACCCTGGACGCTTGGCCGCAGTCTTCCAGTTTCGATACTTTAGCGCTAAGCCATGTCTTCCATTCCACAGAGCTCGCAGTAGATACTTGCCGCTGATGGCTGCTCTCCAAACCGTCGGCAGTCGTGGTTGCTCGCTCTTGAGGTTGGGGCGAACGCGATACAATGGTGTCGAATTCGCTAAGATCATAGGCTGACTCCGGATTCTTGTCCTTCTGCAGACTATCTGAAAGGTTGGAGTAGATACTTTCAGCTGAGGATAAACGAACATCGCGCTCTGAGCCGTCCGGGCTCGATCGACGGGTGGGAAGGCTCAACGCAGAAAGCGAACTCAGATATCGCAGGTTGACTGGCTTGATGCTCGATGACCGATCCTGCACTCTCATGCTCTTGCGGAGGGCTCTTCGGTATGGGCTTTGCGTCCTGAAAAGGTGGCCCGCAGGGCTTGTAATTCCACTATTTGTTGCACTGGAAAATCTAACAGTGTCTGTGTCACAATCATCCTGTAAAACAGCTTCGTTGTAGTTATAACACGATGCACTTTGGGTAAGTTCGGAGGATGGTCCGTCGTGTATGGCACTATTGATGCGGCTAGTAGACTGCGCAATACTGCCGCCGAAAGCGTCGGCCGAAGTTCCCTCGTGGGAGGAAGCTTCTTGATTCTGTTGCTTCTGCATATCGTCGAGTCTCTGTACAAGAGCAGAGTAGGCACGCTCTTCGTCTTCGGATGAGCGCCATCGTTCCAAAGTTGATATGGTGTGGCCCCCTTCGTCGATCACAGAAAGCCTCTGAGGCTCCCACTCAGCATCCAGTGTGCTGCTCACCGTATTCGTGCTGGAATTCGTCCAGCTGGTGACTCGTGATCTCTCCCCATCCGTCTGCTGCGCTCCGTCATCTACCACTTCAAGACTTCCTTGACGGGCTTGCAGACAGTGTCCAGATTCAACCGACCGCAACGACGGCACATATGATTTGACTCTCGACACCGAGGTCTCCTCTTGGAGGGAAAGCTTTGAGTGGTGAACGCTGCCCGTAACCGTGAAATTGGAAGTTCCAGTCTCGTCTACCTTCTTCTGCCAACCAAACATACCCCGGAACTTGGTCTTGACACTTTGTGAAACTTTTCTGGCGGCCTTTCGAAGGCCAGAACCCTTGGACAACGACGAGGCCGTAGAAGAAATCGTTGCAGAAATAAGCATGCTATTATTACTGCTGTTTCTCATGGATGTTTTCATCTCTGTCAAGCTCGCATCTCGTTTATTCTTCGGTCGAAAAAACAACGATGGGCGATTTTTGAGGCGCATGCTACCTCGTAGGGACAATTTGCTTGGTGATCTGGAGATGATGCTTTCTTGCTGACGGCGCATGGATGGACCTTTGCTAGAGTTGAGCCGCAAGAAGCTCATCGATTTCGGGCTTCGCAGTGAGTTCTTTCCCGTCCCAAGACCGGAATTTTTGATTGGAGCGCGGGGATGCCAGCCGCTCCTCGCGGTCGCTGCACTCTCCGAGTTGCACTCGGATGACATGAAAGAACCGGTGAACATGGATCGTGATTTTCGTAGTTTCTGCCTCTGAACTGGGTAGAATAATGATTCCGATTCGCCTCCAGTTTCTTCATTCCTAGAATCTAGGTCGACCGAGCGATCGAGCCAATAGTCGCCATATGTGCAGCCAGCCAGAGGCGAGCTCCTCGGCAGATGGCCACCAAGTGCGTTCGGGTGCATGCGTCCCGAAATATCGGAATGATCGGCCCAGCTTCCATTTGCACGAATTGCTATGTCTCGCTTCTTTCCCGCAGTAGGTCCAGTGAATCGTACACTTCTCTGTCGACACAGATTGCTGTCCGTCTTTTCGATTGTAGCCTCGCTCTTATCGCCGTTGTAGGATATGACATCTGGGCCATTCATAAAGCTCTCGCTTCTCGTTAATCTTTGTCCGGAGATGGAAGTTGGAATGTCCATCGAGTAGGACTTGTCGGATTCTTCTCTGGCTCTTGAGAAGGAGACTCTCGCGGCGATGTGAGCATCTCGGTAAGCCGCATGCGGTTCGAGACTGGTTAGTCCTCGGATGTGGTTCGTAGCAACAGAGCCAGTAGACTTGCTTCGGCGTAGCGATGCACGATGCTCAAGCCTGGAATTATTTCGTCGAAACATGGCGATGGTCCAGCATGTAACAGGATATTGATGGCCCAAGCTTCAAAAGGGTAGCAGAGATAGAATGGCGAAATCAAAAGAACGACAACTATTAGCCAACAATAAAAACTAGATGGTACCGCACCCGTTGCTTCATGAAAAATCGCGCTTCGAGAATTTGCAGATGTGCATTAAATCATTCCATGCGGTCTAAACTCAAGCACTGAGGGCGTTTGTTGTCTGAGCCGGCCGCAGATAAGGAAGGTGCGGCCGAGATCCAATCCACGGCAACACCATACGTGTCAAGGGATTGGTAGCAGCCACCATGGCAATTGTTGTGCATGAGAAAGAATATTAAAAATAAAAAGAAATGTATTTCATCTGAGCTAGTATCCTCATCCATGCATTCCCCCGTGGGAGTCAAGTATCTATCCCGTATTGTAATTCAAATCAATCAAAAAACAAAACCTAAGAGAAACACCAGATGACTTGCAGTTTACATATTTAAATCAAGGTTGACAGTAGGAAAGCATCCGACACCACAATAGAGAAGTGGCTCATTCAGGATGATAGGATATTCGTGTATGATGAGGAATTTACTCCAGGTGGGAGAGGAAATCCTCGACCTCAGCATCGACAATGTGCTGGATCTTCTTGGCGAACTTCTCAGCCTTGCTGCCGAAGGTCTTGGCGGACTTGGTAATCTCGCCACTGACGACCTCGAACTCGTGCTGGATCTTGGTGTGGATGTTCTCGGTCTTGGACGAGGTGCGCTTAGCGTCGTAGCTGCCAGCCTCGACAATCTTCTTGTAGTCGTTGCAGCCAGCACCGTTCCAAGCAAGAACATTGGGGGATCCGGAGCCAACATCGCTAAGAGTGTTCTTGGTACCAATGTTGATGATGCTCTCCTTGAGCTCAGCGGGGGTGATGGCGGCAACAGCGTACTCAGAGTCGGCGGCGGGTTGGAGGGACAGGTAGTAGGCGAGGAGACCGCAGATGTGGGGAGAGGCCATGGAGGTACCAGAGATGGTGTTGATGGCGTACTTGGAGCCGATCCAGGTGGACTGAATGTTCAAGCCAGGGGCAAAGATGTCAGTGCACTTGCCCGTGTTGGAGAAGTAGGCACGGCTGTCATCAATGGTCGAGGCCCCAACAGTGACGGCCTTCTTAGCGGCAGCAGGGGAGTAGTTGCAGGCGTCCGCGTTATCGTTACCGGCAGCGACGGCAAAGTGAAGCCCCTTGTCGACGGCAGCATCAACAGCCAAGTCAAGCAGGGTAGTCTTGCCACCACCGAGAGACATGTTGGCGACGGAGCCCTTGAAGCCCTTGCGCTTACCATCCTTGGCCAGTTGTACCTGCTCCTCGTGCTTCTTGGCAGCCCAGTCAACTCCCTTGATGACATCCGACATAGTGCCCGAGCCGTTAGAGCGAAGGACCTTGACGGCGTACACGTTGGCCTTCTTGGCAACACCGTACTTCTTACCGGCGATAGTGCCAGAGCAGTGAGTGCCGTGGCCGTTGCCGTCCTCATCCGCATCGCCGTCAGGAGCAGTGTAACCCCATTGGGCACGGCCCTCGAAGTCGACGTGATCGATGTTGGTGCCAGTGTCAATAACGTAGGCATCAACACCCTGACCACCCTCCTCGGCGTACAGGTACTTGTTGAAGGTACTGAAACCCAGAGTATCGCGGTGAGAGATACGAGCAAGGCCCCAAGGAGCCTGCTTTTCCTCCTCATGCTTGCAGGTGTCATCAGTGACAGCATGCTTGGTGGTGACGGGGACGGTGGTGTGGACAATGGAGTCCCGTTCAATGGCCTCAACCTAAAATCAGAGTTAGATGGTGATCTGCGGCGGCCATCAAGAGAATACGTACGTCGGGGTGGTTGCGAATCTGCTCAATGACGGCGTCGTCAAAGTGGCCAGAATAACCACGGAAGCCAGAGCCAAGATCAAAGCTGTGCTTCATACCGGCAAAAGCATCCTCGACGGAGTCGAAGAGACCGCGCTTGCGGAGCTCAAGACGCTGCTGCTCGCCATCGCTGTGGATATCCGAGACCCAGGCATGGTGGGACTTGGCCTTGGGCTCATCGACGTGGTCCTTGAACTTGATGATGTAGGCGCCAGGAATAGTGTTGGCGTTGGTGGCATCGAGGATCGGGGCAGAGTCATGGTGGATGGTTCCAATCTTGAAGGACGATGCCTGGGCGATGGCGACCACGGAGAGGGCGGCGACGACGGACTTCATGATGTAGGTAGGCTGCGCTCACGAGTGCAGACGAGTGGATGACGCGGGCCGGCCTGCGATGGGTGGTGTTTCGAAAGAAGCGAGAAAATCAAGACGAGGAAGAGGAAGAAGAGGAAGGGGAGTGCTGGATGTCGGAAAGGGCCAGCGAGATGAAGAGCAGAGATGGAAGATGATGAAGGAAGACGGAGGTTGTGTTGAGGGAAGAGAGGAATGAGGAAGAAGCGGAGGAGGATGACGAGCGAGGTGCTCCGAGGTGTTGATAAGGGCGGAGCACGGGCTGGGCGCGGTACATCCATTTTTGTGGCGTGTTGGTATGATGGGAAGTATCTGCCATTGCCGCCTGTTTGGCCAGGCAGCGCTGTGGGCTGGACGAGTGACGCATCCTCCACAGGGCGCCAGCCGAAGCTTACTGGGGTCTTTCGGAGGTTTGGGGGCTTTCGGGGACCAATGGAGAAGCTGCTGCGCCGAGACCAGCGGCACAAGAACTCCCCCGCACCTTGTCACGGATGTCCAGCCAGGCGATGTGATAGTCGCCAGACTCGTCGAGGGTACTTTTAGAAGCGCATTCTTTATGGCTCTTCATCTCGTACATAGTACAGGTAGTTCAGCCGCAAGCGTACTCTCTGACCAGCTGGGCTTGTTGGTAGCTTGTTGATACCAAGGTCGTCACCTGGCCAGAGTGAGACAGCCCTGGTGCAGATACCCCAGCTGCAACGCTGCTTTAAGGGGGGCGATGCCGGGAGTGCTACCCGCACCGGAGACAGCCAGTGGTCGTGCGATGGTACCTGTACCTAAGACCAGCTGCCCGTACGCCTTGCAATGGCCTGCAATGATAAGTTAATAAGCTCTGCAGATCATAAGAAATAAAAACTTAATAATATACTCAAAATGAAATACCTTACTAAACCTCTCTCCCAGTCGCAATTAACTTTTGGAGCCAGCGTTGACGCAGCTACTCCCGCGTGGTGGCAACTTGGCTCGTGCCTGAAACTCTCCGGTCTCGCCTCACAGGCCGCCTTTCGTCTATCATACTCTGGCTGGTTCTGGCCCCCCGTCTGTGGCGGCCTGTCTCGGTTTTCAAGCGTGAGTGGGAGGCCCCTGGAATTTCCATTTCTCAACCAGTCATCTTTCTTGACATGTTTTTACGATTATTATTCTACGATTTTTTCCTCGTGCCACGGTTCCTATTCCGTCAACAAAAGTAGATCTGCAGGACATGACGTTTCTGGCCGCAAGGCACCCATCCGCGTGACTCGTCAGATGCGGAGAGGGAGCCTAGCCGTCGGGTTATAGCGGCGACGGCGCTAGTCAAAAACAGCGCTGGCACCTTGCAGTGACAACCAGGTCAACCAGGCCAACCAGGCCATCACGGTTCCTGACGCGAGTGAATAGGTACGTTCTTTATTATTGTCATGCCAACAAAGACTGAATTGTTTGCTCAATAACCCCTATTCCTTTTCATAGCAGCGACCATATTCGCTCAGTTTGCCCTTCTTTATCATGGTCCTTTGATCACTACTAGTCGTCATGTTGCAGCCGATGGCAAGTTGACCCAAGTCGATCCCCAGTTTCCCGTCCCTCACCTGATGGCGGTCCTTGGTCACCAGGTTGGCAGGCTCCCTAGCGAATGGGCACGTGCCGCTCATGCCGCTCTCAACACATTAACCGCCTTGCGGCCGTATTTATTGGTGAGTCGTAATCGTCCAGTAAAACAATGTCTTGCACTGCCATGATCTTCCGATTCGCGTCGCTCCCTTGCTTGGCCGGCCCATTTCTTTGCAGTCCAGCGAGATGTATCCGTGCTGTACGTATCCATATTCTTAGATCACCGCACTCGGCGACCGAGTTCACAGCGAGCCGCATGTAACTACTCGGCCTCCAGCCCATCGCTTCTCGCTATCAACCAGCAGACTACACTACCTACATAGGTAGGTATCATTATATCTACAATCTTCGTATCAACACTCTTAAATTATCCGTATCGCCCCGCATTGCGCATCGTGCTAGGCGAACGAGGCCGTAGATGAGCAGCATTGCGCATCTACTTATTAAGATAGTGCCTGTCTGGTCATGCTCTATCCGTCGCCATGCGACCTCCCCGCTTTCTGCATAGCTCGACCGTGATGAACGATATCTTCACACTTACCGATCGAATTCCTGTTGGTACAGAAACTGCATGTTATACTCATCCAAGCCTGGCATATTTGGCGGTAGCAGGTGTCGGCATGGGCAAGCACAACAACACAATTGCGCGCATAACAGCATGATGGCCCTTTTCTCGACTCACCACCCTAGAGCGCAGTTAGACCCCTCGTGGCTTTTTACCATGTAAACTTGACCGTGAGGCTTCAGCTGCCAGACCTGCATCATAGCTTGCGTGATACCGACTTACCCTAGACATCTTCCAAGCTGGGTCTTATCCGCAGTAAAAGCCCCCTACTCAGCGGCTTGAGAAGCGAAAAATCAGCATGAAAGCGTTTGCAAACCCAAAACACCATGAAACGCTCGATATGTCTTTATTTTCTCCCATCCCGAACCGTTTCACTTCAACTTCGGGACCAGCGCTCCGCCTCATTGTGGGCTCGCCTAGTCCAATGTGCTGACAGGCCTAGTTAGTTACTGTGTGGTGCCACGACACTACCTACGTCAGGTAGCTCCATCGGTCTTGAATCGTGCACCGCAAAGCTCCAAAATCCCACATAGGCGCCCGTATTCCTCATCACAGCTCGTTTAATGCGGCGATTCAGCTTATCGGCCCCTCGAGACAGCGCCTCTTTTAAGAACTCGACAGCAGCCCGACGGTGTCCGCCTTGATATTGTGCTTTCCTCGTATCAAAAGAACGCAAATGTGCAGTGCCCCGCGCAACCGAGCGAACACGAACCACGACAATTCCGACCTCGCTTCGAGCAACTCCATGCAGCCATCGTCAATGTCTTTCCTGGGCCCGTAAGGGGGTCATGGGAATATTCGATTGGCATGTACTGAGATAGAGCTGCACAATCCAGTCACCATGTCGGCAAACACGAGACGGTACCGGTCCTCGACCTCCGCGTCTACACCAGCAGCGGCCAATCTGAAATCTGTTCAAATCCTGCAGGCTCTGCTTGATGGTCTGGCTAGCCAGATCAATACCTCTGCGGGAAATGGCTACCCCCAAGCACTTCAGCTTACCAGCAGTCTCAGAAATGTCGCGGAGCAAATCTCGTCCTCCAACACAGCTTCGCACCAGGATGCCTTTCGGCTAGCTGGCGGCTTCGAGGCCGTCCTCAATATCCTGAGAAGCTTCTCCGGATTCTACGACCCCGATAAACGCTCCAACAAAGAAATGACCACATTGTTTCAACTGCTCGGCGCCACGCTTGACGTCTTCGCCGCTGCCTTGCACAGCCACTCTGGCAACAAGCGATTCTTCAAGTTTCGTGTCGAAGGCGGTGGATGGGAGGCTCTCGAGCAGGCCATTGCCAGCATTGGTCTCGGCGGCGTCGAACCGAATCCCTGGGTCAGCTGCCACGTTTTCGGAAAGCTTTTTGCCTTCTGCCTTGGAGACGATGCCATCGACCTCCTCTTCCAGTCGATCGCCGAAACCCTGCGCCATGACAACGAACGAGCTACCGACAATGCGGACGAGACAGAACCGGATGACCAGTGGGATCTTGTTCTCGCCAAGTCTATGGAGTCAATAGGCCCCAAGGTCCGCGAATTGGTGCAAATGACGACTCGAGTTCATTATCCAGAGGTGCTCCGTGCCCTTGTCAGCTTTTGGTCCTCTCTCCCCCGTGACGACGAAACTGCCGCCACACCCGCATCTCTCTTAGTCCTCGAAACTATTCTCCGCGCTGCTGAGGTGTTGACGTATAACTGTGCCGCGATTCACTCCACAGGTGTCATGTCCCAATTTCTTCGTGTCGCCTTCTCCCCCAACGCAACCCTCTCCGATTCCGAGCGTAAAAAGATCCTCGCCATTTGCCGCCAGCTCATGTTCTTTGGTGTCGATAAACCCGCTGACACTCAGTTTCTCCTCTCCGTACCCGGATCGGAGGCCTCCGAATTCTGCCTCGAAATGATGGGTAGATATCATGGTCCTGCGTTTTTCAATTTTGATCTCTCCTTGTACGGCCACTCGTCTCTTGAGCTTCCCAGTCTTGGCCGCCCGTTCCCACCGCAGTCTTCGCCTGGCTACACGTTCACAGCGTGGGTATGGATCGACAATTTCGACCCGTCCACCCATACGACCCTGTTCGGAGCCTTTGACGCCTCTCAGACGTGCTTTGTGCTCATGTATCTGGAGAGGGATACACACAACTTTATCCTACAGACGTCTGTGTTCTCCAATAAACCCAGCATCCGTTTCAAATCTACTCAGTTCCGCGAGAAGCAATGGTACCACATCGCTATTGTTCACAAGAGGCCCAAGACCATGACAGCAAGCCGCGCTGCCTTGTATGTCAATGGCGAATTCTGCGAGCAAATGCGATGCAACTATCCCATGACCCCGCCGCTCTCTAATAACAGCAGTGAAAGCTTTGCATCCTTCAATTCCGGACAAAACAAGACAAATCCCGTACAAGCCTTCATCGGAACACCGAGGGAGCTATCTAGCCAACTCGGCACAGGCCTAGTGTCTTCGCGATGGTCATTGGCGTCTGCACATCTCTTTGAAGACGTTCTTGGCGACGATTTCTTGGCTGTTCATTATGGCCTCGGACCCCATTATCATGGCAATTTCCAAGACACGCTGGGCGGCTTCCAAACCTATGAGGCATCCGCCCAGCTGGGTCTTCGTAACGAAATTGCGCGCTCTGGAAAGGACGAAAGCTCCGACATCTTAAAAGCGGTCCGAGACAAGGCGAGTGTGATATTGCCCGAATCAAAGGTCTTGCTCAGCATTCTTCCCTCTGCCACACTTCCAGAAAATGTTCAGTTTCTGGACACGGGTCTCTTGCGCTCCCTTCCCCGTTCCGCCGCGCGAGCTCTCTTCATGGCTTCGAATAAAGACGGCGCTCCTTTAGCTATCAATTCAGCCGTTCCCAACATCGCCGATGCTCTCTTCAAGCCCCAAGGAATTGCATCCTTCCGAGGTAGCCCGACAATCGCACTGCCGTCGTACCTCGACGAGAACCTTTGGCGCCTCGCGGGATTTACCTCTCTGGCGCTGAAGCTACTGGAAAGGGCCACATCTGTCGACGAGACCATTCGATCTCTGGAAATCATGTTCCACTGTATTCGTACAAGCTGGAGAAACAGCGAAGCTATGGAACGTGATAATGGCTACAGCATTCTTGCCATGCTGCTACGATACAAAATGGGCTACACGGGCGGATTGGCTACTGAATTCTTCGCCATCAAACTACAGCTTTCTGCCGAGGAGCGGGACAGTCTGGCCTTTAGAGTCTTGAGCCTGGTACTTGGATTCGTCGGGTACAACCACAAGAATCCTCTGGATTCACTGATTGTCAATTCCCTTGCCTACCGTATCTTGCTCATCGATCTGGATCTCTGGCGCAAATCGGCGCCGCGCATCCAAGAGCTTTACTACAAGCAATTTGTTACGTTCGCTGTTAATAGCAAGCATCATGAGTTCAACAGCAGGAGACTGACACGTATGCGGATTGTTAAACGTCTGCTAGACGCGATGAAGGGCGAAGCTATCCCCGAAGAAGTTCTACCACACTTCATGCACACGTTTGAAGTGCTGGTGAAGTCTTACCTTGGCCCTGAAGTTATGCGATCACTGTCGTTGTTCATTACATACGCATTCCATGTGCCAGGCCCCTTAACGTCTAGAACGTCGCGTGCTCTTTCTTCGCTTTCGAGACCGACAACACCAAACTTGATGAGGAGGCAAACTGGTGACGGTAGTGGTGCAAGTAGTCCACTGCCGGGGGTCAAGTATCTCACCAAGAAGCAACTCGGTACCTGGGTGTTGAGCATTTACACTCGCATTCTGTGCGAGAAAGGAAATTTCAACACCATGCGCAAATTTGCCAAGACGGTCACAAATAAGTGGCTGCTTTACTTGCTTGCCGAAAATGACAAGGATATTCTTCTTCAAGGCGCGACCATCCTGTCGAGGCTTCTGGTTGCCCATGGCTCGGCATATACTTCAAAGTTTGCCAGCAAGTCTGCCGGATTCGCGATTATGGCGAACCGATTAAAGCGCTTCTGGTTCAGCGCTGCACTTTGGCCAGTGGTACTGAGCCTACTGTTTGGTGTCGATGTAGCCGACCTTGACACGGACAAGTGGCTTGATACTGCGTACCTACTGAGCGTCTTCGGTGGTCGCAAGGTGGTTTATCCTGATGCCTTTGTCATAGTCACCTCTATGCTTCAGCATGGCCTGAACGATGTTCTCAAGCAAGACAACAATGTATCGGAATCAAGCCTTGACCCGGGATCTCGGCCAGCATTGTCGAGTGAGTCTGCAAAGCCGGACATAGACGAAGTGACACGATCATTACAGACCGGGCTGAGTTTGGGACAGCATGCACATCCCGCTTTCCTGCAAAGAGTGCTACAACTATTTCACGACCTCTACGAAAAATCCTCGGATTTCAGAGACTTTGCCTTGACGTCGGACTGGATAAGGCTCATCTTTTCGATGCTATATCCAGTAGTTGTTAGCAGCGACGCCGTGACGCCAGATGTCGAACTGCACTCTCGAGACTCGTCTTTAAACTTTGAAGGCAGCGACGTTATCATTCGACCAATAGGGTTGGCCTCTGGGCGCCCTGCGCCAATCGTACGGACCACCAGCGTTGATTTGAGTTCCACGCCGCAGTCAACGCCCCCTAAAGGGACTCTTCTCAAGCGCGCATCTTCATTTGTTCTCCTTACTACACAAACCGCGCAAGAAGACGAGAAGCAACAAGACTCCGTGAGCCGCCCGCTCAGCAGCAATGGGCAGTCTGGTGCTCTTGTTGACAGCCTACTTGGCCTTGCGATCAACGTCTTTCTGGACCAAATTTTCAAGCGCAAGGAGTTCTCCGGATTTGGGCTCTTCACCAAGGTGCCACCGGGCTTCCAAGAGCACCAGGCCTACTTTGAATCCTTTATCCTGAAGAGAATCGTCTCAAGTTCAACAGAACTCGTCATGTCTAACCAAGCCATGTTGTGCGAGCCTAAGCTGATTACCAACATGGCACGGCTTTGTCTGCACTTGACGGAGGCTGTCTTTGAAGGATGGTTCATTGATGGCGCCGAGGTGCTCATCGATTTTGCAGGGATGCTCCTAGAGTATCTGCAGCGGCCAGATATCGCAAGCCTGAAAAGCGTGAGACTCTGCAGCCAATCCGTCACACTCATTCGTACCTGTCTACTGCGTGTTATTCTGTTGAAGCTATCCGATCTCGACAGGCCGGAAACTACAGATGGGGCTGCCGCCGCGTTCATGAGTAAACTAGCCTATTGGCAAATGTCAATCTTGGGCTGCTTCGTGGCGGAAGATGAGTACCTGAAGCTCCTCTGGTATCAACTATACACGAAGCTTGTTGATGAAAGGGGCCCTGTTCGGCGGTCGGCTGCTAGTTTTCTTCGCATCCTGCTGGTTGCGAAGCCTGACGAGTCGTCAGCTCTCATTCGTTCGTTTATGGTCCCCGGACAGAAGCAAATTGTCCATGACTTTAAGAAAATCACTGAGCTAGATGATGACGTGTTCATTTCCTGGGTGGACCAGAACCGGCCATCCCTTGATTTGCTATTCTTTGGAGGCATGGCCAAGATATGGGAGAATTTCGTCAGCATCGAGAACATGCGCACACAGGAGACTGCCAAGACCCGCCTCTCGAAGCGAAAAGACAAACTGAAGCAGTGGTACGTTGAAGGCGCCTCAAAAGACAAGCTTCTCGCAAATCACGAAATTGGAAACAGCGCTTGGATGAAGAGCATCTACAACTCTGAGCACTTCAAGTACCAGCGCATACTTCAAGACCAACAAGATGATCTTTCGTTCCTTATCTCGGCATACAAGAAAATGGAAATGGACTTGAGGCGACCTGGTGCAGTCTTCAGCGACCCTAAGCCCCTGAAATGGAAGCTGGACCGGACCGAGGGGCGCAACCGAATGCGTCTGCGATTGCTGCCAGATTTCTCTACAGACATGGAAAAGTATCGCTCCAAGGAGAAGGGAGTTGCTGCAGCAAACTTGCGAACTAACACAGCTGCGGGCAATTCGCCGGGCACCGCCCCTGCTACGCCAACACTGACCGCGGCGCCGGTGACAGGTGCTGCTGGAGCCACTGTGGAAGCTGAGGGCGAGCTTGCTTTGGAACAAGAGGATGCCGGGTTTGCACCGGAAGACGACTTTGAGCTTATTGAGGATCCCAATGATGCCCATGACCTAGACGAGAACTTTGAGGACAAAAACCGCAAAGTCATGCGCCGACTAGAGCAGGGCGACCAGGTCCAAGCGGCCTACAACGTTTCTCGCGTCACCGGGCTCGAGGCTTGCGAAGGAATCCTCATCATCGGCAAAGATGCACTATATATGATGGACAATGTGTTTCAGACGTCGACCGGGGACATCGTCAACGTCTGGCAAGCCCCGATGGAGGAGCGCGACCCATTTACGCGTATTGTCACGGGAACCAAAACTCTGGAGAAGCGACAGACAGCCGGAAACCGTGATCAAGAGTCCAGGCATTGGAAGTGGCAAGATACTATTAGTATTTCGAAGCGGCGCTTCCTCTTCCGTGACGTCGCTATTGAAATCTTCTTTACAGATGGCCGTAGCTATCTCCTTACTGCGATCAACACGACCGTTCGAGACGAAATGTTTACCAAGATGCTATCCAAGGCGCCACACACCAGCGCAGCCCATGCTCTGCCCAACCCAGAAGATGCGTGGAGGCTAGAAGCGTTGAAAAACTTTGACGAGTTGCAGCAAGGTATCGGCTCCAAGATAGGGACGCTGTTCAACACGTCACCGTGGAATCCGCTCATGAAGCGCTGGCAAAAGGGCGAAATGTCCAACTTTCACTATCTCATGATGGTTAACACCATGGCTGGCAGAACTTTCAACGACCTGACCCAGTACCCAGTATTTCCTTGGGTTCTCGCTGACTTTACGAGTGAGGAGCTGGACTTGAACAACCCCGCCAGCTTCCGTGACCTGTCCAAGCCTATGGGTGCTCAGACTCAGGAACGAGTACAGGGCTTTGTTGAAACGTACAATGCTCTGAAGGAAATTGAGCAGGCGCCATTCCACTATGGAACACATTATTCGTCTGCTATGATTGTTTCATCCTACCTCATTCGTCTGCCGCCGTTTGTGCAGTCATACCTGTTGCTGCAAGGCGATAGCTTCGACCATGCCGACCGACTGTTCCAGTCAATCCCCGACGCTTGGAAGTCAGCATCCTGCCGAAACAAGACGGACGTCCGAGAGCTCATTCCCGAATTCTTCTGCTTACCCGAGTTTCTGACCAACGTGAACGGCTATGACTTTGGCCGGCGACAGAGCAACGGCGTCAAGGTTGATAATGTCGTTCTACCACCGTGGGCCAAGGGCGACCCCAAGATTTTCATTGCCAAGCATCGCGAGGCCCTGGAGAGCCGATATGTGAGCGAGAACCTCCATCGCTGGATTGACTTGATCTTTGGGTTCAAGCAGCGAGGTGAAGCGGCCGTGGAAAATTTGAACGTTTTCCATCACTTGTCGTATGCCGGCGCGAGCGACCTGGACCGCATCACGGATGCGAATGAGAGAGCCATCACTGCGGGCGTTATTCACAACTTTGGGCAAACGCCGCACCAAGTGTTTACCAAGCCGCATCCGCCGCGTGAAAATGCAAGATGCCCTGTCAGGCGGCTTGACTCGTCCGTACAGGCGCTCATGTGTCTCCCGAACCCATTAATAGGTATGGTGGCCTGATGATTGTCAACGGATATTTGCTTACATTTTCAAGAATCTCATGAACGAGTGGCCTCCTTGATTTACGCACAAAAGCTAGATCGATTGCTCTGTGCCTCGCCGTTCCGCCTCAACTTGCCACCGTATGACAAGTTTCTTGAGTGGGGTTTTGCCGATAATACAGTGCGCTTCTTCTTCAGTGATAATCGAAAGGTAAGATCTAGTATCATAATGGCAAGAGAAAAAGCTAACGTGAGCAGCCGGCTGGTCTATTTGAAAACCTCCACATTGGGCAAATCTCATGCGCTTGCTTTGCCGACTCCAAAACTCTCATCACGGCTGGCGAAGACTGCGTCGTTTCGGTGTACAACGTCATCACAATGCCCAACAAGCCCGTGGAGCTTGTCCCAAAGTCCAGCTTGTTTGGACACAAGACACCAATCACGGCCATTGCCGTCAGCAAGTCGTTTAGCACCTTTGTCAGCATCTCGGCGGATGGCCAGGGTCTACTATGGGACTTGAACCAGCTTACGTTTATCCGCAAGCTGCCGCTTGTGCGTCCCGTAGAGTGCGCGAGGATCAATGATGTGTCGGGCGAAATCCTTCTCTGCTCCGGCCCGAGCGTCATCCTGTACACGCTCAATGGGTCTGTCATCATCGACCAGAACGTGTGTCCTGACGCAGACGACTACGTACACACGTGCGCATTCTATGAAGGGGCTGGCAACGAGTGGCTGGAGAACCAGCTCATCTTTACAGGTCATAGCCGCGGCGTCGTCAACGTCTGGCGCAAGAGCCATGCTAGGGGCAAGTGGTCCTTGGAACACCTGCGACGCCTGGACCACATTGATTATAAGACGGAGCGGCGCGACAATGTTAGCGCGGGCATCACATGCATCAGCCCGACCCCTAACTGCCTATACACAGGAGACGAGGACGGCAGAGTTGTAAGTCACTCGAGAACCTGATTTCTCTTCCCATCAATGGAGACTAATATTTCTGGCAACAGTTTGAATGGAACTTTGTAGGAAGAGATCGATAGAGAAAGTCCCTCCAGAAGGCCTCCCTTCGTAGACGTCGCGGCTGTGTCGACGGGAGGGGAGGGAGCGAAGATGACGTATTGGAAAGTGGGGAATAGAAGGGGAGATTTTGGATTTTTCATAGATTGGTTCACATTGACACAGGGGAGAGATACTGCGTGCATAGAAGCATTGATTTTCTGTATGGGCTTGGTTTTGCACAGCGCAGCTCGGATCCGATCGAGCATGAGACGGTGTGTGTACAAAAGAAACAGCATTGGCGCTTTCAATTGAAGTTGTTCTGGTTTCAACTCGTAAAGAACTGTATACAGACTTTGAGAGAAAAAAGGCGAGAGATGGAGGATTCCGAAAGATGTGATGTATCTTGAGTTCCTCTCGTCCGTATAGATGTATTGTTACAGAGTCTTCCTCCGCTGATCAAATGGTGTTCCTTGTGACCACCCAAGTGCACTAACTACCATCTTGATTCCACCAGATAGCAGCTTTCAGCAATCGCCAACGTTTCCCCAGCTTTGTATATGTATGCGCTTTTCAAGTTTGTTTCTGTTTTACTCGTCGTCGTAGCCCGTCAGTTGCTTACGGGGACCGGTAGGGACTGTTGGCGGATGAGGATGTTAGCCAAATCAACACGGTTACAACTCCTCTCGGCTCCGTATCGCGCAGCAACGGGGAAAGCCAGGCGCGGAGAGGGAGGGACGGGGGAGGGGCTCAGACGCACCGGGATAGGTGACGGGGATCGGGGCCGGGTCGACGTCGCCGAGCCAGCGGCGGATAGGCGGGCCGATCGGCATGGCGAGGGGCCCGGCTGCACCGATGACGACGGACCAGAAGAGCGCGGGTTTCTCACGGGCGGCCCAGCGGCAGTACTTGAGGGGCGTCGACCAGAAGAGCGGCGAGGACATTGTGCTGAGAACGAAAGAGAGCGTGTGTTAGCTGTGAGGCTGGGCTGGGATTTTGGCTGCGCGGCGTGAGAGGGGTCGTGGGTCGGCGATTGATTGACGGGTAGGGACGTACAGAGGATAACCGCGGCTGCGTCGTCGAGGTTCGTGATAACGGATGGGATGGTTGATTGGGGGAGGCTGTTGAAGCTCGGGAAAACGTCGCAGTCGGGCGATTTAACGACGTTGCTATTGGATGGTTGAGGTGGTGGACCCATATTTTCTAGGATTGGGAGGGTATACTGTGAGTGCAGCACGATTACGCTGGGAGTCGATAGAAGACGTGGAGGCATTTATTATTTAAATAGATTGAACTGAAATGCTTGGATTTTGTCAATTGGTCCTTGGACTAATCATTTGAGGACGGCTGGTTGTTGATTGACTGGCTGCCAGCGGTGACTGAGAATCAAGAATGATGGTCAGGCAATACACAATGTACACATGTACAGGTTGTAATCATTTAAAGAGCATAGTTGAATGCATAAAAATGTAATCTGTATGAATTCTCACATCACGTCAATATTCTCATTCGATGTCTCTTCATCTTGACATCGTCTCTCCACTGCAGCGACCAGGGAAATCGCGCTAAACCTAAATGGGCAGCCAACCAGCCAAGGCTACGTATCCAATCCAAACCCCAAGAGCTCCTTGAAGCTTCCTACGTGGAACATATTAACACGCCTCTCTGCCCACGTCCACCTACCACGCAGCCCTTATTTTCTGTTTCTTGTCGTTCCTTTACTCCCTTATTCAACTGCAAGACTCGGATTACCATGCGGCTGTCGCTGAGCGTGGTCATTTCTGCCCTTGCGGCGGCCACGTCGGCGCTGAGCACCACTGGGTCCCGCCTGCTGGTCGTTCTCGACGACGTGGCTGATAAGGCGGCATATGGAAAGTTCTTTGGGGATCTGGCCGGTGAGTTTTGACCGTGACTAAAAGTCAAGGACGATCGATGGTACAATTGAAAGATGGCTGACGCATTGGCTTCGTCACCAGCCCGCGGCTTCGACATCAACTACGAGACGCCCAGAAGCGACAAGCTGAGCCTGTTTGATCTCGGCGAGCGCAAATACGACCACCTCATCTTCCTACCCACAAAGGTCAAAGGTACTGCCTCAAGTCACTGCACCTCTCGCACCCAACCCGCCTGCTAACCGCCGTCGCCCGCAGCGCTCGGCCCCAACCTGACGCCGAACCTGCTCGTCGACTTCGTCAACGCCCAGGGCAACATCATGGTGGGTCTGTCGTCGACAACGCCCACGACCAACTCCATCGTGTCGCTGCTCGCGGAGCTCGACATCAGCCTGCCCGCGGAGCGCACGGGCACCGTCGTCGACCACTTCCACTACGACGCTGTGTCGGCGCCTGAGACGCACGACGTACTCGTGCTCGACGCGCCCGCCGCCCGCGAAGGCGTCAAGCCCTACTTTGCCCTCCCCGGCGACGCCGTCCTCGCCGTGCCGCATACCGCCGGCCACGTCCTCGGCAACAGCCACCTGCTGACCCCGATCCTCCGCGCGCCCGACACGGCCTACAGCTACAACCCCAAGGAGCAGGCCGCCACCGTCGAGCCGGACGAGCTCTTCGCCGCCGGTCGGCAGCTCGCCCTCGTCTCGGCCCTCCAGGCCCGCAACTCGGCCCGCGTGTCGGTCCTCGCTGCCGAGATGCTCCAGGACAAGTGGCTTGACGCCACCGTCGCCAAGGTCGACGGCCCCAAGAGCAAGACGGAGAACAAGGAGTTTGCGCGCCGCATCTCGGGCTGGACCTTCCAGGAGATTGGTGTGCTCCGCGTCAACGACGTCGAGCACCGCCTGGTCGGCAGCAACGAGCCTAACCCTAGCCTCTACAGAATCAAGAATGATGTGGTATGTTGGTGATTAGAGAAGCTGCGTAGATCGTTGCTAATAGTTTATGCCAGACATACGCCATCTCGCTGTCCGAGTACAGCTGGGACAAGTGGGTTCCGTTTGCCATTCCCGATCAGGACGCGCTGCAGCTAGAGTTCTCCATGCTGTCGCCCTTCCACCGCCTGAGCCTGGCCCCCGTCGGCAAGACGGCCGACGCCGCCACCTACGGCGTCAAGTTCACGACGCCCGACCAGCACGGCATCTTCAATTTCCTGGTCAACTACAAGCGGCCCTTCCTGACGAGCATCGAGGAGAAGCGCACCGTCAGCGTGCGCCACATGGCCCACGACGAGTGGCCGCGCAGCTACGCCATCTCGGGCGCCTGGCCCTGGATCGCGGGCATCGCCGCCACCGTGTCCGGTTTCGTGGCCTTTTCGGCGCTTTGGATGTATAGCAAGCCTACGGAGACGAAGAAGACGCAGTAGAAGGGACAACATAGAGAAAATGGTTGACAATGAATAGAAGTGGACTTTTTGCAATGTGAACGGAAGCAATTGGTTGTTGTGCTGGATCTCGTGTCTGTTTGATATGTAACAAAATGGCACGGCTTGTATTTTTGTACACTTGATAAAAACGAAGTAGCTAATGTGGTTTGGGTTGTAGGTGAAGCTATGATATCGAAAGGCGATTCTTGATACGGTTTAGAGCACTACTGACGTCCAGCATGGTCAATCTCGAAGTGACGACATGAACGTCTGCAGGGCACGCCACGTCCCATCACCGTGATACCCGACAGCCTCGTCCAGGCCCGGTTGCACATGCGCCTCACGCACGCCGACGGCAAACACCCTGGCCTCCGACTCGACCACCGCAAGCCGGGCCTTCATGTCGGCCTCGTCCTTCCCCTCGCCGCCCACAACCACGATCGTCGCACCCGCGTACTCGACTGCAAACACCTTGGCGTCGCGGTACATGATCTCCGAGTCCGACGCCGTCACCAGCAGCCTCTTGACCAGCGGTTTACCACACTCGGCCTCGTCCGTCGTCGCGAACACGCGCTCCCAGACTTGCCGCGCGCCCTCGGCCGCCACGACCTCGCACCACACCTCGTCCACGCGCGGCCTCAGCACCGTCACGCGCCTGGCCACGTCCGCGCCGTCCAGGAAGTCGCACTCGCTCGCGCCCAGGCTCGCCGCGTCCGTCCACGTGAACCACGGGGACAGCAGCACCGCCGCGCGGAGCTGCTCGCCCCCAAAGCACAGCGGCGGCGCGGACGGGGAGGGTTCAATTGCATGCGCGAGCAGCGAGGCCATCAGGTGCGCGCCAGCGCTGTCCCCCGCGAGCACCAGGTCCCCCGGACGCACGCGCTCCACGTCCAGCAGGTGGCGCAGCGCGGCGACGCCCTGCACGAGCTGCGCCGGGTACTGCGCGGCCGGACACAGCGCGTACGTGAGGAATACGAGGCTGCGCGCGGCGCACCCCCGCGCGACGCCGCGCGCCAGCGGGACGTGCGCGGAGGGCACCAGCGGCTCGAGGTAGCCGCCGCCGTGCGCGTACAGCACCACCGGTCCTGCGCCGGGGGTGTCAGCCAGCCAGGGCCCGGAGAAGAAGTGCAGGGTCGGCGGTGGCACGGGCTGGCCGGTCGCCGGGTTAGAGGAGGAGGCGGGGTCGACGGGGGCGAGGACCTCGCGGTGCTCGAGGCCGTGGGCGCGGTGCTTGGCGGCGTAGGCGCGCAGCGAGGCGTTGGTGGTGCGCGCGTGGCCGGCGGCGTAGGTGATGCGCTTCTGGCTCCGGAAGGCGTTGGCGGCGTGGATGCCGGCGAGCAGCGCCTTTTGCCGCCAGTGAAGGGCGCGCTGCGGGTGGTGGGGGAGGAGGAAGCGGGCCAGCTGGTAGGCGAATACGATGGCTGTTTTCATTGCCTTGTCAGTGATGGTTAGGACGAACGAGGTCGAGTCAACTCACGATACAGGAACACGATCCCAACGATCTTCACCTTGTCCCAGGCCGTCAGCGGCTGGGCGCCTATAATCTCGAGATCTTCTTCAGTTATCATGTTGTAGCCCAGACATGGAGTGATAGTCGAACCTGGCAAGTTGAACAAAAGAGCGATAGTCTTTTTAAAGAGCAGACTTGAAGTGTGCTTGTTGGAGCAGACAAAGAGGCGGTCACTGACAAACGACGCGCTCAAGACAAAGGCAAACAAAGTCGGATATCTGTGGAAACTCTGGGCGACTGGTCAATGCATTTCAGATATGGGTATGTGAAAGCCATTCATTCTTTGTATCGGATTTCAAAGAATTTTCGTTAGATAATTCCTGACTTTAGAGTCTAACATGCGATGCAGTGACCAGATCCAAGCAAGATATGGGCTGAGCGCAGTCGCGAGTAAAACACTACACATTGCAGCAGGATGTTCACCGATCAAAACTGGAAGAAATCATTTTCAAGTCAAGCGTATTGTATTTTCAAGCCGCATCACCCTTATCTCTCAATCCGACATCCCTGCACAGTGCACGACCGATCATGTCCATGTTAGTTCGCTACCCTTCCAACATACGCGTCGGCGCATCGAGTCAGCATGTTCGTCCATTCAATGACTGTGAAGCTGTGGGCTGTGGGCTGTGCGAAACCCGGCCCCGAGCGGATACGATCACCAGTCACCACGGCTCAAGGTAAATTATTCGTCCGGGTTGCGGTGGTGGTGATGTCGGTCAATCCCGGACTATTGCTTCGTCTTTGTCGGCAGTAGCCGGTTGCGCTAGGCTAAGCATGCAAGGCGCTATAGAGGGAAACCTTGGGCCTCTTCGTGCGCATCTGCGGTTGATGTGGCTTGGAGTTCCCTGCTGGTGGTTTAAGGCTGTGGTCGTTGTTCGAAAGGTCGTCCTTCCTTTTCGACTGCTCGACTGGGAACGGGGCCGTCTTAGTAAATAGTCGAGAGAGCCACGGTACGAGACAGAAATGAGTCACGACGACTTGATAAAAGAAGTGATGCTGATATATGAGCCTGGCTGTGGCTGAAGCTCATTAGTGCCTTTGTGAGTTCGCCTCACTCCGCGAGGTGTGGTGGCCACTTGGGTTGAGGAATGATGCTGAACACTGCAACACACCTGCAGCATTACATCGCGCCATACATCATGCGATTCGAGAAGAAGGAATTAAGAGAAGAAGAGGAGAAAAGAAATGGATAGAGTGGGCGTTGGGTATCACTGAAGGCCTGAAAAGAACTGATCAAACATCATAGTCTATAATCTGCATCACTCTATACTTTGACAAACACCTTTTTGTTGACTCTGAGTCTTGCGATGAGCACCAAAAACGCCGAGAAGAGACTGAGAGAGCCGCCGTACAGCATGGCAGGTCGGTATGCTGTGAGGCCCTTTTCCGCGCCACCAAAGGCTTCGAGCAGATAGCCGGCAATGGGAGCTCCCTGCCACGGTACGTTAGTTTTTTTTTCTCTCCAGAGCGACACGGAAGAAGAACGAGATGGCATACCATGAGATACCCGCCTATCCACCCCGTGATGATCATGCTCATCACCATGCCCACGCGGGCGCTGCCGAAGACGTTGCTGGCCACCGTCGGCATCGTGCAGAAGAAGCCGCCGTTGGAGAGGCCGTTGACGACCACGAACAGCGCGAGCGGCGCCAGCGTGGTCGACGCCGGCCAGATGGCCAGCATGCTGAGCGCCGTTAGCAGTAGCGAGATGAGCAGCACGTTGACGGCGCCGAGTACGTCGCAGAGCCCGCCGCACAGGACGCGGCCCGCGGCCGAGGACAGCGTGAAGCCGGCGACGAGGCCCGCGCCGGTCGCCGAGGACAGCCCGAGCGAGTCGGCGTAGAGTGGGAGAAAGAAGGGAGGCACGTAGAGCGGGAAGGTGCCGATGGCGGTGGCGGCGCAGATCAGGACGAAGTCGGCCGACTTGAACAGGGTCCTGGGGCGTCTGAGGTTAGTGGGGAGAGAGGAGAGCAGAGGAGAAGCAAACGGACCAGTCGATGAATTTCCGCCGAGGGAGGCGAGTGCGCTCCTTCATGATCCAGGCGGCGGGAAGGCCGGTGGCGAGGGTGGTGAGGCCGAGCACGCGGTAGGCCATGGCGAGGCCGATCTTGTCGATGAGGGGGTCGAGGGCGAAGCTGATGGCCGCGCCGCCGAGGCCGCTGCCGGCAAAGATGAGGCCGTTGGCCAGCCCCCTCTTCTTGCTAAAGTACTGCGACGGGATTGCCGTGATGACCTGAGAGAATGTGCGTTAGTGGCATCTTCCGCCAGAAGTCAAAACCCTTGCCAACTCACGCAAAAGATGAAGCTATCCCGACAACGATGGTTAGCAAGCTTCCCCCGCATCACATCGCCGGCGTTGATAGCTCACCTCGCCCCGAGACCAAACATGACGCCCGACGTCACAAACAGCGCGCCCAGGCTCTTCGTCGCCCAGCCGCTCAATATCTCGCTGCCGCCCATGAGCGCGACGCCCGCGAGCGCCGTCCTCCGCGGGCCCAGGCGCTGCAGCAGCCAGGCGTTTGCCGTCGCGCACAGCGAGACGGTGGCGGCCTGCAGAGAGCCGATGAAGGAGACGACGGCCGGGCCGGCGAGCCCGTCGCGGACGAGCACGCGCTGGACGACGCCCCAGGCGTAGGTGGTGCCGACCCCCCACCACATGAGCACGCAGCCGCTGGCGACGATGGCCCAGCCGTAGCCGCCGTCGGGCGCGGCCGAGTCGACGGCGCGCGAGGCGGCGAGGATCTCCTCGTCGGTGTCGGAGGAGGAGGTGCCGGAGCGGGAGGGGAGGCCGGCGGTGGGTTTGGCGCGGCTGGTGATGCCGCCGCCGGTGCTGGTTCCGGTGGGACGGCTCGAGGCCCAGCCGACGGCGTCGGTGAGCTCGACCGAGGTGGTTGCGGTGGCCGTTGCAGACATGGTCTCAGATTGCTGGGGTACCAGACATTGGGGGAGATTCACAGCGACTGGCGTGCTCTGCCATTTTTTAAGGAAAAAAGTGAGTCAGGTGGGAATAAAGTTTTGATGGAGATTGGCGCCGGTCGCGGCCGTTGAAGAATGTCATTCGCTAAAAGGCTAATAAAGGGCGCGCCTCCATGAGGCTACCGACCCCCAACTTATTACTAACCAGAACAAATTTCAACTTACATAATACTCCGCACTTCTACAGATACCCGACTTTGTTTGCCTTTGTCTTGAGCGCGTCGTTTGTCAGCTGCCTGAACCAGTATGGTTACCTAACTTACAAGGGGGAAAGCTACTGTACAGTATGTCGCCAGTGGGCCACTTTCCTTCGTACATCAGCACATCAACTCCACCATGGCCACCATAACGGCATCGACCATGGTATCTGGGCAGGCCGTTGCACGATGGAATACATCATGCACACCGCTTCACTACGATACGGTTGAACTACAATCGGCTAAAAGGAAAGTGCCCAACGCAACAGATATGTCGGGTTCGAAGCGGCACTGTGCAGGCAAGCACCAACGACGACTCACAGCACACGACCGCCGGCGAGCGGAGGGATCCCTTCTCGGGCTGATACGACAGCATCATAGGAGGCGCCGTTTTGTGTCGCCGATTACCTGGACTAAGCTTCACTTGGAGCTCTCAAGTGTCTCTTTCACATACCGACAGGTGATGAACGCGGGACAATACGACCGCTCCAACATCGTGCCCGCCCACGATAACAGGGCAGAACAGGGCAAGATGAAGCTGGTTGAGTATTTGATCAAGAATAAAATCCGTACTGAGCACACGGGAGTGCAAGAAGATGGAACAATCTAAGCCGTAGGAACGTCTTTGTCGACGACGACTGGAACGTGACGCGCATCATCGACCTCGAGTTTGCGTGCGCCTGGCCGGTTGGGTTCTGGCAGACGTCGTACTGGCTCGGCGCAGATTTCATTGACGAGATTGACTATGATAAACTTGCGGCTCGCCATGTGCAGTTCGTAGGTCTCGTGAAAGAAGAAGAAAAGCACAACCCTTATAGAGGGGATAAGAACCACTCTCCAGCAATATGCAAACAGCCTGGGAGAGAGGCACGTTTTGGATCAGCCTGGCGCTACGAGATCCAGTGGCCCTCACGGCGGTCTGTTTTAAGCATGTATTACCACGCTACTTCGACTTTCCTGAAGACGAGCTCAATGATGGAGAATATTTCGCGTTCTGTTCGCGTTTCTGGTCTCCAGAAATACCAGCCATCATTGAGCGCAAGCTGCAGGAAAGAAAGGCGTATCTGGACAAACTCGTACAAAGGGTTTACTCCCTCCTGAGATATCCCCAACCCGGGGTACATACCGATCTATCAGCCTTGTCGTGGGGGTCAGCTAAGGAAGGCGTATTTGACCCACAGACTCGGTTTGTCAAGTACACTTCTAGAGCAACGGGCACTTATAAAGCAACATGAGCTCTTCTAATGCTATGACGAAAAAAGACCATCTTGAGTAGCCGTTGTGTGGATTGTCGTCCCTGCACTAGACGGCTCTGCTCCGTCGAACCGACCGCCATGATCCTCCAGCACTAGCCAGAAGAGTCACCTGTCCTGCCTGCTGCCCAGCATTGCACGATCTGCGGCTAGTCGTGTGCCGTCTGTTGCACTACCTTGTTCAGAAACGCAATCGCATCGTCCATGCCAGTCGGCGCGTTGAACCAGTGCCCTCCATTGGGGTACTCCCTCCACTCGCCCCGCGCCCCGAACTCCGTCATGATCTCGCGCAGGCGCCTGCCGTTCTGCACCGTCACCAGCGGGTCGTCCACGCAGTGCTCCAGCAGCACCGGCGTGCCCTGCAGCACCTTGTTGTGCGCCGGCGCGTCGGCCAGGTCGCCCAGCGCCGCGCGCATCCCCGCGAGATCGCGCCCCGCAAACGGGCATCTGCACGAGAAGCCGAGGAACGCGCCCAGCCTCGCCTCGGCCGTCGGCACGTCGAGGTTGAACAGCGTGTGGATGCCCGTGGCGGCGCCCATGCTGATGCCCGCCAGGATGACCCGGTCCCAGCGGCCGCCCAGCGCCGCCGCCTCCTCCGCCAGAATCCTCCGGATCTCGGGCACCACCTCCCGCAGCCCCTCGGCCTGCAGCTCCTCGCGGGCGGAAAAGTCGCGCGTGTCCCAGACGTCGAACCACTGCGGCCAGGTCTGCTGCGGCTCGGAGGCGCAGCGGCGCGTCGGCGCCTGCGGGAAGACCCAGCGGAAGGAGGGGAACGCGCCAAAGAGGGAGAGGCCGCGCGAGCCGGCGGAGTGATCCAGGGCTCTGATGAAGTTGTCGGTGTCGTCGCCGCGCCCGTGGAGGAAGACAACGGCGTGGGTGTGCGCTGACGTGGTCTGGATCGTTGTCGCTTTGATGTTCGTCATGGCGGTGGCTCGGAAGGATGTGATTGAAGGTAAGTTGGAAAGAGAAGAGAAACAAATTGGGGTAGGGGGGTTGGAAGAGAAACAAAAGGCCAAAAAAAAAAAGCTTTTGGGTGAAGTTGGGAAGTTGTACAAATAAGGCTGGGCTGCTGCCTGCAAGTCATGGTGACACCCACGACCCTGGCCATTAGGAGGCGTCCGTTTGCCGCGCGCTATGCAAACTTGACCTTGCCCAACTATTGAAAAAATTTGAGGGGGGAAAAAAGGATCCTTCATGCTAAACAACAGGATAATTCAGACATTTTAAAAGACAAAAAGCTCAACTGCGCAGGAAAATGGGGGGAAACTGAAAAGAAATGGCAGCCCAGAGGACGGGCCAAATATTGCGCTTGATGCCTAACATTATGGCCGGCTCCAATTTCCGTAGCCGCAGGGCGGCAGCACCACAACGGGCCGTTTTCCGCAGTATCCTCGCTTCCAAGCGTCCAGATTCAGTTGATGTGGTCGATGTGCTTTGGCTGTCTTTGGGGCAGCCTGAGGATGGGGATGTGGTCTCGGGCCCGGCACGGGCATCTCGGGCACTGCTTGAACCGGGGCAGGAACCGGAGCAGGAACCGGAGCGGGGTTCGGAGTGGGACGGGGCACCGGGTGGTGCTCGTTATGGCGAGGGGGAACTGGCTTCAACCCTCGGCGGTCCCACTGCGGCTCACCTTGGGGAACGTATCGGGGGTCCTGGTAGATGCCCAAGTCTCGACAGCCCATGCTGGGACCATACTGGTAATTCATGAGGCAGCAGTTGGGATGCGGTGGGTGTCGGACGGGGGTCCCGATCCAGTACTATCGCGAGTTGTTAGTCGGCGACTCTCCGAAGTGGCGAGAGGTGGCAGTGTGCCCCAAAGGTAGGCATCTCAACCTTGCGCAGGAATGGGAGGGCAAGGGATAGCTACATGGTGCAAGGCGAACTTACCTGAGGAGGGGGATCTTGAGGGTGAGGATGGGGAGGGTGAGGGTGAGAATGGGGCGGAGGAGGGTAAGGATGGGGAGGAGGAGGGTAAGGAGGAGGGTGATGTTGAGGAGGAGGGTGATGTTGAGGAGGAGGTTGATGTTGAGGAGGAGGTTGATGTTGAGGAGGAGGGGCATACCCAAACGGCGGTGGGTGGATGTAGTTGTATCTCGGGCCATACATGATGGATGGCGAATGGCGATGAATTTAGGAGAAAGATGCTTTTTCTAACATGGGAAGACGACGCAGAGTCGTGAGCAAGTTTCCATCACTTATTTAACCCCATGAGCCTTATTGTTCCACGATGGCGACTCGCCCGTTATCGAAACTGGGAGTCGTCCAAGTGGGAGACGCAGGCCGGCTCCGCCGTGGCCAGAAACTCGTCGCTCTATGGGCCAATCGCGGGAAGCAGCTCAGGGGGGTAAGGATGTGAGTCTTGGGATGATTTCTCTTCGCAGGAGATGCAAAGGACAAGAATAGTCGTTTGTGCCCTCCTTGAGCGACCCGGGTCCAACACCACCACCACCAACCACACGACTTGGCCTCGAAAGGCGGCCGGCCGCCCAACTGCGGAGGCGCTGCTGCCACACCCACACAGCCAACAAGCAAGCAGGCGGATAGCCGCTCGGGTTTGCAATTTTTCGGTCTGACCTCGGCAATTCATGCTGTTTATGTGTATGTATCCTGGAGGAGTCGCATTGCTGGTCGAGTGGCACATGGCGGAGCGCATCTCCCTAGTCTTGTGGCTGCGACTATGCAAACGACGGAGAGACGGCAAGGACGTGGCGTTTGCTATTATTGTAGTTGACTCCCAATCTCTCAAAGCGCCGCGTCTCATCATTAATGTCCCTGCATAGATACAGTGTCACAGTATCAGCTCATGTTGCACGCCATAAGTCCTGAAGGAGGGGTATGTAGTAGGTATCTGCAGGTTTGGGGGCCGGGTCGTCCTTGGTCTTGCTGGTTCCAAAAGCGCCAGCCTTGCGTGATCCTTTCCCCTCCAACATCTTCGACAGCCTCAGCCTCGCGTGTCCAATCCCTGCATTCTCGCCTCTCTATCTTGTCCATTGTGATACCGGTGTGTCTACTGTTTCGGAAACCTGCTTTCTTTCCGCCTTCTTTTTCTTGATATGATGGAGACGGCACAGTCGCCGTTGAATGGCTCTCTGGGCCAGCTCCAAGCTCCAAGAGTGCTGCCTCCCTGTCCCCTCCTGCCGTTGCCTTTCTTTGTTTATACATTGTCGAAGCCGATGACAAGGTTGCAGCCGTTAGTTTGCAAAGTCGCCGTTTCACTCTGCCGAAGTCGCACATCGTCGTTTGTGTTCGCGGTGCTGGACGCCGCCCCTACAGTTGGGCTTTCAGAGCAAAGACTCCATAGTCGTGCGAACCTCGGACGACCTCGGCATTTTATAACTAGGCCATCAAGATGCCGTTAACTGAAAGCAAGCTGGACAAGTACGACGACCGGCCGACGCACCATAACCGGCGCATCCATGTTTACCATTCGGTCTAGACCCCAGGTCGAGATCCCACTTGCAGGCCGCTTGCAACTCAAGATACTTACGATAGACATATGCACACATCCAGAAATGAGAGAAACTGCTAAAAAAAAAAGAAGGTACCTTTTCGTTTCTTCCACCTCATCGCAGTGTTCCCCCGGGTGCTTTCCGACCCTCCACAGCGCCGATTGTCATCGCCGAATAGCCACGCACTCTTGGACTGCGCGCACTTCGCCCGCTCATGTATCACAACCGCATGTAGGGGCGTATAAGGCGGCCGGCCTATCGCCGCCCCCAACGGCTTGATAGCTTCAACGCCTTTCTCTCGCCGGTGCAACACGGCCATGTTGGGGCCGACGCTCCCTGACGACCGGGCAGTCTCGCGCCAGGGAAGTCGGCGCCAAGATCATGCCTGACTTTTGTGGACAAGACGGTGGACACCCTGCGAGCCGAGCTGAGTCTGTCTAATGTGAGTATGGGCTCGCTGGTGGTGTCGAGTTGAGAAGCTGGCGGAATGACACGTTTTGATTCGAAATATGTTACCTGCTAGGCATTTTAGGGAGAGAAACTGTAAATCTTCTAGGCAACTATGTAGACTACATGTTGGTGCACCAGAAGTAGGTATGCATTTGCGTCTGGGATTGATGACAAGTAGTCGTCATTGTACTTGCTCCGTGTTACTGTACAAGAGCTTCTAGATCTTGGCTTTTAATATTCACAACTGATGTAACTTCGCTTAAGTTGACATTTCGTCTCATTCCTTATACCCACGGTTACTATTGTTAGCTCAGGAATGAATTGCAGGAGTGAATTGGTGCGTTGTATTGGGCTTTCAAAAACAGCTCGCTTACCACTCCAGCGGAATATTTCTGCAACCTCTTCGGTGTGAATTGTTGTAGGGGTCTTCTTGTGCCAGGCCAACCTATCAATAAGTACCTTATAAATCTCTTGCAATAGGTTATACAGGGGCGCATCCGGAGGCGGCTGGAGCACTTGCCCGTACTGTAGCCGCCTTGTGTCAACAGATTCGGTACCCGCCGAGCGTGTATCAAAGGAGACGGATTCAAATAAATGACTAGACAAAGAGCATCAAGAGTCATACCATGCACTATACTCTGTTCTATTTCTAGGTCCTTCAGGCATTTTCATAATCTTTCTCTTGCATTAGCTTCTCGTGTCATGTCGGCACTCGAATACATACACCATAGACCAGTCGCGACATGTCGTACAGTGTACTGGTCCGGAGACGATATCAGTTTCAAAAGTCTTTTGCAGTCTTTTTTATTAATAGCTAAGTGTCGCAATCAGGCTTGCTCGTTTACAGGAAGGCAGGCAACTTGAGCCCGCGGGTAAGCCCGTGGTCCGGTCCAGGGGCAGCAGACGCTTTGTGTCGCCGTCTTATTGAAGACGAATTGTGTTCAAATGTCACACTGAGAGCGACAGAGTTGTAGGCAAATATAGAGCGCAAACTATTTAAGAGAGGCCATTGCCGTAGAAGAGCTTCCTGGTCTGGACGCCAAAGCACATGCAACCGCAATCGCAAGAAGCACAGAAGCATCAAGTGTTGGAGATGCCTCACGTGAGCGTGTATAGGATCAGCGAAGAGACCACCACCCCTGAACCCGAAGTGGTACCCGATGACCGCGACATGCCCACAGCACTGAAAATCGCAAGAGACGTGGCTAAAACAGAGCCACTGCTCAAGATGGCTACAGACAGCAGCTATCCCCCGCGAGAACGTCGCGGGTATCTCATCAGCGCCAAATGCATTTACAAACTGGCATGGCTTTACATTGGCGACGACACCAAAAGTGCCGAAGATGAGAATCCGAACCTGAGGGATTGGGGTGCAAAGATTATTGATGTCGAGCTACGGGTGGACAGAGAATGCCCCGAAAGTTGAAAAAGAAGAAGCGCGACGATGCAACAGCCGAGCGGCCGCTGTAGCCGTGAAATTCAACTTGAGTAGCTATCAGATTCAAGACGAGGGCTATCAGTGGCTTGTTTTTCTGGTGTTTCTGATGAGGAGTTTGCAGTTCCAATTGCAGTTCTAATTGCTTGTGGGAAGCTTTGGAGCAGGTGTGAGGAAGGCGTGCGGATGGACTGTTGAAAATGGCGATCATTTGATGTGTCTTCTACTTCTTATGTCGCTTGAGTGGTTGGAATTTTCTTAATTCTCTTTTTTTTTGTTGCATTTGTGTTTCTTGTTTCATCCGTGGTTCTTGATACTTCAGTACAGTGAGAGAGTACTGATGGTATCCAATAAGTTGATTTTGCTACAATTTTTGCGGCGACCTTGTATTTGTTTGCTCAAGCCAGCTGAATTTCTGTTATATTTCAGAGAGTCGTGTATAGGATGAAGTTGTTCTCTACTGCGTAATGTCGTTGAGTCTGTGTGGTACTCTGTAGACATTTCTCGATTGCGACGTTGTGATGTTTGCGGCTATCGGCTATGCGCTGCACGGGTAGCACAACGCTAATCGTGCCAGCCCCATCTTAGATGTGCACTATTGACCGAGGCTTTGTATATGCTTTTAAAGCTGATCCAGTATATATGGTTCGTTAACGCCGGTGGTTGACGGTTGTTGTGTTGGTGGGCAGCTAATTATCCATCAAGTTCCCTGTTGGCCTTGAGCGTTATTTTTGGACTCTTGGCAGCTGGCCCAACGCCACACACACAACTGGTAGGCACCTTACCAGCCACGCCACGCCACGCCACTCACTCACTCACTCCCAGCCTCACCCAATGGCCAATCGCCTCGTGCGTCCCCGCCCAGCTCCGTTACACACTGCAAAAATTGCCCACGCCTTCTCGGACGGACTGCTGCGTCGCCTAGGTACATAGGTTGTAACTTTAGTAGGTTGGATGGCCCGTTCCAGCTAAAACTACCTACTACCTAGGTACCTGGTCTGTGCAAGAATCCATTGTAAAGAAGCATGAGAAAAATTCTCAACCGCTTCAGCGTTCAGCGTTACCAATAAGCCGACCCGGCCGCCGTTGCCTTCCAGCTTGTGCCTTGTCCTCGCAAGCGCTGCGCCTGCTGTCCACCGCCGTTCGTCAGCCTATGTATGTATGTATGTATGTACCATTCACTTTTTATTGCCTACCTACCTACCTACCTACCTACCTACCTACCTCCCTACCTACCTACCTACATACATACATACCTTACCTATCTATGTACCTTACATACTAGTACATGCCTTCTTGTCCATCCATCCCATCCCGTCCTCCACTGAGAAAAATATTACACGACAGCCGCCGTCGCCGCACCTCCATCATCCATCATCCACCATCCCTCCCTCCTACCTCCTACCTCCTACCTTCCACCTCCCACCTCGCAATTGCCATCTCCTCTCCAAGCAATGGCTTGACTCTTCCGCCCGTGTCGCACATCATCGCCCGCAAACCGCCTACTCCCGTCTCTCATTAGCCACTGAGGGCCCAAGCTCACATTCAGGCTCCCGGCCTAAGCAGGCTCAGGCCATCATTATAGCGGGGGGTCTCTCGCTGGGCTGTCGCGTTAGACCGGGATCCATCCCAGAGCCATGGCCTCTGTTTCGCGTTGGTTGCTCCCTCCCCTGGTCGCATCGATTTTTCTCTTTCTCTTTGGCCCTGCTTCATCATCGCCAGCCCTTCCTGCGATCTGATCTGCCCCTTTGCTTTTTGTCCCGCCCAGCCTAATAATAACCTGATGCACTAGCTACCCGAATCAACTCGAACCCTCGCCTCGCGCCCGCGCCAGCAACGCCCTCAACGTCTCACCAAACGACTTCCGCCACAAGCCCGGCCCCAGCCGGCATCATTCCGAAAACCAGCCTCCATCAACCACCTTCCTCCCACGGCGAGCCTCAGTCGGCTTCCGTCTTGCATGGCCGTACGTTGAGTCCTGTCGCTCCCTGGCCGCCCCTTTCCCTTTCCCTTTCCCTTTCGCCTCTCCCCCTCCAACCACCGCCTCGTGTCGCTAACATATTGCCCTGCCCTCTTCTCCCTCACAGACATCGCCGACTTCAATGGACAGACGTCATTTCTAACTACCGACGGGCGCGTCAAGAATCCTGTTCCCACCAAGCTGCAGGGCATGGCCGACAACAAAAATGGCAACTTTGCTGTCATGCATATTGATCTAGGCCGATCCGAAAAATCCATGCGCAACGACGCCGCCAAGCGCACCAGTGAAGGCACAGAGGCTGCCGCTCGACTTGCCAACCAGGCCGGATACCAGTCTGTTAAGCGCTCTAAACTTGCCTGGCAACCTCCCGATGGCGACCCATCCAATCCCTCCCTCCCTGCCGGGTTGGCTCCCAAGGATGCCAAGGCCGAGCAGGCTCGCCTGCTCACCCTCCTACGCTCTGTGAATCCTGTCGCCGTCACCGATCAGCTTTGCAAAGCAGTTGCCTACTTCGGCGGCATTCCTGGTGCTCCTGCTCCCGAGACGAGGGCTCACTTTCCACAAAGCAACCAGTCCAACGGGTCTGGCTCGCAATTTGTTTCTTGGCTGGCCGAAATATTTCCACCCTCGACCGACCACTCAGCGTCGCTACCGCCCGCCTCGGCTACTCCGAATTCCACTGCCGTACAGAATCCGACACCGCCCGTGTCCACTCAACCGCCGCCGCCGACTTTTAACGCCGCACAGCCAGCTGGCAATGCTGCGCAACCCGCAGAAGCGACCGTTGAAGCCGCCGCCGACCCAAACGCGCCGTCTGTTCCCGTCAAGAGAGGTCGCGGACGGCCAAAGGGCAGCAAGGGCAAGCCGAAAATCAAGGAGCAGCCACCAGGCGATGCTGACCCCAATATGCAAGGCTCCCAAGGGCCTAACCCTCCCGGCACTTGGCCCGGTCAGCAGATCTATTCATCACAGCAAGGTACCCCAGGCCAATCCGATTCTGGGACGCCTGGCAAGAAACGCGGCCGCCCCAAGGGTTCTAAGAATAAACCAAAAAACCCGACCGCCTCCGGCTCGGAAACAGCTGCGGGTCAAGATACCGAAGAGGCTCAGGACTCGTTCATGTCTCCCATGAACCAGGTGCCCAATTCTCTATCTTTAGGTCAGGACGGCGGCGCTCGACCTTCCTCAGGTCCCACTGGTCTCTCCAACATGATTGAACATGGTAGTTCGCAACCACAAAGTGGCTGGACCACAATAGGGATGCCAGCCAGCCAGGACGGAAGCACCGCCCCTTCTCGCAAGCGCAAAAACGACAAGCAGCAGCCTGACATGTCCGTCAACAACGCAAGCATGCCCACGGCGGTTCAAGAAGACGATGCACCAGTCATGGACGCCAATGGTAAACGGAGACGCTTCTCCAAGGATGCCGCCGCCTTTCCACAAATGGGTGGCCAAGCTAGGATGTCCTCGTCTGAGTCGCCTATTCAAAGTTCAAATTTCCAAAGCGCATCTCAACAGATGGTATCATCTGGAAGCTTCGACCCTGCCCAGCAGCAGCCGAATCGAAAACCCGCCGCCCGAGGTCAGCCTCCCAGCCGTCCTGGACAAGCTCAGCCGCAGCAGCAACAGCCGCAGCAGCAGCCGCCGCCGCCGCAGTACAGTCAGCAGCCAGGGCATCAATCTCAGCCTCAACAGCAGCCCTTCCCCCCCTCCAGTCAGCCACAGCAACACTTTGGACAGCAGCCAGGACAGCACAAGTCACCGCTTATCGGCGGCAACCCGCCACAGCAGCCGTCTAACGTGATGGATTTGTCGCGCAGTGCCATGTACAACCAGCAGCAGCACCATCAGCAGCAGCAACAGCTCCAGCACTTTATGAATCAGCAGCGGCTCTCTGTGGATATGAACCCCGCAGCGAATGCTCCTGGCCAATTTGGTCAAGCCAGCAACGGCGGTAAGAGCCCAATGTTTCAAGGACACATGGTGCGCGCTCCGTCCGGTGATACCGGCATGCAACACCAACGGCCCTCACCCGCAAGCCAGAGTGCGCAACTTACCCACGATGGTTCCCGCATGGGGCAAGCTGCTTTCGCAGGGCGCGCTCCGCCGGTAACTACCGCGGGGGCATCGCCGTCGATGAACAGCCACTTTGCTTCCGGCTATGCGGCGCGGAACTACATGAACATGAACTATGGCGGCATGGGCGGTGCGCGAATACCAGATGCGACTGACCACCCTTTCGGTGGCTCTGCAGGTCAAATGGATACCATGAACAATGCTGATCAAGCGAGCATGCGGCATCGAATGTACCAATCGATGCAGCAGCAACAACGACAATGACCATGATTTTCCGAACAATGATTTGGTCAAGAGCGTCATCAACTGTACATTTATATCCGCAACGTTGTATTTTTCCAAACCTGGGAGGGGAGCGATGTTTGTCTTTGGGGTTTTAAAGTTGGCTTTGCTTTGGAACACAAAAATGGGGAGCTACGAGATACCAAGCCTTCTATTCTGTTATTTACCATTTTTACGGAAGCGTTTTTTTTTTCTTTCTTCAACATTTGGTCAGCGTTTTGCCGACTGTGATGGCTGATGACACGGGATTTTGAGTCGATTTTATTATATGGGAATGTGATTGTGACGTGCTTCAGACGGCGACCAGGATTTGGTCCGCATGGATAGGCAGAGGGTCTTTGTTGGCGAATGGTATATTCTTTCGAGGTAGATTCCTCAATTGTCGTGACGTTTTCCTTGACTGGTTGGCATGTTGTGCATTGGCCAAGCCATCACACGCTTAACACACCCGCAGACTACCTACCAGCCAGGATTATGCCCGATTCCATATGTACGTCTACAAATTCACATCGAACATGCACCAAAGACGAACGTAAGTGTTGTAAAAGTGTGTTATATTCCCATCCCACGCTCCCGGACCCAGAAACCCATCCCCATCCTTCCAGCTCCGGGACCAAAAAGTAAATCGTTCGAGGGACAAGCTCCAGCAAAACTTACGTGTAAAGCCAGAGTAACAACACCTTGCGCGTAAGAACAGGTACCAGTGCATTTCTGGTCCTCTCGGCTGCGTCTATCGGGTAAATAAGGAAAGAAAACAAAAGTCGACACGCTAAAGAGAATAAATAAGGAAAGCTCCAGCAACCGAGGGCTGGTTTGATGTCCTCCTGATGTGGCCGCTGTATATATCCAAGCAATACAAAGAGACAAGTGAATGAGAATAGGGCTGCCCTAGAGAGCAGCCAGGATGAAAAGCAAAACAGACGCCGGAAAATGCAAAGATGGTGGTAGTGAAATAGCAAGGCAATCCTTTATCCTTTCTTTTCGTGATCGGGAGACAGGGTGTAGAGTTCCGGAAGGGCACAATCGCCCGTTAGTATGAATCTGTTTGCCCACAAGTCGCCATGCTCTTCGGTGCCACCCAAAGCGCTTGTCAGAGACAACCCGTTTGGCATGGTACAAGATAGAGCTTCACGCATGACAGCCTCTCAAGAAGCAACTTAGTCTGCGTCATCTTCCGCAAGACTGAGACTCGGTGGTGGCCGGACAGCTTCTGGGTTGTGTCGTCCATACCACCACTCGTCTTCCTCTTTGAGGCTATCTTGGCGAATCAAGTCGAGCATGACTTGCTGGTTGCGCTTAATATCTTGGGGCCGTGAGACAATCTTGCGCTCCAGAATGAGGGCTTCGGCGGTCGCAAGCCAGATGTGCTGCAGCACCGGCAGGTCGTGGAGAAGCTTGTCCGCTTGCTCAGGGTCCAGGGGTGCCATGGGCACCTCGGCAGCCAAGCTGGTATGAAAGACCCAGTTAGGGTCAAAGTAGCCATTGGTGCTATCGATCGACCCTGACGGACTGCGCACTCTGTACAGCGATTCGCTAAATGATAGGCGATGCCCAGGACGGTCACCGCTTGTCGACTTCTTCCGGCCAAATCCTCGCAACCCTGCAAGTCGGGCTTTGGTTTGCGTCTCAGTAATTGGCTCCTGTATAAGGTTGCCGTACCACGCATCAACGGCTGCTCTTCGACTGTTGTATCCCTTGATTTCCCACAACCTCTCAACCTGTCGTAGTCCCCCGAGGCACAGAATAGCAACGTGTACCTCGTCAGCTGGCTTCTCGCGCAAATAACCTCGAAGCGATCTCTCGACACGACCAACATAGGTTGGGGGTCGCAAGCGACGACAGAAAGACGATATTACAAGGGGGAACACTTCGTGTACTCTTAGAAGCGTTTGGTCGTCGTACATGTCCATGACCCTCTTCTCAACGGGATTGAGCGTGTACGGTTCACGTTGCAACCCGTGGCCGTTGTTTTCGTTGATATGCTCAAGGTGGAATTTGCGGTACGTCTCGAAAAAGTGGAAAAGGGTGAAAAGTAGGGGGATGAGTCGACGGCGCATAATCTCGTGTTGTGGTGCAAACGCTCTCCGTTGCGCTTCCGTCTGCTGTAGGAAGATGTCCTTTGTGATCCATTCACACATGAGATAGGCCAGCTTGGCGGCGACATGCAAACGGTGCCATATACTGCAGAGAGAGTGGAAGTTGTAGTCGGCGGGCTTGGTTATCGGATATAAGCGGAGGGCGTATGCGGGGATGTGGTTTTCGACGTGGTGTCGGACTATGGGGCCTTCGTTAAGGGTAATTAGGGTGTGCCACGGCTTCGAGGCAAGGCGGAGGTTGAGGACATCTGTCAGCGGCAGGAAGGAGATGATTTGGATCTGCAGTTCGTTGGGCAGAGCGAGGAAGAGCTGATCGAATGGGATCTCTCGGGTGGTGGAATCGACAACGGCAGTGGGTTGGGGAACGGCAAGCGCCTCGTGGACAATGCTTGGGACGATTACCGGGCCAGAGGTTTTGGAGTGCCGTAGAGAGACGCGCTGTTTGAGGCTGAAGAATCGGCTCTTATCCTTTTTCTGCTCCACAGGCTTGGACTGGGTGTCGCCAGTCCTGGACTCGCGTAGGGGTAGAATGAACGTCGACGAAGGTAGTGTCGTCGGCGCGGGTACGGTCGTCGTGGCTGCTGATGATGACACGGCCGTTTCAGTTTGTGTCTGGTTCGCGTTGAGCTGGTTGAGCTTCTCAAAGTAGCGCTTTGAGGCGAACTCTGTGATGTGCGGAGGGTCCATGGCGACGGTGCGCGCCGGCGTCCGTGTTTCGGACATTGTGGACGGTGTTTCTATGAGATGTTCTGTGCCGGAGGTCGGTCGAGCGAGTGACTAGGCAACAGAGTTACCCAAAGGGATAGACCGTCGGATCGACAGTCTATTTGATAGGTCGGTGACGGCGTGATGAGCGGCCGGGCTGGCCGGCTCGAAGGCGAATCTGCGTTCCCTTCGCTATAGTTGGAGGCAGAGGACCAAGCGGATCATGTTGCCCCGCGCAGGGAATGGATTGATGGCTAGCAGCCGAGGAAGGCTTCGACTCTGGCGATGTAAGGACGGGGCTGCAGATGGCTAGCTGGATCCTAGTTTGTTCAACGTTGTCGGCCCAAGATACTACTCTTATGCGGAGACGGCGTGCGGCTGCAGCGACGATTCGATCAATGAGCTTTGATTGGAGGCTTGTGTGATAGCCGAGAGGCAGCAAAAGAGTTTGATGGACGAAAGGAAGTAAAAGAAGCGAGGCGAGAGAGGAGACGATTGACGGCGACTGCGGATGGCGGAGGAAGGAGAAGAGAGTTCGGGCGGCGGGCGGGATGGGTCGTTTTCTATATGTGGAGGTGCGTCGAAAAAATCACACGCCAGTCTTTGCGAAACGGTGGTACTGGACAGTGTGAGGGAAGCAGAAAACAAAATGGCAAAGCTTCTGTGCGATGTCGATGTTTGATGGTGGAAGTGAAGATGAAAGAAGGGCGATAGCGAGCAGGGCCCCCAGCAGGTTTGCTGGTTGACGAAGATGGCGTGGGACTGGGGGTGCTGGGCAGCGACTGCAGCGGCACGCACAGCACAAGTTGCAGCGTGCAGAGCGGGCTGGAAAAAAACTGCGGAAGGAAAAGATGGGGGAGGCGCACCCAGAAAGAGGCGTGCCAATAGGCGGGAGTGTACGGATCCCTACGAACGAATTCCCGAATTACCCTAAAACATGGAGAGATTCCAAGGCCCATCACTGGCTGATAGACCTGCTAGCCTGTCTGGAAGCATGGAAAAAGGAGGGGGTGCCAGCAGCAGGCCGAGGCGGATAGTCTGGTCCCCAAGACGCCCAGATTTCCGAAGGTTACAACCTTTGCAGGGCTCTGCAGGGCTCTGCAGGGCCTTTTTCCAGCGGGCGCCGCGCACAGTTCTGTCCAGTGCGGCCGTTAGCCGGCGTAATAGTGGGGGTGCGTCGAGGCAGCCCCCCCTCCCTTCCCCATGTTGGGCTTGCCGTCAAAAGTACCCTTGCACACGTGCGCCCAGCAAAAAGATACTTCTCGACAGCACAGTGCGCATGGCTTTCCGTGCTTCTCCAACCTAACCGTGTTGGGACGTTCCGGCCGCTTCAAGGTACGGGCTCCCTCCTACTGGTGGTACCTCTTTGCCAGCAACCCTCGCTTCGCCTACAGTGCCAACGATGGAGGGTTGCTGCACTGTCTGACATGGGTCCCCAATTTAGCCGAACAAACCCGATGGCAAGTCACCATCTCCAACACTAAATACAGACAACTAACCTTGCCAAGTACTCTTGCTAATGCTACCAGGTCCGCCGCTCTTTGCTGCTATTGTACGGAACTACCTGATTCGTTATCCGTAGGTAACCACTTGACGTATCACTACCGCGGTTGCCCCATCCACTCGGAGTATTATTGAGCGCCCTGCTTATTACACTCCACCTACACCAACTCACCCTACCACCCTGCATCTGCGTGCGTCACTATCAATCGACCGTCTGCTGCCAAAACAAAAGGCCCTTTCGAATAAAAATTCAAATCAGACATCTTCATCTCGGAAGCCGGTTCCTATCTTGCCTAGCCCAGCCCGATATCTCTGCATCGACATATGTACTTGCTGCGTGTATCCGCTGCCTGCACCTGCATATCGTGTCCTAGCCTGTACATGATGTATCTTCGACCGTCAACAGTACTGAGGTAGGTAGGTACCTGACACGAGTTGCCAACACTCTTGCGAAATGCGGTCTACGCTGGGTTGAAAGGTAACGTAGCTTTGGAGCTCCATCTACTTCTGCTCCGCCCTTTCGGCGCATACAAATACACGAAACGAGTTTCATAGATAAGGCGAGCTTCGCCAGCTTCACATTCACATTTTTCATGTTCACAAAAAAAAAATCCATGATAATGAGTCTCCCTCTTACATCGTCTCCATCTCGGTCATCATCCCACCACCAACCCACCAGCCTTGCTCCCAATCTGCCATAGTCCCGCCTCGGTGCATAATGATAACGGAACGGCCGTGGTCACACTCTGCTTTTTGCACGTTTCAATATCCCGAGACATTTCTCTACAAAATTTCCAGAATAGGTCAATGTCAGTCGGCGACTGCACGCCGATATCAAATGCCAGTCGCCGTTGCGAAATGCAGCCCACTTGAACCAGTCATGAAGTTCAATCCGCGTGCTGGCAGAACAACCAAGTTTGCGCCAAGGGTTTGTTCCTGACTTTTCGTGTTCTTGTGTGTCTGTGACATGTCGCATTCCGATAGAGGCTTGCGCGGTCCAGTAACCAGCCACAGATAGCAATGGTGCCGACGACTTCAAAATGGAAAAATTGAGGTCGAAAAGAATAAGGCGAGAACAACATTAAAAGATAAAAGATAAATAAATAAATAAATAAAATATCCACTCTACCAGTATATGCTGTCGGCCCGCCTTGCGGCGTTATCGAGAAATGGATGGCGTACTGCGTAAGAAGCGCCCGGCCGCTGTCCCGGCACCACGCCTATCGCTGGTGCTCGGTGTTGAATTCCCGGACTCCATATCCGCAGCAGAGCCTCACCTACCTAGTTATTCCAATATTTCTACCGTGGCTTCCTTGCGTCAATCTATTTTTTTTTCTGATTGCTTTTTTAACGGGGACATCGGCCCTGCTCTGGCGCAGGGGCCCGACAACATGCTATCTCGTGGAGCCGCCCAGACCTGCTGTCCGTTTATCTATGGATAATCAGTTAATATTTCTGTTACATATGCAGCCGCCGAGAGATAACACGAGCAAGGAGAAAATTCAAGCAAGCAAGCAAGCACGCAAGCAAAGCTGCATACGAGCAAAAATAGAACCAGATGGCGCAAGACTTGCCACAAACCGAAAGGAAGGGCGACAAGCGACAACCATCCGCGGCCCTACTCCGGTCATTCTCTGCCTGCGTTCGAACATGTGTCTCAAGCGCCGTAGATCCGGCGCAAGCTTGCACGGCCATTTCGGTGCCGCGTAGCCAGCTTTCGGTTTAAGCTGACTGGACTGTCGTAACCAAATTAATTCTCTTCTCTTCTTTGCTCTCCCGCTGTCTTTTGTCGCAATGCCACCGACCAGGTCAATCCGCTCCGCGCCGGAGACCCCTGGCGTCGACCGGTAATAGCATCGCCAAGACCCGGGAAGCAAATGATGCAAACTGCAGCAACGCAGCATGTATCTTCCCTATATCACATCACGCGACAATGAGAGATGCTTGTCTTGGCTCATACAGGCACGTCCTCCTCTCAGTACGACCCCTAACTTGGCGTTACTTGGTCACCCACCATCACGGCGCAGGCTCCCTCCGCGACGGCAAGTTCCCTCCGTCTGTCTGCCAATGCTACGCTGTTTGGATTTGGCTGTTTCGGAACTTTTGAAACCTACACCACGTTACTACCTAGCTTTATGCAGAACGTAGTAGCTGTGCTGGGTAAGTCGTTAGTACGCCGCTCTGGGTAGTAGCTACCAATAGCTGCAAAAAGGTATAGAATTCACTTGGCCTGCATCATCAAAGGCATGGCCAAAGAACAAGTCGAGCCCGGCATGCTCTATCCGGTGGACGTTGCTGTGCGCACTGTGTTTCCTCTTCACTTTTGCCACTGGTTTATAACTCTCGATTTCTTGTGGCTTACCTCTCGGCAGAGCGGCCGGCCTCTTTTGATCCATTTCTATTCGACGCCGCTCGTTAGGCTCAGGATCGACAAAACCTATAATCGAGTAACCACATATTCACGTCACGAGAGCCAGCTACCCTCCAGCCCTTCGTTGCAAAACAGCTTCTTTTCCCAGAAAACTCTAGCTCAAGGCCATGACGCTAATTACCAGCCGCGGATAATAACCGTCGCAGTTTCATTCCACTCTAGCAATCCTCGCGCAACGCGTTGCGCCACAGTGGCATTGGTCGATGTGAAAACCTTTTGAGACAAAGGTTGGACGTTTCTTGTACCTGCCACTCCTAGCTAGGGAAACAAGCCATTGTGCTGACCGGGTAAATGACCTGGCCGCGATATCGTTTGTCCTCGTGTTGTCCGGCAGCGTCGCAGCGTTTGCGTTCCATCGGTAAGCCTGCAGATCAGCGGGCAGCATCTATTCGCACCGGTGCATTCCATTGCCAAAGCAACAGAGGTACACAGGAAGCGGACGCGTGGGCAGTACGCAATTCAGTCTTGCTTGTATGTTTCGGGGTTGTCTAGTCATGCCCATAGACCCCAAAGGTTGCGACGCGAACACAGCCCGCTCGGAGTAGCTCATCTGCAGCCCACTGCCGTGCATGGCTGTGCCCTCAGTAATATCAACTTGACTGCCAAAACAGCCGTACTGCCACCGCTCATTGGTGGCTTTGGGGCTGTTTGCTGGTACCCTTGCCTCTTGGTCTTGCTTGCTGCAATGATACCGTACCATAATGCCAATAGAGCTAGTGCAGGTGGTGAACCCCTCCTCCAAATCAATTCATACGAAATTATGCAACCCTCAAGCAAGTCCTAACCTCTATAATTGAAGTTAGGCGTATTAGAACGATGAGCTGCCTAAATCTGCTTGGTAGCATCTCATGATGTTAGCGTCGTGCAGATGCAGTTCGCGACTGGCCAGGGGAAGTTGCACAGGTTGGCTGTAAATTAAGCATGACCAGGTAAGTTCTCTGCTCAGCAGCAGCAAGCTAGCAGAACAAGAGTCAGCACCTCGTCTCTATAGGATTTGGGTTATGTCGTGAAAGTTTGTAGGTTTTGTTGAGAGCAATTTTTATCACAGATTGTACTATGATCATAACCACCGTATGATCTGTACACAGCGAGACTTACCGAGAGATGGATATAACAATCTTCGAGCGGTCTCGTGTCCCACTCATGTTGGTCCCCTTTCCTTGTACCGTCTTGCTACTGTCATTTTGTTCCTTCGGTAGGTGCCTAATTTCTGGTCAAATGTGCGATCTCGTTCCAATCCTCTGCGCCAAGAATGTGAATGTGACCACCTGCCTGGTACCTAGATGGGGTTGGGTGGCGAAAAGGGCCGATCGTGGCGCAATGGATGCAATTAAATGGTAGTACCGAGCGTCAACGTTGGCGGCGTATTAGTACGCCTGTTAGATGAGTTGGCGGCAGGGAATGTCAGGGAGTGGGCTAAAAAGAAGGCAACGAAGGGTAACTCTCCCCTTGCAGTAATCGACATTTATCAGTGATCAAGCCCTGGGCCAGGTGCTTCCTTGGCGGCATCGAGATAAACCGGGTAGAAGTTTGCGTCGTACTCAGAAACGAAAGGCGTCATCGAAGTTGCGGTAGGTGGCCGTTGCCAGTACGTAATGAGCTGCTAAGTGCGTCCAAATAGGGAAACTCCTGACAGTCGGTTAAAGCTGGGGTAATGGATGAAAAGGCGGCGCGTCTGGGGCATGCAGGGCTCGCTCGGTCAACACTGGTACGAGAATAGAAGGAACAAGGAGAACCTGTGGAGAGATATTAGCCCGATGAACCACCTGTTCACACTCACAATGCAAGGTCTCACCATCCATGGCAACAAAGCTGCTGCGATATTGTCAGGCGATTGTCCGTTGTTTGTGTAACGACTTGAAATGAGGCTCGGCGGGTTGCGAGCAGCGCCCCGGTGGTCATCTAATAAGCCGCCCGGGCCGACTTGACTTGCTGCTGAGCTCGATCTGGGGCGGCATGGGGATATTCGCGGCGGTATTGAGGGGGTGGTTGATTGGCGGGTGGGTGAGGAGCAAAGGCCATGCGGGGGTTGTTTATGAAGACAAAAGGCAATGGGCCCGGTGTTGTCTGTCTCAAGTGGATTGCAAAAATAGCAACAACTATTTCGATGCAACGAATGTTAATCATTCTTTGCTCGATTGTTCAGCTGACAGCCTCGGCGTCGTAGAATCTTCGAGGCAGATAACGGCTGGCTCGCAGCTTGGACGATTTGGCATGTGGGGTTGAAGCGTTTGATGTAAATTAATGACGGCGGGTATCGTGAGGGCGCCTTCGGCGAAGATGAAAAGCGAGCGAGATGGGGAAGGAGGATTAAATATTGGATTTATTGGAAGCAGATATGAAGGAAGGTGGACATGGACCTCGGCCGCCATGCAAACGACAAGAAGAAATTTTCTTTGCCTGGCAGCTGGCAGCAGCTCGCCTGATCTTAGCAACCCTAACTTGCAGTCTTGAATCAAACAGTGCTCCCTCCATCTTCACCTTGGCCGCTCTGCTACTCCGTCCTCTGTCCTGAGGGGTCAATATTCTCAGCTCGCATACTCAACACGCTGCATCATTTTCCCCAAATTCATCACCGCGCTACCCCGCGTCGGCCAGTCCTCTCCATCATCGAGCCCCTCAAACCAACACGCGCATTTCCCGTTCAACGCTTTAGCCCGCGACGCCCCTATCCGACCCTCCCCAATCACATCATCCCGTCCAGCCTCCCCCTCTCATAATCTCTCCACCACCCACGAGAGCCCTCCGCGCGCCGCCGATCCGTCCTGTCAGCCCTTCATCAAGGGGTTCCTCAAGGGGTTTGGCAGCCGACCTCTCTCTGCAATCCTCGTGGCATACCAGTAAACCGTCCCTCTCACCAGCACCAGTTAGAGCAAGAGTTGACATTCCGGACTAGCAGTACATCTCGCTCCGTCCTCCCACGCCTCCACGCCGTAACACCACCACGGCTGCTCTTCGTTTCCATATTATTGTTGCTTTTGCGACCGAGATACCAGGACCCCCGTGCGCACGCACCTGTCCCTTTTATTCGGCCCGCTACCTTATGCTTGTGGCCTGTCACCCTGCCGTGCCCTCAACCAGTAACCAAAAGTTCCCGCGGTTCGTCTTTACGCCGTACTCACTCCTACTTTCATGCGCCGCAACGCACCTCGAACAGCCTCCTAGCCAAACATCGTTCGAGTACAACCCCGCCCGCATACTATCCTACCGCAAAATCTTTTGTTTCCAACCCGGACGCTGCGTCCTTCCCACCACGCGAGTCTAGAGCTCCTCGCTACCCCCGCCATCTCGCACCGCCGGCAGTCGCACCGGTTGCAGCGTCGCGGTCATGGATCCGGCTTCGGTCGCTCCTCGGTCTGATGCTGCCGAGTCGGACCATCCGCCAGTCATCGCTACTACTCACCTGGCCCGCTTCGAGTTCAGCGACGAGGGAACAAAGATTCTCATGGTCGAGTGGCAACCCGAAGCTGAGGCCGCTGACATCGACTCCACAGCCGCCACGCCGGGTCCCAACAACGGCTCCGTGAACCCTAATATCAACAAACTTCGCGATAATCCGGCTCCCGACACAAATGCCGGTTGGGAGGTATCATGGCCAGGAAAGTCTACTCTGCTTCCCGCACGAGATGCGGATCAAGACGGCAGCAAACGTCGAGTATACTTTCTCCTGCCCGAAGACGTCCCTATACCACCGACCGTCACCATCGCGCGCCGTGGCCGATCCAGCTTGATATTGAAGCCGCTGCCAGCCATCTTTCCACCAGGCTTTGATGCCGAACCTGGCTCTCGCGGCGTGCTTCATACGCTGTGGGCAAAGAAACGTCTGCGAGAGCTGGAACGCGAGATGGACGCCGAGATGAGGACCAACTCCGAGAGCGTCGGACTTCAAATGGCGTACTCAGAAAAGCAGTGGATCATCGAGACATTTTTGACACCGCCAAAGCCCAGGATGATACTGCCAATCTCTCCAGTTTCGCCCATCTCCGGCCGACTCGGCGAGAAACTTAAAGGGTTGCGCCTGGCAACATCGCCCGACGATTTACTGCCCAGTCCAACCGGTAAGCCAACTTGACTGCACTGAAGCTGCCAACCACTAATACCCAAAGCCAATACGTTTATGGGATCGAACGCCCCCTCGCTCACTTTATCCCCCGATGGGAACGATATTGCCGTTCCTTCGTTTGCACCCATGTCACTCAACGCCGCCGCGCGAGGTGACCTCCCCGTGTCTAAACGTCATCAGACAGACGCAGAAGATGATTTATTTGCCTTGCCCATCAGCCCACGCACTCCGGACATGAAGAGAGCTCAGTTTGGTGTTTTCTAGTCCAGCCACCAGAAACCGGCAACCGCAAGATCGGCCGTGGCACAGTCTCAGCTCGGCAATTAATGATGTGCATGAACAGCGTTGCTTTTCTGGCTCCCACCACGGTGACAAGGCTTGGCCCTCGAGTTTGTTTTGGATAAAGAGCACGCGTTCTCTGTCATGAGAATGCACAAACGTTTAATGGATGGGCGTATACGTTAATGGATGAATGAGGAGAGGAGGCAGAGGCATTGATAAAAGGTGTGAGGTGTAGCAGAATGTCTAGATAATAAATATTACAACCCCTCGCTCGCTCCTAGGCACTAAATATAACGAGATTCATTCCCTAGCTCTTTAAAAGGTAGAAGAGATGCTACTGTCATACTTCCCACACAAGTGAGGATGCTAGAATAGTCTGCCTGATTCTCACCAGAGACAGACCGCACCCACACTTCTCAACGCCATCTCATCTCCATCCTCCTACGCGCCCCTCATCCCACCTCTCCTTTCTCTCCTGCCTCTGATAATACAGCACCTTGGCCTCTCTATACCCCTTCACCCACTCCGCCACCTCCCTCTCCGTCAGCAACTCCCCGCCCTCACCACCACCGCCGCCGCCGCCGTCGCCGCGACCGCCGTCCAGAAAGCTGTCCTCCATGGCCTGGCACACCTGCGCCTGCTCCTGCACACCGTGCGCGAGCGCCTGGTACAGCGCGGCCGGCGAGAACGGCGCCAGCGCGTGGTCCATGTCCGACTGTCGCTGGCGCCACTGCCGCTCCAGCGCGTGCGTCGCCAACAGCCGCGCCTGCGTCGCCTCCCGCGCGCCGGACAGTCGCCGCCCGAGCGCGCCGAGGCGGGCATGGCGGGCGGCACGTCCAGCGGCTGCGGCACGTCGCCGTCTGCTGCGTCCGCCGTCACCGTCTGCAGTGGCGACGGCTCGTACGTGCCGTAGCCTGGCGGCGGGGGCGGCGGAGGCGGCACGGAATTACCGCCGGTGGTGGGCGTGGCCATGCGGCTCGCCTCGTGGCTGTCTGGCTTTGGTGGGGGCGGGGGCGGCCTGGCGGCCTGGTCGTATCCTGACATGGTGCTTGCCGGGCGTATACCTATGTCTGTTGACGTGGGCTGTGTTGTAGAGCAAAAGGCTCGCTGTGTGCTCAGTTTGGATGATGTTGGCTGATGTTGATGGGTTGCTGTTGCATGTGGAGGCTTGAAGTCGGCACTGGCGATCTTGGCGCGTGGGGTGGCGGCTGATGCAGTGACGTGTGCGGCCTCATCACGACTACTAGGTATGAAGAGAGCAGAATATTTTTCCAACTGCAAGCAAATGGCAAATACAAACTAGATCGGGACACTTCATTTATCGGGAGACTGCACCGCCTGTTAAACCGTTCAAAAGTCGATCCAGATTAAACAAAAACTATGAGCCCGTAGCGCCCAGTACGCGCAATATTTCATATCCATTGTCCTTTTTTACATTCTTAAACCATGCCGTCTATTTCTTCATCCTCAGCTGTTCAGATCTCGGTCGCGGCACGGTTCCTACGACTTGACGGACCAAATGTCCCGCGACCACCCCATCTCCCGCAGCTTCTTGCTGGGGGCACCAGTCGCGCGCTTCTCGCCCGTCGCAATGGCCAGTGCCTTGCTGCATGCCGCCAGCGCCTCAACCAGCTCCGTCATGCGCTTCGTCGCCGAAAATACCGACGTCAAGTCGGAGCTGCGCTCTGCAACCACTGTCGCCAATTCCATGCTCTCGAGCAGGTTGTCGCGCGACAGACCCGTGCCCGCAAAGTGCAGCGCGCTGACGTAGGCCAGGATCGTTTCGGGGAGATACTCGCGGCGGATTTTGCTTAATTCCTCATCACCCTCTGTTTCATCGTCAGTCACGTCACCAGGCCTGCTTGACTGCCATTTCTTACCAGCAATACTTAGAACAAGCCAGCCTTTCAATAGGGGTTGCATGTTTTCTTTAGCAGCCTTAATACCGTCGCCAACACTAGCCCAGAATTTGCGGTTCGTTGTAGGCATCCTATCAGAGTGTTAGTAGACGGCATAATTTTTTACGTGGAGATACATACTCTGCTGAAAGAATCACCAGCGATGCTATCGTCTCCAAGCTGTCCAACGCCGCAACTATCGCCTCCAGATCGCGGAAATTGCGGGCGTCAGCCATGACTTGCTCGGGCTTTTCGTCGAGGATGTTGCTCCTTTCCAGCTGGTCCTCCCAGAATCGCACATCGTTGATCTGTGGCGCCTCCGCTTCGTCCTGCTCCATTATCCTACGAAGCATGTCGTTGAATGGGACGCGTCGCATCAGCTGTCTCGCAGCGTTAAGGTGCATGTTTGCTGCACAAGTTAGGAAACATGTTTCGAAGACGAAAGAGCGACTTACTTAGGAAATATTTATACGCCTTGGTGCCGATGGAAAAGACCTTGGGCCACTTTTCGTGTACCAAGGCCAGCCATTCAATGGAGCGGATAAGGTGCTCGTCCTTAGTATCGATTGCATCCTCCTCCTCGCCAAAGAAATCAGGCTTGATCGCGCGTCCTTGTCGTGATGTCGGGCGGCCAGCGTTGACAATCCTAAAGTGAATCTCGGGTGGCGGTTGCTTGGTCAGCTCGGCGTCAATGTTGAGCTCGAAATACATTAGGTTGGCTTGCTCCTCAACAAATTGAAGAACATCAATACCGGCCTTCTTTACCAGCTTGAGCTGTATTAGGCGCTGATTGTGGTCGTCTTCATGGATGAGGTTTCGGGAGAGTATCTTGTAGCATCGAGGAGCTTCCACAGTAGAGCAGTACAAGGGGATAAGCTCATGCAGGCCAGCCCGTCGCAGATACTCGGCATACGCGCCAACAATACACTCCTGCGTGAAGCGCCAGTTTGGCGGTTGCTTTGATGTGCGCACATTGTCTTCGGCATCTTGTTTTTCCATGAGCAGTTGGAGAATATAGACGTGCGTAACAATTCGAAGCCCGTCATGCTGTTCCGGAGAAAAGTATTTGTGCTCGGCGATTTCGTGGCCTACCATGGAAGCTGTAAAACTCTTGCCAGGATTTTTGAGTTCAATACTTAGGCCTTGCTCGAACAGGTGGTGGCCCGTGTCGTCGGCAATGACGGATGCTTGCAGAGCCTTGATGGGTTGCTCGGCTTCGTCCTTGATGGCGGCATTGGCTTCCAGCGAGCGCATAAGTCGCTTTTCGGTTTCGCCACCATTGTAACATGGGGCATTATACACCGGGAAGCACTGGTTGATGTTGGATGCGACGTCCTGCGGGCACTTGCTAAGAGCGAAGAGGTCCAGCTGTGTTCGGACCAGGGCGTTGTAGTGTGCGAAAAGATGGTCGTCCCATGTCTTTGCTACACCCTCGACGCTAGCAACATCACCGGAGAGGATACCGTAGACAGCTCGCTCGTATTCAGAGGAACCACGGTTGCAGGCAAGGGCATAGCACATACGGCGCCACAGCATCAAAGACTCTGGGGCCACGTCGACTTTTTCCTGTGTTTCGTCCGAGGAGAAGAGGGCGGCGGACATGGAAATAGCTCGCCACATTTCCGTCCGCTCCTGACACCAGTCACGAAGCTCTTCTAGGCTACTTCCGCGTCGCAGGTGCTCAAAGCAGCCCAGCCAGATTGCGCGCTCGAAGTAGTCGTCTTGGGGCTCCAGCTTTCGGTCTTGGCGAGTCACGGCATCAGGGTCGAGGTTCGTAACGAGAGGCGCGCCAGTCGAGTTGACGTGTGACTCGGCGATGTTGGGTGTTTGACGTTCGAGTAGATGAGACCAGCCAGTCACGCTCTTGCGTAGCTTAATCTTGGATCGCGTGTGCAGCCACCCGTGAGCAATCACATCCCCACGATCGGCATTCTGTTGCAGATCCTCCACCATGGTGTCGATGTCTGGACCGCTGGCAGCATTCGCCTGCAGCCACTGCAAGACAGCATGGCGCTCTTGCGCCTCTTGGTCTTTGTGCAACAAGTCTTTCAGCAAATCGCCGGAGGAATTCTTGATTTTGAACAGGTCCGAACCAGCACCTTGGTTTTCATGGAACGTTATAAATGGGTTCTCTCTGGCTGCGGCATGTCGGAGAGGCATAAGACGTCGAATGAGATCCCAGGTCTGAGCTTCTCCCTCTACGCGCTTCGTCTCTGCGGCGCTGAGAGCAACACCGGCTTCCTCAGCCTCATCGACGTCCATGTCGATATCATCGTGACTACCTCCGACGCGCTTCGGTCTATGTTTCGCTAGTCGTAGAATGGCGTTTTCGTAATATCGGCGTGGGAGGTCCAGGAGTCGTTCCTTCTTCTCGGCGGGTGAAAGGAACGGCGCGAGGCATTCGTCGAGCGCATTGGCAAATTCTTCAACCTCCGGGCCTGCCTCGACAGGGGCCGGGGATGAAATCGCCCCGGTTCTATCCGCCATGGTGCGTTTAGCAGATTGCCAGAATGTACTGCGATGCGTTGCCGTTGTGCCAGCGCGTTGTTGCTAGCGGCCCTGAGGCCCGTTGCGCAAAGCTCTCGTGGCAGCTCGTTTGGCGGACACGGTGACCAATAACACACAAATCAAAGCTGCACCTTCCAGGCCTCCGATTGGTTTCCCGTCTCGTTCTTGGCGAAGCTGGACCGTCACTTGATGCGCACGGCTGGTTGTGTTGAAGCTTTTGACCTTGGATGTGTTGCTCTACAGCAATATTTTGGGCGCGTAGCCACTTGGAGCTAGGCGCGAGTGGGTCTGGAAGCTACACGCCAGTGAAGGCGTCGATACAGCTGAGGCTCTGTAAAGGTCGGGTTGAAATCAGAGTAGAATTCGTGTATTTCATTTACTGATGGTATTTGTGTGCTCTTGCTCTAGTTGGGTTCAACGGGTATATCTAGCTTGTTTATGCCTGGTAAACAATCTCAAGTACAAGCACCACAGCCTGGCGCCGGGACGACGCTTTTTAGATGTACACCAAGAGTCAACAACAGCTAACAACAGTCAGCGATCCAACATTATAATACACATATATAGATTCAAACATAGTATAAAGCTTTAAAGATATACAAGCCATAACATTGGACATGTTTTCATCAGGATGTCACGTCAAATGCTCAAATATTGAAGATATTGAATCGCATCAAAGTGCAGGGTACCGACTCGTTACAGCAATATGCAACAAAGCGAGCACCCACACTACTTGGGCACCGCAATTTTTGCACAGCGCTGCTGGCCTTTCTCTTCTTCTTCACATAATGTCTTTGGCATTCATATTAGAGTCTCGGAGCAAGACAGTTTAATTCTTGTTCAGGTCCCATGAGGATCTCCAGCGTGCTCAATGATCGCCTAGAAGAACTCCCAGGCGCTCATCAAAACGTTACCCGATTTTCCCTGCTGGTGGACATACGAAGATGCGCGTCACATATCCCTCACATCAGGTGTATTATATTCTATTCATGACTGCATGGCTGTAACTGAACGGGATATAATGCAAATGGCTGTAGATGACGTCCCAAGAGAGGCCTCACTTCTCACCGTTCATCTGCTTCATCTTGAGCCGAAGCAGACTGGGCTTGGGACAGCTTGGAGACGAAGCACTGTCACCGTATCGTTCATAGAAGGACTCGCAGCAAGTGTAGAGAGCCTTAATCACCTCCTGGCACTTGGCCTCGTTGTAGTTGTTCTTCGTCAGGCAGTCTGGATGCGTCAGCAGAAGCTTGGTCCGTGTCGTCGCTGCATACCTTGGATTGCACACTACGCAAGTTAGCCCGTGACTCGAGTGCTACCAAGCGGTCAAAAACAACTTACTGCACGGGGATGACAGGGCGGTTTCGCCTCGACATCGTCTTTCCCAGCCTGTGAAAGAATTAGCCTGCATTGGGCAGCCTGCCGAAGATACGTACCATGGCGAGTACTGTGTGATAGAACCTGGAGCTACGCCCAAGCATGTACTTATTGCCAGCTGAATAGAGAAGAGCGCCGTGGCGGTTAAGTCTGCGAAGGAACGAAGAAGGCAGTTCGAGGACGTCAGAGCTGCGGCGATAGTAAAGGTAAGGGCATTGGGACTAGTACTCCACTGCAAGTTCCATGGCCTCGAATCAAATCATAGATTATTGTCTGTATTGCTATTTATTGTCGGCACTCACTCTACTACTTAACAAGAGACAATCAAGGTGCAGTATTTAAAAAGCCAGTGACAAGAGGATTACGCCAAGTCCAGTTACTGCAATGTTTTGCCATTCACAATGTTGCACGCATTGTTTTGCCTGGCCTTGTTGATGCCAGCGCTAAATGCTGCTGTGACATGCAGCACAGGCGCCTGAAACCGTTCGTTGGCGTGCATCTTACAGGGCGTCCCCGCCAGGCTGCAGCGCATTTCCTCAGGACCCTTCCAGCGCCTTCGCCATGCGTTAGTCATCAACACGCCCATTAAAATGAGACCATCGCAGCCAATGAGACGTGCGATTCCCCACCCTTCCCTCTCGGTGTTAGTTTCTCGCCGCCCGCCCCTCCAGACCAAACGACGTCGTCGTCCAGCCCGAGAGAAACTTGTTTGTGAACTTCTTCCTCTTCTCCCCAAGCATTCACCCGCGCCGCTTCTTCTTTTCACGCTTTGCCAACGCAACTCGGCAGAACTGCAATCACTACACGAACTCATCAAAACACAAAACACACAACCATCATGTCTGACGACAACGGCGGTCTTCCCGGCGACGCCCCTCCCCTCGCGGGCTCTGAGCACCTGAACATCAAGGTCACCGACAACAACAACGAGGTCTTCTTCAAGATCAAGCGCACAACCAAGCTGGAGAAGCTGATGTCTGCGTTCTGCGACCGCCAGGGCAAGTCCATGACGGCCGTGCGGTTCCTGTTTGATGGCACGCGAGTCCAGCCAACCGACACGCCTGACCATGTATGTTTACCCCCCACCCTACTTGTTTCCATTTGATCTGCTCTGGAAATTGCCCTCCAACTACACCATACGGCTCTGGTATTCATCCCTGCTAACACCACGCGCAGCTCGAGATGGCGGACGGTGACACGCTCGAAGTTCACCAGGAGCAGGTTGGCGGCGCCGCCTTTTAGGCACCAAGGGCTCAACTAAGCGAGTCTTTGGTCTCGTCTCGTCCCTTTGCGCGCTCATCCGCCTGCAATAACGAATATCGAGAAAATCCACCTAAAAATGTATGAAATGAACGTTACCACAACAATGCGGCGTTTGGGGGAAAGGTCCTTGCAACTTACCTCGGACCACGATGTCTACACTGCTTTTCGCTCTTTTATCGCCTGTCTTTTTTTCCCCTTTGTTTCAGAAGCGTGCCGACCCCGCAGCATGAGGTTTGGTTGACAACACGCAGCATTGCAAAATCGCTTGCTTCGTCGGCCGGACGCTTGCTTCGTTTATCTTGCGACTGTTTTCTCAACTCGGAGGCCATTTGGACATTACGATAGACAAAGTCACATCTAATACACCATGGCTTTACTTGTACTTCCATTATGTACCGGACCAATAAATGAGCTGTATTGCAATATCAATGGAAACTCCATGCAAAATCCGAACACGCAATCCAAAGACCAAACAACCAGAACCGAAAGCAAAAAGCACTCGCAACTGCAAACAAATGCAACCGTAAACAATTTCAGCCGTAAACAAATTCAACCATACTGTCCATAATCAATCCAGTAAAAAACAATCGCATCAACTTCATGCAAAACATAGCTGTAACATCAACAACGCCCATCTCAAACTTTCGAGGACTGAACCGTTTGTCATCATCGTTTCAGCTCAATCATACGACAGCTCGTGCACAGGATGCTGCCGTCGTCGCGGGGAAACACCTGCCCGTCGTCGAACCCCCCCTTGCACTCGGCGCAGCGGAAGCACTCATCGTGCCACTCGCCGCCGAGCGCCTGGATGTACTGGCCGACGACGCCCTTCTTGCAGCGCTTGCACTTGGGCGCGCGGCGCTCCGTCCGGCGCGTCTGGCACTTGATGCACCACGCGTAGCCGTCCTTTTCAATGTGCGTCATGCCGTGCTCAAATGGGTCGCCGCACTCGGCGCAGAAGAAGTGCCCGTAGTGCCAGTGCTCCCCGAGCGCCACAATGTGCTCCCCGAGGATCGGCGTCTTGCAGTGCTTGCACCGCGGCGCGAACTGCTCGTGCCAGTCGAGGTGGCAGTAGAATCGCAGCCGCTCGTCGCCGTCCTCATCCTCCGTCTCGCCGGGCACCTCGTCAATCGTCTCGCCCGCTCGGCGACGCTCGATGCGCTCTAGGCGCGCATTCCTTGCCACCTCTGGCTCGGGGCTAATCTCCATGGCTTCCAGGCTCATGTTGCACGTAAAGCACATGAAACACTGTGGGTGGAAGCGCTCAGAGCCGCCTGCCAGGGCTACGAATCTCCCTTCAATCGGAAACGAACACTCGTGGCACAGCGTCTTGTCCCGGAACCTGGCGTCTGGGGCAGGAGACCAATGGCTTCGCTGCTTCGGGTTCAAACGTTGCTTGAGCTGACGAGATGCCGGGGTAGGAAGTGCCCTCGAGCTGCCAGCGGACTTGCTGCCGTTTGATTTGTTGGCGGCGGGCTTGTCGTCAGGCGTGACAATCATGGGGATGTTGGGAGCCGAAGCATCGTTATCACCCACGGAAATGCCCGGGATGTTGATGGTAGGCACAGAGACACTATCAGAGGCGTCTCCATCCACAGAAATGGCCGGGATGTTGATTGTAGGTATGGAGCTACTACTCGGAGAACCACCATCATCACCTATGCTAATGGTAGGGATCTCCGCACGAGCTTGCGGTGCTTGCGGTTTGACGCGGGGCTGGACACGCGGGGAGCCTTGGCCTGGAACAAGGATCGAAGGGACATCCACCAGCTTCCAACCCGGGAGCGACTGTGACTGCTTCCTGTCGAGTGTTGCCGTCGCGGCTGCTTGGCGGCCTGATTTGGCATCAGCGGTGTCATCCGCAGGCTTCCAGTTAGTATCAAAGCTTACAATGGGTCGCCCCGGACTGTCGCTGACGGCAGTAGGCTCGGGGAGCTTAGCACTCCGATCCTTCAACCGCATGCTCGTCGCCTCACGAATGTCCTTGCTGCGAACCTCAACCCCATTCTTGCGCTCCACCTGATCATCCTGTCGCGGAGCCGTCCGCGCATTGGTCGTGTACAGTCCGTTGTGAGATTGGCTAGGGGGATTGTAATGGATTTCGACCCGGTTCCGCGGCTTCACCGGGGCATCCTCCGCCACAGCGGGAATGCTTTGGCTTGCTGGGTTCTGCGTCGCGTTGCCAAGGGTCCGGCGCGGCGTAGGAGCCATGTCTGAGTTCGGCTGCTTTGTCGCGGAGTCGGGCTCTTCCCAGATCTGGTTTGTGGAGAAGGGGTTGTTGATCTCGCCACTAATGTTGCGGTTCATGCTGCTCTTGCGTTTGCCGCCAGGAACGGAGCCGAGTCCAATGCCACCGTATGTCTTGCGGCGCTGACTGCCGTGGCTTGTCGAAGCAACGGTAGTCTGGCTCAGATCTGAAGACTGGCGGAAGCTGGAGTTGTTGAGATCGCTCTCGTTGGAACTGTTGCTGACAGAGCGGTAGCCGGCGTTGCGTCGCATGCCCGTAGCAGCAATGTCGTTGCCGTATGTACCGATGCTAGCGGTGCGAGCATGAGCATAGCTGTTTTTCCTGAGATGTGGGCGGTAGCGGTAAGGACCTTCTGGACGGGGCGCTTCACCGCCTCCGTTTTGATGTTGCCAGACAAGCTCCGCAGCTTCATCAAGGGCTGCCTGATATATGCGGCTCTCTTCGTCCGGGGTCTCGCGACCCGCGTTGTCCTTGATGTCCATTTGCTCCATGGCATCGCGAAGCGAAAATGCTTCTTCTTTTTCCATCCACCGTTGACCTCGTTCCATGTAGGTGGCTGTGGGCACGACTTCGGACGGTTTGAGGGGAAGAGCGGCGGTCGGCTTGTCAGGATAATAGTCCCGACCGCGGCCGCTCATGGTAGAATAACGAGACGACATGCTGAATGCGGCGACGCTTGGTACGTGAGAAGGTACGCGATTTTGATCAGGTGTTTTGCTAGTTTGGGATTGCAGTGACGAAGCATCGAGGCTAAATCGGCCGGCGAGCGAGCGTGAGGGTTCCGTGGGATGCGAAGGCTGTGGTCGAGCACCTCCAGGCCGGGGCGTTCTGTTGGTACGCAGGTCGGCGAGGTAACTGGCTGCAGTTGAGACGACTGGTTAGCAATGCACATCGGAAAGCCACCGCTGTTTGCTGCGGGCGCCCTACCCATCTGGTCCTTGCTCATGTACGACGGCGACGGGGGCGTCACCTTGCGCGGCCGGGGCTCGCGAGAAGTGAACATTGCGAATGGTTGGATCAGAGAAGATGTGAGGAGTAGAGTCTAGCGGTTAATAGGATATGTATGGTTAGGAGAAGACAGGTGTTGATAGCTGGATCGAATGGTCGTGAACCACAGCGCGGTCGGGTATAATCATCAGTACTTTTTGCCTGACTAGGGTTGTCGCAGTGGGGTTGACTAGGCAACGATATAGAGTGGCTGCAGTTCGACAACGTCCGAGGGCGAGCTCCACGGCAACGGCCAACGTACAGTAGCCAGCGCGTTTCGGAAGAATGGGGGAAGAGAGAATGCGATTGCGGATAATGTACAAGTTATTATAATTTACAAGCAGGTCTTGCGCTACCATCGTAGTTCCCCCTTGACGCCTTGTTCCGCTTCACCAGTCGTTGACGTCTTTGACTTGTCATCTGCGAAACCCAAATTTTTGAACTCGTCCTTGGCCATTAAATTCCTGGTACTAATCAGACATAATTCGCACTGTCATTTGTCATTTCGCAGCATTCTTACCGGTCCATCCTGCAGGAGAGATATGACTTGGCCAGATTGCGACACTCGTGTTCATTGACGCCTCGGGCCTTCTTCATGCATGCCAGATAGTCTGTCATGACAGACTTGCACTCGCCTACGGAAATTTAGTGAAGCTCGAGAGCAGTCTCCTCCCGTTGCGAGAGCCTTACCATCGTGATCGAGCGGGAAACTTCCACGCTGTGGCCTACCATCGTCTGTTAGCTCATGAGGCCGGCGCATCGATGACCCGTGGAACAAGATAGTAGATGGACGTACGGTGTCGGTTTTGTCGATGGTAATTGTCCTGGGGCGCCAAACGTACTCATGATTTTGATGTGAGAAGTTGCATGAGATGAACGGAATGAGTGTCATGCAAAGCAAAAAGCATCCAGAATGTGGCGCCACTAATATATGACGATGTGGCTGAGTATTGTGGCTGGTGCAGCATACCCGGGTAGGTACGGGACATGATTGTGGTGATGGAACTAATGTAAACCTCAAAGTCGACGTTTTGGTTCGCGATATTTTACCAAGGTAATATGTGTCGAGGGTTTACAGCAGCCAGAAACTGCATTTATGCGACTTATGAACGTATTATGAACATAATATCAGCAACACTTTAGCTTCCGACGGCCTAAAACGGCATAGTGTCTGTATGCATTGTTGCTCCTGTGGCTTTGCCCGCGCAAGTGGGTACTTTTTGCGCCAGCGTCGCGCCACACTGCGCACCCGTCCCGTGTGAAGCGCAAGGCCTACGGCTACACGTGAATCGCAGCACTTCAGGTATCCCCAACGACGTCGACCGAAGCGCAATCCATCGTCTGTGTCTTGGCGGCCAACGGCCATCTCATGATTCCAACCTGACGCCCTTTACGACCCCTCGCATCTTCTTTCCCGCCCGGACGCCTCCGTAACAACCGCTACAATGGCAGCCCTCGGCGAGGACCTGCTCATTACTGTCAACAAATTGCAAGACCTCGTCTTCAACACCATCGGCAGCGACTCTCTTGATCTTCCACAAATTGTACGTTACTGCAATGGAACATGCTGCCAATCCGGTTTCAGCCACTGACACCATGCCCAAACGATAGGTTGTCGTCGGCTCCCAATCCGCAGGCAAATCTTCAGTTCTTGAGAACATTGTCGGCCGAGATTTCCTGCCCCGAGGCAGCGGCATCGTCACCCGTCGCCCTCTGATTCTGCAGCTCATCAATGTCCCCGAGGACGAGAATGCCCCCGAGCCGATAGAGGACCGTTTTCGATCTGCCGCCACTGCGCGACGCTCCGAGTGGGCAGAGTTCCACCACATCCCCAACCGACGATTCAACGACTTTTCCGATGTCAAGCGCGAGATTGAGAACGAAACATCTCGCGTTGCTGGTACCAATAAGGGTATTAACAGACAGCCCATTAATCTCAAAATCTATTCGCCTCATGTCCTCAATTTGACACTAGTTGATCTTCCTGGTCTGACCAAGGTACAGCGCACTGCTAGCAAGACTTTTCTCAGTCCCGACTAACCATTCCACAGGTTCCCATTGGCGACCAACCGACCGATATTGAGAAGCAGACTCGTAACCTGATTTCCGAATACATTGCCAAACCCAATAGTATCGTCCTTGCCGTCTCTCCTGCCAATGTCGACATTGTCAACTCGGAAGCTCTCAAGCTGGCCCGTCATGTCGATCCTCTTGGTCGCCGCACTATTGGCGTTCTCACCAAGCTTGATTTGATGGACCACGGAACCAACGCCTTGGATATCCTTTCCGGGCGTGTCTACCCTCTGAAGCTGGGCTTCATCGGCGTCGTCAACCGTTCGCAGCAGGATATTCAGGGCAACAAGCCCATGGAGGAGGCCCTCAACGACGAAACTGACTTTTTCAAGCACCATCCCGCCTACCGAAACATCGCCACACGATGCGGCACGCGCTTCCTGGCCAAGACTCTCAACACAACCCTCATGGGACATATCCGCGAACGCTTGCCGGATATCAAAGCCCGCCTCAATACTCTGATGGGCCAGACTCAGCAGGAGCTCGCTAGCTACGGCGACATGCACTTTAGCGGCAAGGAACACCGCGGATCCCTCATTCTGCAACTCATGACACGCTTCGCAACCTCCTTCATCTCTTCCATTGACGGTACATCGACAGAAATTTCCACCAAGGAGCTCTGCGGTGGTGCCCGCATCTACTACATCTTCAACTCTGTCTTTGGCAGCTCTCTAGAATCTATTGATCCTACGTCGAACCTCACCGCTCTTGACATCAGAACCGCCATCAGAAACTCGACCGGTCCCCGACCCAGCTTGTTCGTCCCCGAAATGGCCTTTGACCTGTTGGTCAAGCCCCAGATCAAGCTTCTCGAGGTTCCCAGCCAGCGCTGCGTTGAGCTGGTGTATGAAGAGCTTATTAAGATTTGCCACACTTGCGGCTCAACAGAGCTCTCAAGGTTCCCCAGACTACAGGCCAAGCTTATCGAGACCGTCTCCGATCTCCTACGCGAGCGTCTTGGCCCTTCGTCAACGTACGTCGAGTCGCTCATCTCGATCCAGCGCGCGTACATCAACACCAACCACCCCAACTTCCTCGGTGCCGCGGCGGCTATGAGCAACGTCGTCAACGCCAAGCAAGAGCGCGAGCGCAAGAAGCTGATCCAAGACGAGCGAGAGAGGAGAGAGCGCAAGCGCCTCAAGGAGCTCGGCCCCAATGGTGACGTTGATGATGCGGAAGACGGGGACAAGGAAGCGCAAAAACATAACAAGCACGCGCGCAGCCTCTCGCCCGCAGTCCACGAAGGCCACAACAGCCTCGCCGCGGCGGTCAACGGCCGCCCACATTCGCCCATGAACGGCCAAGGTCTGGGCGGCGCCAAGGATACGTTCCTCAACTACTTTTTCGGCAAGGAAGGTCTCTCGCCTATTCACACACCCGGCGGGCTGCCCAACGGCCGTCAACACAACGAGCCCAGCTTCTCGAGCAGCCTTCGTCGCGAAGAAAAGATTGTTGTTCGTCCAGCCCCATCAACGCGCGAGGACGACTACGACCCCACGTCGCGCAGCTACGGCCTCGCATCCCACCTCGTAAGTTTACTTCTCCTCGCTTCGCTCGCGGACCACCGCGGGTGCACGCCTACATTTCTTTTTTACTAATATCGCGCCCAGGGCGAGTCTAACGAGCCTGCTCTCACCGACCGCGAGGCCATGGAGACCGAGCTGATCCGCGCGCTTATCTCGTCCTACTTCAACATTGTGCGCGAGTCCATCGCTGACCAGGTGCCCAAGGCCGTCATGCACCTACTCGTCAACCACTGCAAGGAGGTGGTGCAGAACCGCCTCGTCAGCGAGCTCTACAAGGAGTCGCTCTTCGAGGAGCTCCTCTACGAGGACGACGGCATCAAGAAGGAGCGTGAAAAGTGCGAGAAGCTCCTCCAGACCTACCGCGAGGCGGCCAAGATCATTGGCGAGGTGCTGTGAGGTGGTGCCATGGTGGGCGAGGTTGCCACCGTGCTGTACGCTACGAAGGAGGAGGCGGGCGAGGAGGTTTGAACAAGCTCGTTGTTGTTGTTGACTTGCCGGCTGTGTGGTTTCTTGATAGACGAACGCAATCTAGACGACGTGCTGCTCTCTGTAAACAAAAGAAGGACTAAGGAAAGGATGGAACGGGTATAAAGAAGGAAGGAAAGTGGACGGACAGCACAAAGTTGGGATTGCCGCTTTTTCTAGAGGCGGCGTGCGCGGGTTGACTCTTTTTCATCTCTGCTACTTTGATTTTTGTATTGTGTGTACGCTGGTCATGTAAAAAGACAATCTCTACGTTTTTTTTATCCTATCCCTGCTCTTGGACTTTCTGTTCAGAACAAGAAAACGCGAATATACAAGATGAGTTAATGTGCATTTGTTCCACCTTCAAAAGCGTCCTTTGACTATATTGAGTAGAGTGTTGTGTTTCACGTCTGTGCATCTAGAACTATTGAAATCAAGCCGCTTTTCATAACCCCATCCCCCACGTACACCTCAAAATGTAGAAAAATAGATCCCTAAACAGTAACTGTCGATCAAGATTCACAAAACGGAAACAAATCCAATTGTACAATATTCAAGGAGAGAACGGCTACATCTTGGTAGGGTTGAGGCCGTCGGGCTGGTCCGGCTGTTCGGCATAAATCTGGAAGCTCTGATCGGCACCCCAGTTGGCCATTTGCGTATAATTCTCAAACATATTCTACAACGTGTGGTTAGTTATGTTATGCTCTGCGTTAATAGCCCGCTGATACTTACCCAGTCGAAATTGGCGGCAAAGTCGGCGGCGCCATCCGCGCCTAGGCCGTTGCCAACGGTTGTAAACATGCTCAGCGGCGACATTGGCCCTCCAGTGGCGTTGAGTGGATTCAGGCTATCCATAGACATATCCATGTTCATAGGAGGCAGGCCAAAGTCCATGCCGACAAACGGGCCCGCGTCCATCGTTCCTGAAAAGGCATTATTGCTTTCGGGGCTGCTAAGGTCGCCAAGGCCCGCCGACGAGAGAACAGACTGCGGATCTGACGGTAGCGAGTCCATGTCAAAGGTGAATGATGGCGCACCCATGGAGACGGAGTCATTACGGGACTCGGGCGTGTTTTCGCTGCTGCTAACGGGAGTCTGGATTTTGTCCATCATGATTTCGAGAATCTTGGACGCCTTGAACGCCTCCATGGACGAGTCGGCCAGGCTTGACCAAATAAAGCCGGCCTGTCGCAGGGAGCTGACCATCTTGGCGCGCTTCTCATGGTCCCAAATAAAAGAGCCCTCACCATCTTGGCTGGCGTTGGTCTGCATGGCAATGTTGTCGTAGTGCAGGTCCAGGATGATGAGCATGGCGGGGAGGATGAACTCCTTGGTTGCAATCGACTTGACGTACCAGCTGACGGCACGCAATTTACCGCCAGGTTGAGACTCGCGATGCAACGTGGAAAGATGAGACATGGCCTCCGTGGATGCCTCGATTGCAGCCCGGCGCGAGTGGGCATATCGCGGATTCTGTCTGGCGCGAACCATGTAGTGGCGGTGGAGTAGACACATGATCTTCTGGTACAAGACACTGACGTTGAAACGAGCGACGATTAGAGTCACCGGGTCGTTGGAGCCTTGTAAGGAGGTAAGCTTGAGGTGAGGAGGCAGATCTTGCATGACCTGTCTGAGCTTGGCGTCGAATCGTAGGACCTCGTCGTATGGCATGCCCTTGCCGAGGCGATTTGTAGCTTGTAAAATGTTACCGAGTTCGAAGCAGAGCTTTGCCTTGGCAATCATGTAAGAGATCGGAGTCGGCTCGGACGGTGGACGGGATGGCGGAAGCTCCTTGATGGTTTGGTGGAAATCATCGTCAAATAAATTGTTTGGTAGCTGGGTATCGCAATCTCGTTCGTTTATCATACTAGGCAGCGAGACTTGATGGGAGAAGACAATGTCCGACATGCGAATGAGCGCCCAAGTTCGCCGTCGCATTTCTGCCTGGAACGGACTGAGCGAGGGAAACCATTTCGCGTCGCGGTGATAACCCTGGCGAATGGCAATGCGGGCAATCATGCCAACAATAAGCCACAGGCCCAGATCGGCATCCCAGCGGGAAGAGTACTCCCCAAGAACATATAATAGTAGCGTCTCTACCGTGTATTCAACGGGCTTTGTATAGTCTCCCGTGACGAGACATTGGACGGTGCGCAGGCGATACTCTTCAGCAAACGCCATGCTTCTGCTTCTCCACTCGGGGGGTTCATCGCCGACTTTGTTATAACTCAACATGGCCAGAGAGAGAATGGAATATAAGAGACCGAGCCACATGATTGGCGTCTTGCTGGGGTCCTGCCAATGGGTTCGTAATTGCTGTAGGAATGTTGGCCCGTGAATGACGCTGACGGCGTTATCCATCGAGTTGAAGTATCGACTGCAAAGGGCCAAGACGTGCGTCCTGGGAGGTAACGAGTTGCGGAGCTCGTTTTCTGACGCTGGCTGGGCACCGAGCAACAGAGTAGGACCTTCGCGAGCGGCAGCAGGCTTGGAGTTCTTGACACGTTCGTAGCTGGTTTCGAGCTCCTTGCGATGGAATGTAAAGTAGTTTTTGACGTCGGATATATCAGCGAGAATCGAGTGCCAGTGCTCATGGCCAATGTACATTGATTTGCCCTTGTCGGCGTCGACCTTGAGCATGCCGAGAGAGGCAGTCAAACCATCGTCGTCGTCGCTCTCTTCGTCACCGTTGGTTCCATCGTCCTGTTCCATCTTGGCAGATGCGCCGCTGTCGGTGGTGGATTGCGATATTGACTGGCCGCGCGCCGCTGCGACAGCCGAGGCTGGATCGCTGCCACCAGAGTGCATGAGAGAGAGGACCAAGTTCTCCAGACGGTCAATGCGGTTCTGCATGTCGTCGGGGCTGAGATCTGCCTGGTTGGCGCCCTTTTTCTGCGAGGCGGGGGCGGCATAGGTACATGATGATGTGTCATTGCCTTCACGTTTGGTACAGTTGCTGCAAGGGTGCTTCCGGTCGCATTTCCTAGATGGAGTTAGTGAAGAAGACCATGTGCTGACGTGTTACCGAGCTTACAATCTGTGGGAAGGTTAGCATGTCACGAGATACGAGGTGAATGGCAGTACTTGCTTGCGTGTTCTGCAAGGGTAGCAGCTGAGAGGCACTCGGTTTCGTTTCCGAACGACCTTGTACGCCTCTTCTGGCGAGCGAGCGCCGGTGGATGAGTTTGTCGAGGGCGGAGTGGGCGTCATTTTGGGTATCAAGTTAGAGCGTAGCTAGGTAGAGCAGACTGGAGGGGTGTAGAGGGGTCGTCGAGGCTCTGCGGCAGGCAGGGCCGATGCAAAAGAGATGGACGACCACGTCTACACTGATAATTGTGTCTTTGTGTCGGAAAACGATGAGATCAAGCCGTTATTTCTGGATTGGAGGCGACAGTAGGTTTCAAAGCATTGGAGCCCGTCACGGTGTGGCGGGCAGAAAGAAGCTTTAGCTCGAGGCACAACGGGCGAGACGGTGTGTAGAACGGCCACGCCAGTTGGGATCGTGATGGCCGGCGCGTCGCTGAGCAGACTACCGGCTTGTGTCGGAGGACGGAGATGAAGATGATAGCTGACCGAGGATCTTGAGTGTCTGCGCAGAAGAATTGAGGGAGGCGAATCTGCTGCAGTCGTGGGAAGGAAGGTTCGCGGCACGTTTTGCGCTAAGTGTGGTTGTGGCTGGGCCGCGTGGTGAGAAGAGGACGAGGATGCTGGAGAGGATGCTGGCGAGGATGCTGGCGAGGATGCTGGCGAGGCAAAAAAACTCGACAGATGGGTTGCGATAGGCGAAGATTGCGAATTTGATTGGATTAAGGAGAAAATATCTCTGAGTAGAAAATGCAAAAAGAAAGAAAAAAAAAAACGTTTGATGTCAGCGCCAGTCGATGAGGCCAGGCTGATAGGTATGTACGTACTGTACCTAGGTAGTCTGCACCTTGGTACAACCAGTGGGAGGGGGGGGGGGGTCTGGCGATACGTTTAGTGGAGACAGTGCACTGAAGGGCAGCCACAGCAGGTGCTTCCACCAAAACGTCAGGGAGGCTTTGCGTCAATTGAGCGCTAGACGGATGTCGGACGCACTCGCCCGCAAACTCCGGATGCAGCAGTGACGTTGAGGCGGGCGAGGATGGGGGACGGGTGATGTGCGATGAACAGGATTGATTGATTTATGAAGAGATTTTGCGATGAAGATGGCAGCTATGAAGGCATTGGAAGTTTTCCAAATTTTAAACCATTTTACGAGGGAATCTCTCGCCGTCAACTAGCCTTCGGAATTTTCCAACTACACCACTCACGCTCACGGGCTGAGGACGCCGCAAGTGCATATCGCTGTGACTCACAGTCGCAGATACACACATCCCAGCAAGCCTCTACCTAGGTAGACCCTGGCCTTTGACCCAGACTTTTGAGCGGCCCCAATAGCCGAGTGCCAGCACCAAGGGACCGCTCGTCGCTCATGAGTCTCATTTGTCAGCCACCATCGCGCGCCAGCTGCTCAGAACCTAAATCCTTAAATCCACTGGTAATGTAGCGTAAATACTTGTAGATGGCAGGGAGTTTCCCAGGTGAGAGGTATTGAGGCCAATCAAGGCGAGATTGATGAACACGCCGCCCGCCTTATCAATCTGCTACATGTGCCCACTGTACACGACACCACATCGCTTGCTACTTTCGTTTCGGCTCCTTGTATGTTGAAGTTTTTTTATTATCATAAAACCGCACCTTGTATTGGAATATATCGTGACCAATTCGGGGTATTCCAGCCGTAAATAAATAAAACACGGCCCTCACGCCTTTCCCTGCCCATCAGTGTTGATGCCCTCTGACACACTGCTTAAATGTGTGCTGCCCAAAGTACGCCGTGTTTGTGCGCATGCCAAATGGTAGAGCCTTCTGTTTCGATGGTTTCTTTTTTGTGGCTGACGCTGCGAATTTTCGCGGCAAACATATTGCCGTTAACCTGTGCTTCATGCTGCCGCAGCATCTGTGGCGGCCGCCGTGTACGCCTTGAAGAACTCGCCATTGTTCTCCATCTCTTCCTTGACCTGCATGTAACATTGGTTAGAGCTAGACAGCACGAGCAGTGAATCGACTTACGATATCCAGCCCGCCAACAAGCTCACCGTCCATCCACAGCTGGGGATATGTTGGCCACTCGGCGTATTCCTTGAGGCCCTGGCGAACCTCGTCATCCGCCAGAATGTTGAAGAAACCATACTTGACAGAGTTCTCTCGAAGGATACCAACCATCTGTCGCGAAAAACCGCACTGGGGCGAGCTTGGCGTGCCCTTCATGAAGAGCATAACGGGGGCCGCCTTGACAAGATCCTCTAGACGCTTAAACAGATCGGCCTTGTTGGTCTCGGGGTGGGCTTCTGGCTGGTTGGTGGCGGCAGCAGGCGCGACGGCTCCGTTGGTGCCCGCAGGTTCCGCCTTGCTTCCCGCGTGTGACTCGATAGCGTTGCGAACCTTGACGGCGTTGCTGCCGCTGACCGTCTCGAGGACCTGACCGCCGCGCAGCAGCACCAGGAAAGGCACGGCGGTGACGTCGTACGTCTCGCTAATGTCGCTCAGCTCCTCGGCGTTGATGGAGAACCATTGCGTGCTCGGCGGTGAGGTGACGGGGTACTCGGCAGCGAGGGTAGACAGGACCGTAGCCATTTGCGCGCAGGGAGCGGCCCAAGGCGCGTGGAACGAGACGACCAGGAGCGTCGACGGCGCGGCCCCGGCGAGGACCTGCTCCCACTGAGCCATGCTCGAGACTTCGGTAATGGTCGACATGGTGGGTTGGTGACTGTGGGAGATTGATGGGCGAGGAAGTGGGATGCAGATTCGATGGATTGTCGAGGGCAACAACGGAGAAGACCAACGCACAAGACACTTTATGACGCTTTGTTGGATGGCGAGTGGTTGCAAAAAATTGGCGGGGCATGAGCCGGCGTTCGGAGAGGGGCGAGAGTGAAAATTGGCGGTTTTGCGTCACTTGGGAGAGTGGTTGCGCTACCTGAAATGGAGGGGTGTACCTTTGCGGTATTCTGTGGCACGTTGTGGAAGGTGGGAGACAACTTGGCGGCTAAAGCGACCAGACAAAGCAAGATTGTTTCTCATCATTATTATCACCAGCCACTGCGGCTGCATGAGCCACTGGACATTTACACCATAATAAATACGTAGCAAGTTCCTGAGAGTATTACTTTTACTGCACCGGTTTCTTTCCCCTGCACCGCCATCCGGACATGCCATGCGCCCAGCCACAACGCCCCACTAGCTCCCCAAAACCAGCCCACTGACGCCACTGCCACTGCCAACCAACTGCGCTGTCTCTTCAGCGACTTCCCGCTAAACTGCAGCCTAAAATTCCGTCAGTAGCCCACTGAGGGTAATAAGCACCAGCCCAGCACCACGCCCGTCACCCCGCTCGTGCTGCGGCTCACTCGTCATGGCTCCGCGGACGTCAATTCTCCAGCAACTGCGCCAAGCTCAGGAGCGAGCTCCTCCATCTTCACTCTCGTTCGCAACCAACTTGCTTCTTGTCCCATTCGCCCACCTGGGACTCGCGACGATACGAACGCACGCAAACGAAGCGCTTCATTTCTCTCTCGACCTTGTGCTCTGACCCCGCCACCCCTGGCCCCTGTCAATCCCGCCGTTTCTTGCGCCAAAGCTTCTAGAGCTTCTCTGGAACTTGTTCGCGGGTTGTCTCATCACCATCCTTGCTGGTACGTTTCCGGCCTGTGTTTCCCTCAAGCCTAGGAATAGGAAATCTGAAAGCTCAGTCGTCTTGTGTTATTGGTTACTGACCGCCTCCTAGTACGCGATGGCTTCCCTCAACCTCTCCATAAACGGCCCGTCCATCAAGAAGGAATATAGCTCGGTAGTGGACGCTGCTGTACCTGCTTCCGGCTCGCCTACCTTTGCAAAATGGGCTCTATTTGCTGTTCAGACGCCTCTTGTCAGCGTTTTTGAGTCATCCGGAAGCAATGAAAGCGTGCTCAAGGTAGAGAGCACTGGCGGTAAGGCGGCTCCCGACGGTCCGGCGAGCCCGGCCACATTTCGCTCATGCTAACAAACCCTGCTGCAGAGGGCGAACTTAGTGAGCTATTCGAAGACTTCAGCGAGGGACGCGTTCAATTCGGTTTCCTCAAGGTCAAGGACTCCAACTCTGGTCTGCCCAAGCATGTCCTCATTGCTTGGTGCGGCGGTGGCGTCCCCGAGCGAACAAAAGGCTACTTCACCAGCCACCTCAATGCCGTTTCCAAGGTCCTCCACGGATACCACGTCCAGATAACCGCTCGATCCGACGACGATCTCGACCCCGATGCTCTCATGCGCAAGGTTGCCGATGCCTCTGGCGCCAAGTATGCCGGCGGTCCCGCCACTGGCGCTTCCCGAGCACCTCCTCCTGTCAAGTCGAAGCCCGTCTTTTCGCCATCCAACCTGAGCGCTGGTCGCTCCGTGAACCCCCTCGTTGCTGCTCGCTCTCGCAGAGATGACAATGTCGATGACGACGGCTGGGGTGCCGATGCCCCCCCCGTGACCCGTACCCAAGTGGAAAGGGTCGAGTCGGCTTACAAGCCCACCAAGGTTGATATGCCTAGCCTCTCTCGCCAAAGCGAGCCCTCCCGATACACACCTACCACCCAGCAGCAGAACAGAGATGTTATTGGCGGTAGCTATCAGCCCGTCGGCAAAGTTGATATTGCCGCAATTCGCGCCCAAGCTAAGGAGCAACGTGATGACCGACCTACGGTCGTCAAAGGCGCTTATGAGCCTGTTGGCAAGGTAGACATTGCTTCCATTCGCGCAAAGGCACAGAAACCAGCATCTGAGCAGCCTGTAGAGGAGGAGGCTCCGAAGCCGCTTGCTGACCGCGCCGCTGCCTTTTCGCAGCCAACCCAATCCGAGAGACTGACGTCAATGCCCAAGCCCAAGGTTGCTAACAAGTTTGGCGGTGGCAGCTTCTCAGCTACCAAGGCGCCTACACCAGGTGCCCTTGGTCTCCAGGGCCCTGTTGCCAACGCAGCCTCTGCTCCCGTCACAACTACCAGTCGGACTTTTGCCAATGAAGGCGGCAAGACCCCTGCCCAGCTTTGGGCCGAGAAGAAGGCGCGCGAGAGTGGCGGTGGCGCCGGAGTGGCATCCCCAGTGTCCCCAGCATCCCCTCCACCGATCAACCAACAAAAGAGCGGCAATGCTGAATGGAAGAGCGGGTACGCTGGCAAGTCTTGGGCAACGGTACAGACTCCGGCTTTTGGACGCGGCGGTGCTGAGACTGTCCGTGGTAATGACCAGGCCATTCCTGAAGACGAGCAGCCTCGCAGCGGGCAAGACGAGCCAGCCGGAGGAGTTTCTGCCCTGCGCGATCGCTTCAAGGGCGCCACACCTATGGGTGGAGCACCACCTGTCCCTGGCGCCGCTCCTGGATACAGAGACGAGCAAGAAGAGGAGGAGGCGGCCCCTCCTCCTCCCCCTCCTGGTTCTCGTCCCTCTGGTGGATTTGCCCTGCCTGGCCTGCCCACACGCCCGCCACCTGTCGATGACGAAGAGGAGGAAGAGCCCGAACGTGAACCGTCTCCCATCCGCGTCGCGCAACCCGTCGCCCGTGAAGCCGAACAAGTCCGCGCTCCCGCACCCCCGCCTGCTCCCGTCCCTGTAGCTCGCGAGCCTACGCCAGAACCGGAACCGCAACCGGAACCTGAGCCTGAACCTGCGCCGGCGCCCCCTCCCGCGCCTGTATCTCGCCAATCTGCGCCTCCTCCTGCACCGGCTCCTGCGGCCGGCGGAGCCTCCCAGCGCGCTGTTATCCTGTACGACTACGAAAAGGACGAGGACAATGAGATTAACCTGGTCGAGGGCGAGATCGTGACAGATATCGACCAGGTCGATCCCGACTGGTGGATAGGCACCAACGTGCATGGCGAGAACGGCCTCTTCCCCAGCAGTTACGTCGAGCTCATCGAGGATGACGGAGCGGCAGCTGGTGCCGCCGCCCCGCCACCCCCGAGCGCCCCTGTCCCAGCTGCCACACCCGCACCCGCGCCGGCTCCGGCTGCTCCAGCCGCGGCCGCGGCCGCTTCATCCGGATCTACCGCCACCGCTCTTTACGACTACGAAGCCGCCGAGGATAATGGTATGCCCCCCCAACTTGCCTTTGACCGGAATGTATTACTGACCAACGTGCTCAACACAGAATTGTCCTTCCCGGAAGACGCCCAAATCACAAACCTCGAGTTCCCCGACGACGACTGGTGGTTCGGCCACTACAAGGGCGACTCGGGCCTCTTCCCCGCCAACTACGTCCAGCTCAACCAGTAGAGTCGTCATGCCGCTGGTCGTGGTCGATGATGTGTGGGGGCAGGGCCCATGTCGGTTGCCCCGCGTGTCTTCCGTGCCATGTTGTCGGTGCAAACAAAAAAGCGAATAACGGTGCAAGCTGTGGATAGGGAACATGCTGCGTATCGTTTTTTTCTTTTGTCATTGTCGTTTGCTTTATAACATTTGATCTAGTTGATCTGTTTTCAAATCACGTTACATTTGAAGTTCCTTTTATCTCCACGCTTCCGCATGTGACCCGTGAACAAGGTGCTACCTACTGAGGGCCTACGTCCGTGACGGTACATCGTGAGCGAATACTTCATTTATAGATGCAACGAGACGCATCACATCAAGATGTGTCATTGTAGTCTTATATCACAATAGTAAGCGTACTAGCACATTCACAATCAATGTGGAAGAGTTGGCAAGTTGTGACCATCAAATTGAACCAAGCAAGAGCTGTACCAAAACACGCACGAAACCTATTTTAACCTTCTGATCTAACCCTTGAGCAAAAGCAAGTTGCCATGGACATAACTGGTGAAAAAGGCCCGAGAAATCGGGTAAAGCGACGCAAAGAAAACGTGGAGGGATTGAATAGACATGATATAAATTGGCGCAAAAACGACGCAAAGGCCAAACCAAAGTCTGGTCGAAGAATGGCTGAAAAGGTGTAAATAGGACATGGACAGTCGCTTTCTGAGTTGGTCGTCATAAGTGTATATTGGAGATGGCAGCTCCGTGACAATAAGCCATACGGTGATCGCTTCGCTGTATCCAAGTGGTCCGCCGACTCAACCGGTAACGGGCCATCGGAGAAGAGCAGCCGTGATTAGTTCTCCGTCGTGCCACTTCTTTCAGTTAGTGTCGTTGTTTAGCAAAGGCACTCGCAGCACTCGAGACTAAAGGCACTGAGTTAGCAACTATGGCGGCTTGTCAGCGAGGGCGCCACTTACCAGCACTCGCAAGACTCCTCAACAACACAGCAACAGCAGAGGGCAGCCAGACAGGCCATCAGGCAGTTGGAGCTGCCGCCACGGCTGCCGCGAGTCTCCTGCTGGGGAGGAGGGCCCTGCTGGTACTGCATGCCCTGAGGGGGGCCGTATTGGCCCTGGGGGTACTGGCCCTGAGGGGGGCCATACTGACCCTGGGGAGGACCGTAGCTCTGAAAATATGTTAGCGAGCTTGGTTTGGTGATGGGAGTGTCAAGTCGCGTGTAACATGGGGAGCCGCCCGCATTGTCGCAGCCATGAGCTCTCGTTTGCGTCGGAGTAGCGCCGATTATGCCTCTAATAGAGATTTATTCTTCTTGCCAAGCTCGCTACATCTACCAATTCCAATGCTCTGGTAATGGGTAGCGGAGTGAGCCGTCTCGAATCGCCAACTAGTACGCGTTGCCGAGAAGGCTGGCTGATTGCGGGCGTGTTTTGCAGCGGCTGACAGAGCGTCACTTACGGCCTGGGGGTGCTGGGGGTACTGGCCGCCCTGGTTGCTGTAGTAATCCTGGTTGGACATTTTGGAGAAGTGTGTGTCGGCTCGAGGGGAGGAGGAGGAGGAGGAGGAGGGCGAATGCCGCGATGAGGTGCTTGAGAATGGAAGAAAAGGAGATGTGAGGAGGGAATGGAAGGAGGTGAGTGAGTTGTGTGTGGGAGCAGATGGACAGGGGAGAGGTGGATGCGAGTACAAGTAATCTGGGCTTTTTCCCTGGGCCGGGCGCGGTCCGGAAAAGCGGCAGGTCGGTAGATTTTCTGAAAGAGGGAAAGTCTGGTGGAAGCTGGGAGCTTGCAGGCAGTGGCAGCCTGGCTTCAGTGGTGACGGCGCTGGAATCGGCGAGCCAGAGCAACGAGTTGGGGCACATTTGGGGCATTTGCGTTGAAGGGGTTTGCCGACTCTAGGGGTTCCCCAGTGGGGTTCTCTTTCTGGCTAGCGGTAAATCAAGGGTTCAAGCCAGCTGACGGCCAACCTGCATTGGCGGTGCTACAGTGGGCCTTGAGCAATCATACATACGTACATACATACATACATTGGTACCCAACCTACATAAGTCACTGTGGCACTCAAGCACAGTGCAGTACCTGACCTTGCTGTCAGTAACAGTAGTTACCTTCTACGCGCTGGCGGCCTCAAGTCCAACGAGGCTGTGCTACAGTGGCGTAGCAAGCGGCAAGCTCCCTTGATGCAGGAGCAAGGCTTTCCGAAATGCAAGTGAGGTGTTTGCTGCTTTTTTTAAACACACACTGCAACCATTTAAATTCACTCTTCATGGACGGTGTACCGAGCTGTCACGGGTCACTGCATGAGCTGTCAAGTTACTGTACTTCTGTTGGCGCGCGCACAAGCGGTTTGTTTTGTGGCTGGAGCCCTTGCGGATTCGTACCGTCACTTTGTCATCTCCAGCCCTGTGAAGTACGACGCGTACACTGTTGCGTTGCCATTGCCACTAGCAAAGCTTCGGCCACGGCGATTGAAGGCGGCACCTTCCCAATTCTTCTCCCTGGTGAGCCCCCTTCAAGGTGGGAAGAAAGCGATCCATCGAAAGGTGGTGCCGTGGTGAAATGAGCACCGCCATGCGGTGTCACCGCAGACGCATACGTACTTGTCGGCCGTCGCCCTCCAGCCAGCCCTCTCCCACGAGTCACGACAGCCCTGTACCTCGGGAGCAGGTTCCTCTGCTGATCTAGCCTAGTGGCGATGCTGGGTAATAAGCCGTCTCTCCAGCGGCCGCCATCGGCCTACCAGCCCCAGCATCTCAGGGCACGGGAAAATCAACCTCAAACAGGCCCTTGCGAAATGTCTCAGCCAGCGCTGTCAGCGGCGGTCCCGCAGCCCTGGCCTCTTTCTGCGAAAATCGATACTGCTCGATTAGGCCTTGTTTAGGGTTCCGAGGGACGAGATATGCGTCAGCCACAGGATAACGTAGGCAGGGACCACAAGATGGATACACGAGCTGCTGTCGGATCGCCAATTATGGGTCTGCTAACAGTATCTTTTTGTTAGCAAATCGAGTCTGGAGCACCAGACCACCTCCTCGCCGTTGTTGGGCCGCAGCAACGTCGTGGTGGAAATTACCGCAGCAGGCTGAGCAATCGAATATCAGACAATCTGACGAACCTTTCAAAGCCCATGCACAAAGTAATGTCGAGTGGGGATGACGAGAAAACACCATCGACCTAGCGGCGCATCTCGGCATCAGCGAGGAATTGCATATTCGTCTGGTCTGATCTGGAAATCATGCCGTCATCCAACATCAAACTCCCAATAGCAGGCAAGACTGAGCGCCAACCAATACGGAGCAAACGTCATTGGTCTTTTGTAACATGGCCGTTGCATAACAATTTTGAAACGCAGGAACAAAGCAAGCGCTGCACAGAGCAGTACAGCGTGCCGGGACTCCGAGAGAAGAGGCTGTGCAGGCACTGAATCCAAACGAGCAAAGCATAGTATCCGCACCCCAACATGTCAACGGCCGTCCAGGGTCTCTATAATTGCGACTCTATTTGTCTAACTATGTTGATGACTAGTTTCTGACCAGCTTACCAAGAGTCGATTGGGAGAAAAGCCACGAAACGAAAGATGACCCCACGACACGTTCCACACGAGAAATATATTCCGTCAAATAAAAAAAGGAAGGGCTGCGCCAGGATGCGGGCTGGATCTGCTGGGGGTTCCATGAGCTGGACGCTATAACCAAACAGTACCACCTTATTCCCGCGACAAAGGCTATGCAACAGACCATACATAGACCATACAGCAATGCCCCAGCAAACAAAGAGCTACTGCGGTATTTCGTGAATCAACTTGTATAACGACACGTGTTTCTGGTCTTCGCCCAGCGTCTTGCGTGCGATTGTCCGCCGTAGTCTCAAAGCTGGCAAGTCTCAAACATACTCACCGCCAAGTCTTGTTTCCTCACCTTCCCGTGCTTGGCTCTCCCCGCTGATTGTGATAGGAGTCTTTCGGTTAATATTCTGACATCCTTGACGTGCGGGAGCAAGACAGCCCCCGGAAAGTCTTGGCTGTCTAATGCCGTACCGGCTAATCCGTATAGGTGAAACGCCTAGTCACATCTGCTCTGCTTGACGTAGCGGCTCTCCACCGCCAATCCTTCTGCTCTTGGCTCATATTGCAGCATCGGTCGGCGCTTCCAAGCATTATTCGCAGGCTACAGATTACAAGACCCTTGAGTAGATCTGCCAACGAGGAGCTAATGAGATGGTAGCCGCAGTCCGGTTTCCGTGGACTCTGGCCGGCATGCTCACTTGAGTATGCCATCGGGGCCTCTCAGTTACGTGTGTGAACTCGGATCCGATACTCGGATTTTTGCACTCAGCCGCTGACTCCTATCCTTGGTTTCCTGCGTCGCGGGCCTGTGTCGGTAATATCAGTGATGCCCGTACTCATAGGGCAAGCTTTCGAATGGCTACAGGGTAAAACGATTCCGTAAAATGAGAAACATCTACATTCACTACATTCATTCTACCGCTCGTTACACAATTCATAACTAAGCCGTCAATGACTTCACAGCTTTTGTATATCCCTGACCTTTCCGTCCAAAACCGAGGGCTGTGCTTTCATGATTCATACGTGCTTTTGCGTCTCCTCCATGTCACACACCTTACTCGTCATTCTCCTCGCCCTCCTCGCCACCCTCCTCCTCATCTTCTTCCTCCTCCTCGTCCAGGCTGCCGGCAGGCACGTCGTACAGGCGCAGAATAGACTTGTTGGGGTCCTTGAGCAGGACGAACTTGCCGTCGCCGCCCTCGTGCTTCAGGCACATATCCGCAATGGTACGGACGATACCCCAACCATTGGAGAGAGACAGGTTCATCTGGGCGGCAAAGTCGCGGGGCTTCCAGCCGATGACGCCGAGGATGACGTGCTTGTCGTTGGAGCGGGGGTTGACGCGAGAGACGAAGCTGACTTGTTAGCATTCAGGCGTAGGGAAAAAAGGGGCCGAAATAAGAGACAAAAGAGAAACACTCAAGTGCAAATCAAACTTACCCAATCTTCATAATGTCCGACTTGGACAGGATGCTCTGGACGGTCCAGCGAGCGAGCTTGCAGGAGTTGTTCTTCATCTCGGTGGCGACGACGGCGCCGCGCTGAGAGACGAGCTTGGCGCGCCAGTCGAGGGCGCCGCCGCTGCCCTGGGCCCGGCTGTCGAACTCGTTGAGGGCACGGACGGTGACGTGCTGGTCCTCGCCGGAGACGGCGTTGCGCTGGACGGCGTCGACCTCAGTGCGGACGACGAGGTAGACGGGCTCCTCGTCGTTGGTGGAGAGGTCGAAGCGGCGGTACTTGTAGGCGCGGGAGGCGGGCGGGTCGGCGTCCTCGGAGGCGTTGTAGAAGGGGTTGGCGCGGGCCATGGCGACCTTGCCGGCGTCGCCCTCGACGACGACCTGGTTGACGAAGTTGTGGTTGATGTAGGTGGCCTCCTCGGCGAGCGCGGCGGGCTGGTTGATGGGCTCGCGGCCGCCATCGGCGGCGTCGAGCGGCGCGTCGACGGCGTTCTCGTTGACGGTGACGGTGTCGAGCGACGCGTTGTCGCGCTTGTCGAGGAAGATCTTGCCGCCCTGGCGGGTGATGACCACGTCCCAGGGGTACACGGAGCGCGTCGAGCACATGAGCATCGACAGGATGGTGTCGGTCGCGAAGATGGTCGCCTCGTCCTTGTCGGCCAGCTCCTGGATGACGGGGTCCGACGACGTCGTCACGTTGTACGCCGCGCGGTCCAGCGCCGTCAGCTTGCGCTCCGAGCCCTTGACGGGCTGCTTGTCATACGAGCGGTCGTACGGGTACAGGAAGCCGTAGTCCTCGAGGTCCTCGCCCGCGTCCGCGTCCAGGTTCAGCTTGCCCAGGCGGTTGTAGTCAATCTCCTCCAGCAGGCCCCAGTCGGCCTTGATGTTGATGCTGGCGTCGCGGTTGCGCGTCGGCTTGTCGTAGTCGCGCCAGCCGAAGCGGCGGCCAGCGGCCGCCGCGTGTGAAGACGGCGCCGCGGCCGTATCTCGACTTGGTCGAGTCGCGGGCGTTGCTGACGACGGAGAAGGTCGACTCGTCCTCGGCGGGAGGAGCGTTGAAGGTGACGGCGTGGTTCGATCCGTAGACTTGCTGGTCTGAGGGGGGAAGGAGAAATTAGCATGCGCAGCAGCCAGTCGTGGTAGAAGGACCACCCACCTCTGAAGTTGCGGTTATATTGGTTCCGTCCTCCGCGTTCGCGGTCCTTGCCCTCGGCGGTCCAGTCGGCCATGCGGCCGAGCTTGTCGCCCTTGGAGAAGGGCGCATAGGGCACGCCGTCGAGGGTCGTCTCGGTGGTGACGGCGGGGCCCCAGCCGTCGCCGGAGGGGCAGCTGCCGCAGATTTTCACGTAGTCGAGGGATCCGGCCATGATTTATAGCTCGTCCTGTGACGATGAGCTGCTGTCAGGGCTGCGTGAAAAACAAACAGGTCGTGGTCGTCCACCGGTTCTGCACTTTCGCTTGTCCCACACTTTGAATTTGAAGTTGAGTCGAATTTGTGGTGGGGTGTGGGGCATAAAACTCAGAACGCCGCCGTGCCACTGGCTGCCTCAGCCCCCACCAACAAACAGCAACCAGTGACCGAGAGGTTGATACAGTAAGTACAGAATGAAGCAAACTTGGAGTTTTAACTTGCATTTTTACGTATTGGCAGAATCATTTACTCATTGAAGTTGGTTATAATTTTATCAAAGTCCGCAACACGAGCGGCTCGCTTGTTCCATGGCCAGGTCACCGCCCTAAATCATCACGCAAATTCGGCTCCAAAAATAAATCAACAAATCAACAAATCAAAAAGTCTAGAATCAACAAAGACTGGTATCGTTTCTCGTGCATCATCTAACCTTAAAACGCCATTTGCTCCAATCTGTTTGCGCAGACGCTCTCGAAAGCGTCTCGCAGTTCAAAGTCTTCCATCACAGCGCCAAATCTACACACGTTAGCACGTACACCAGCATGGAACGACAGTCATTCTTACCCGTAACATCTGACTTTACGGCCAAGGTCCTCGGCGATGCGCTGAACATCCACCGCCGAAAGCGCCGCGAACTGCGGGTGGCTCATAATCATGCCCCAAGCCATGACGGGCGTTATCTCGCCATCGAGATCAAGGCGTTTGCTTAGGTCCATAAGTGTCGAAAGGTCGGCCCTGGTTACCTGCCATGTTCCTTGGCTTGGGAGTTCTTCCTTCTTGATGACGGTACCATCTGTGCCAGCAAACGACGATGAGGGTGGTATGTCTTTGAAAGGAGCAGGTGGGCATGATGCCATCAAGGCGTGGCCGCAGGGTTCCCCCTCAGCCCCCGACGCCCTGTCCATGAGAAACGGCATGTGAGCCATGCATGGCTTTTCTAGGCTGCAGCAATGTGAGCATAGATTTTGGATGGATACTGGTCGAGCTTACGCTAGAACAAAGTCGATTCCGGCCTGTTCGACGTCCAGCTTGGTCGCCGGAATGTGCTGTGGCGGGGATGCACTGAACTGGTTACCGTGAAACTGTGATGGGTTGGTATAGTTGCCGCCCCCGGCGGACGGAGCCGAGCCGTGCGACGGGGCCTGTCTCGGCGAGAATGGGCCTTGCGAGCCGCCACCGAAGCCTGTTGAGCCGGCGCTGGGGTTGTTGTTATTGTCATCGCGGCCGTTACCAGCGCCGGGAACATTGATCCCGTTCCGCACCAGTGTATCTTTGAGGAGACGGTTTTCCTCGGCGAGCTTTTCGCGGTCGCGCGAGAGGGAGCTGTATATTTCCTTTAGTCGGAGAACCTCGTCCTCGAGGGCTTTGATGTATAGTTCTTTGCGTTCGCGATGGGTACTGTCGAGTCTGTTAGGGATGGTCGAGCGTAATGCAGGGCATCGAGGCTCACCGTTGGGCTTGTCGGTTGAGTTCTTGTCGGCGCGTTAGAGCTGGCTTGCTATCCGGCTTCGGGCCTCGGCGCTTGGGCGTTTTGCCATCTAGACATTGTCAATATCGAAACCCAAATTCTCGAGAGCTATGGTGCCTACATACCCCGATTGGAGCGCTTGTCATTTAGGCTTTTGAAAAAGTCGAGGTTCAGCCCTACGGGACTCTTGCCTTCGGAGCCATCGGGAGGGCTCTGGGACTGGTGAGAGCCGTACTGCTCCGGAGAGAGCGAGGCGGACATGGTGTCAGGTTGAACGAATGATATCGGAGGTTAGAGAAGAAAGGCCGAGAGACGATGCTGCGGTGGTGAAGGGTTAGCCGTTTGGTGCAGGTCGGCGGGCTAGCGTGGCGGTTGGGCGGGTAGAGAGCCAAATTTTGCAGCGTCTGGGCCAGCAGGTCATTGCATTTTGGAAAATTGGCGCCTAGACCGTTGAGGGGAGCTTGGCGACGCAGATTGAAACCGGGACGTTGAGATAATCGTCTCAAGTAGGCACGTTTCGGATTTCGTGGGGTTGCTCACCAGGGAGATTTGCGACAGACGTCAACGGGCGACTGGTTGGGGAAAGTGTAGTGTGTCGGCGTTAAGGTGGGCGGGGTACTGCTGTAGGTAAAAGGACGGGAGGTGGGCGAGAGGGAAAGGGACTGAGGGGAGGGATTGCTGATGGGTAACGGCACAAGAGGGTAGTTGCTACAAGTTCGTGTGATTAGGAGCACGGATGCATGAAGAGGGTGCCCCAATGGTCTTTATGCCCCGATGCAAGCGAGGTTGTGATGACGGGCACGACTGTATCGAACCTGAAAAGCGGCGATGCGGTGGAGGCAGTGGGACAGTTATTTTCAGCGCGCCGTCCCTAAAAAGATACTTGGCGTTCGGGTCTGGATCTACCCAGCCACCAAGTACCTCAGTAGGTCCTTGAGAAATGCGCTAACACCCGGCTCACTGTTGGCCCGGCTCTGTCGATGCATGAAGGGGGCTGAAGACATTCATCCCACATCCCATCCACAAGCCTTTGCAAAGCTCAGCTCATACGATTTATTTCCGAACCGCAAGTCTGGCCCAACAGCGCCTCGCCCTTCTGAGACACCACCCCAAAGGCACTGTCTGAGACGGACGGGTAGTCCACCCCGACGGAACACTCACCAACAGTGGCCATACCGGACCAGACGGACCAGACGGACCAGACGGACCAGACCCTGCCTGCAGGGCTGCATCGGATCCGTGAAAATCCTCTCATCAAGCTACAAGGATGGAAATAACCCGATTTCTTACGGTACAGCATCCACGTCATTCATCCGAAGCTGCCCTAGCCGCCTCTAACTCCGCCCTGGCACCCCTCCAGTCCTGCAGTCGGTGGCGTGTTGCGGTGTTGGGGGTTAAAAGCATTGAACTCGTACTACATGCCGAAGCCAGATCACCGTTTCCTGCTGTGTTCTCTTGCTGAGCTGCTCATCCACCGCGGGTACAATGGAGGCGTATTGTGGGCGCCTGTTACGCAGTACGACGTCTGCTCGCCCTGCACTGCCACAGCTGACGCAGAGAGAGGGCTTGGGCAAAAGCAGGTGAGAATCGTGACAAATTCAAGGTAGCCATGTTTGCATCAAAGACAGCCAGCCCTTGTAAAAGATGGGGCGGCGGCCATATTAGCCCTGCTACCAGCCAGTCGGTAACCAACCTGGCCTAACGGTAGACCAACTGTACTTCATCCGTAATCAAGAGACAGCTTGGCGGTATGAACATTGATTGAGACATCTACGGTCGTTTACTACCAGTGGATATTGAGATGAGCTGCGGCTTGCCGCCAATCTTGGCTGAGTATTTCAATCCAAATTCCTAGTTCTCAACGCATATTCCTCCCTCACACTTCAAATCCCCAGGGCAAGGACATACACCAGGGAATGGCGCCTCGGTGGTATCTGTGTAGAATCAGCCTTGGTTCGATCAATGAATATTGGTATACGGACCAGTGCAAGCCTCGCCAAGGCCCGGAATCTTCGCACAGCTTGCACCAGTGATGCAGCACTGATTAGAAGGGCAAGGGGGGCAAATTACACCACAAGCATTTCCTTTGCATGTTAGGTAGGAAGCTTCGCATTAAGCTTATTGGCCATGCACATACCCTTCTGGCCCTGCACAACCTTGGCCAACGAGGGCACAGCAAAAATGGAGGCAAGGTAACTAAACTTCATGTTGGTGATGTTTAAAGTCTTTTTATCATGGCATGGCAGTACTGAGAAGGGCACGGTTGCACAATTTATACTTTGTACCTGGGCACGGTCAGCGCACATCCTCCCAGCTGTCTCGCGCGTTCAAGCAGATTTGGTACTAGTCAACCTCCAAAGATGCCCCCAACTGGCATACACGAGGTTTAGCTGAATACGCAAGTCAACGATTGGTTTGGTAGATGCCGACGAGCCGGCCGAGTGTCTATGTTCTCGAAAGACCTATCATAATGGGAATAAGCCCGAGCTAGTTATAGAGTCTATTACAAAGTCCCGACATATATCTTTCCGCTGGGATAAGAAGCCGCTCTCTCGTAATGATAGTGTGTCGTTCTATTTTATTCCGTCTTTTATTGCCCGCTGCCGCGGCCTCGTGTCAAGGCGATCGATGCCAAGTGATCTGCGGGTTGCCACCTCCACAACCCCAACCACACCACCGCCGTTGTTTTTGTAAATTCGGAGTCGATAAAATTGATTTTACTTTCCGTCTCATGTCTACGGCGAAGATTTTGATTGTCTGAAGTTTGAAGTATGAGGAGAACAAGTGTAAAGATCCTCCAATGGCTGGCGTGAGTCACGCCGCTTAGCAATCCCAAAACCGCCCATGTACGTACATAGCTATCCCTGTAAACAAGTCCGCGTCAGCATGGGATAAAACAATAAATTCTCTGCGCCGGAATGCCATTGAGGATCAACGACGTGCGATTTATCGCTTGAAGGAGATACGGAAAATACGCGATGCCTTCTAATTGCACTGCTGCCGACGCAGCGTTTGGTCCCTTAACGGACCCTGCCTGCCGCAGCCAAGACTTTACGCTGCATTTCGAGCAGGCCATCTTTGCCTTGGTCCCAGCCGCCATCTTCGCCGTTGCCTTCCCGGCCCGTATATCATTCCTTGCTAGAGCATCAACGGCCGCTCGACCAAGCTGGCGGCGCACTGTCAAGTTGGTCAGTTGCCGTCGTGACTTCCGTGGCCTTGCCCCTTGCCCCTCGCACTTTCCCTACTAATCTGACAAACAGACGATTGCCGCCACGATTGCGTGCCTCGAGCTCGCCCTCGTCATCTCATGGAGCTTGGACAAGAATACCAAGACCCCTGTGTCAATTGCGGCAGCGACAGTCAATTTTCTCGTGGCCCTGCAGACGATTGCTCTCTCCTGGATCGAAGATGCCCGCTCCGTGCGGCCCTCCACGCTGCTCAGCCTCTACCTAGTCATCACAGTCTTGCTTGACCTACCTCAGGCGCGAACACTCTGGCTACGAGGGGGTATTGATACTACTGCCGGAATGACAACTGCAGCGGTGGTGCTTAAAACTTTGTTTCTCTGCGTGGAGAATATCGGCAAACGGGCCCATCTCCTTTCTGTATACCGCACATTGCCCCCCGAGGCGACAAGCGGCATCGTGAATCGGAGCGTCTTATGGTGGATCAACGACACTTTTCGTCGCGGCTTTCGAACAGCCCTCGCCGTAGAAGACCTGGATCGATTGGATGACGCCTTGTTGTCGGGTGGCTTGAACAACGCAGTGACCCTCGCCTGGGCATCTCGAAGACAGCCAGAGCGTCGGCTCGAGTTCCCCATTGCCGTGGCTCGCGCAGTTCTGTACGACTTTCTTGCCATTATTCCTCCTCGTCTTTGCCTCATCGGTTTCATTTTTGCGCAGCCATACCTCTTCCACACGGTTCTTAGCCTGTTGACCAACACTGCCATAACGCTAACCGCAACAGACTGCTACGGTCTCGTCGGAGCTACGGCCATTGTGTATGTTGGCCTGACTGTTCTGCGCCTGCATTATAACCAAAAAGTCGGCCGCTTCAAGGTCATGTTTCGTGGCGCCTCCGTCTGTCTCATCTACGACAAGGCCCTACAGACTCGGGATGGCGTCTACGACGAATCTGCCGCGGTCACGCTGATGAGCACGGACGTGGATCAAATCACCGAGTGTTTGACAGAGCTCAATGAGTACTGGGCACGAGCCATAGAAGTGACTCTGGGAGTGTCCATGCTCGCGAAACAGCTCGGCTGGGTTTGCGTCGTGCCCCTCGCCCTTGTTGTCGGTATGTATGCCGCCAAACGAGGTGTTCAAGACTAACGTAATCAGGGGCATTTTTTGCAGCCAAGCAAATAGCATCTAGAATTGGCGGTAGTCAAAAGGTTTGGGTTGATGCAGTGCAGAGGCGCATTGCGCTCACCAGTTCCATGCTCCTCAACATTCGCTCGATCCGGATGGCAGGCCTCGGCAAAATAACTATGGATCGCATCCAGCAGGAAAGAATCCTCGAGACGGAGAAAATGTCCAAGTTTCGTTGGTACATTGTTTGGCAGAATACGGTGCAGAATGTCCCCTGGGGACTTGCACCTGCCGCCACTTTTGCTGTTGTCGCCCTCAGCAAACCCGGATCTCTCGATACCGCCAAAATCTTTACCAGTTTGTCAATCATTACTCTTTTGACGGATCCTGCAGCAAAGCTGTTGAGCGCCATTCCTGCGACAGCATCAAGTCTCGGCTGCATCGACAGAATCCAGGGATTCCTCCTGTCCAAGCCAAGAGAGGATTCTAGACGACTTCTTGGGGCACAGGATGTCTCTCACGACCTCAATTCAGTTCATAGCGAAGCACGGGGTGATGCTTCTGGTATTGAACTACAGCCACGACTGGCTAACAGCGTGAAAGGCAGTACAGAAATACTCGCTGTACAATTCAAGGACGTCTTTGCGCGACCCGCTGGGGCAGACAAGACCGTGCTGCAGGATGTTAGTTTTTCGGTTGTGTCTGGCTCGATAGCCGCCGTTGTTGGTAGTGTCGCTTCGGGTAAGTCCACGCTGTTAAGGTCTATCCTTGGCGAAGCAGAGCTGGAGCGAGGAACTGTCTCGGTGCGGGATCAATCCGTTGCGTATTGCTCACAGTCGCCGTGGCTACCTGACACAACCATCAAAAAATCAATCTGTGGGCCTTTTAGAGACGCTGGAATTGACACGGAGCTGTATGACGAGGTTATAGACGCATGCGCCCTCAAGCATGACATTGCACTTCTCTCGGACGGCGACAACACCAAGATAGGCAGCGGTGGCGGAATCCTCAGTGGTGGGCAAAGGCAACGAGTATCCCTAGCCCGAGCACTATACTCACGCCCAAAGATTCTCGTGCTAGATGACTTTGTCAGCGCCATCGATGGCAAGACTCGCAGGCATATTGTGCAAAAGCTCTTTGGTCCGGCTGGCTGGTTCAAGCAACGCGGCTGCACCGTCATCTTTGCCACACACGCCAGGTCGCTTCTCCAACATACTGACAATATTTTGATGCTCTCCAAAGGGCGACTGGAGCGTGATGGGACATATGATCAGCTTGTTCGTGCAGGCGCAATCCAAGGCCTGCCTGAGGCAGCGGATGACGAGCCAACAGACGGGCAGCCCGAGGAAGCCAAGATCTCTGCCGTATCGGAGACTGTGGCTGAAGCAAACGAGAGGGCGGATTTGCGTCGCCGGGTTGGTGACTTGGAGGTGTACCAATATTACTTCAAGTCCATTAGTTGGCTCAAGTCGTCCACGTTTGTTGGCTTCACTGCTGTCCACGTTTTTGCAGCAACATTTACTTGTAAGTTGCCCTCAGTTTCCAGTTTGCACTGCTAACTGAGTAGATCTCTGGTTAAACTGGTGGATCAGTGGGCACGGCACCCGGACAACGCTTTTTGCCGTCATCTACCTCCTGCTTGGGATTCTCAACGTTCTCGGTATTGCCGGTTATGCTTGGTATGGCAGATGCAAGCATAAATGAGTCACGACTAACAAGGCAAGGTCAATGTTGATTCAAATTACACCATCGGTGGCGCGGCACTTTCACTACGTTTTATTAAAAACGGTTATGCAGCAAGTATAGCATGGGTTTTATAGCTGCTTTTTCTGACTCGTTGGCAGCGCACCTCAGCCATACTTTACTACTACGTCAGCGGGCGATACACTGAATCGTTTCAGTCAGGACATGTCTCTTGTTGAAACGCAGCTAGCTACCGGCACGTTGGTAACAGTCACAAGTAAGCCGTGCGCATTTTCTGCGAGAGAGCATCGTTGACACTGTAGACCTACTGGGCGCTGCGGCAGAGGCTGCTTTGATCGCAATGGGGTCTCCGTACATGGCAGCTACCGTTCCGTTCCTCATAGCTGCCGTGTACGCGCTGCAAAAGGTGTATCTTCGGACGTCACAACAGCTTCGACTTTTGGAGCTGGAGACTCGCGGGCCACCGTATGCCAACTTTCTCGAGACACTTGATGGTGTGTCGACAATTCGCGCCTTTGGATGGGAGCTGAACTGCAAACAATACTGCCAAGCATTTCTTGACCGATCGCAGCGCCCGACATATCTGTTGATATGCATACAGACATGGCTTAACATGGTGCTTGATCTTATTGTCGCTGCCGAGGCTGCGATAGTGGTGCTGCTGGGGCTGTTGTTGAAGTCGTCCACCAACCCCGCCCTCCTCGGCGTATCCCTGAACAATATTCTTTGTAAGTGCCTATGATGTTCTTGGCAATGTAATGCTGACTTGGCTATCCCTGCAGCGTTCAATGCAAGCCTGGCGTCCGTCATTGGGGGCTGGACCCTGTTCGAGACGTCGCTGGGTGCGATTTCCCGGCTTCGGTCCTTTGAACAAAACATAAAGCCGGAAGACCTTCCGGGAGAAGTATGCGAGCCACCGGCTTCATGGCCGGTCGAGGGGAGGATAGAGATGCGCGGCGTGGACGCGTCACACAGGTTCGTCATTGTCCGTAGCGTGCGCGCAACCCACTGACAGGACAGGCTCGGTTCGGTTGGTATCAAGGGTGTCAGCCTTGACATTGAAGCAGGCCTCAAAATTGGCGTCTGCGGACGTACCGGAAGGCAGGCCGCGTTACCCAATACCATGGCTTTTACTAATGATTACATGCAGCGGCAAGAGCTCGCTCGTGGCCACGTTTGCACGGCTTCTCGAGATTGATAATGGGGTCATTAAAATTGACGGATATGACCTGGCCACCATCCCGCGAGATATTATTAGAGAACGGCTTGTGGCGGTGCCGCAAGACGCACCCGTCTTGATTGGCACCTTGCGATTCAACACGGACCCCGCCGGCCTGCACGTCGACGCGGCCATTGAAGCCGTGCTGCGCCAGGTAGGCCTCTGGGACGTGTTTGAGAGCGGTGACGGACTCGACACGGAGATGACGATGGCATCGCTGTCACACGGGCAGCGGCAACTACTGTCAATTGCGCGAGCGATGCTCAAGGGTGGACGAGTGGTGCTCCTCGACGAGCCGACGAGCAGCATCGACGAGGTGACGGACGGCAAGGTACAGCAGGTGTTACGCGAAGCCTTTCAAGGATGCACAGTGATTACAGTAGCCCATCGCATCAACACAATCCATCCCGGGTCCGACGTGGTGGTGGTCATGGAGGGCGGGCAGGTGGTGGAGGCGGGTGCGCCCGACGAGCTGCTGCGGAGGCGGAACGGGCACTTTGCACAATTCGTGCGCGACGCAAACCGTTAGGTTAGTCTCGGTTGTCCGTGTCTGTGGTGTTTTGAGTTTGATTTGGGTTTGGCTAGAGCACTCCAAGGTGAGCAATGCTAGCAATGTCGGCCGGTCTAGTCAGTCAGCTGGCCCTGTGCAGATCGGACGCTGCGGCCAGCCTGACAGTGAGGACAAACTGCCGAAATCGCGGCCAGTGGGATGCCACGGGGATTCTAGCCCGAGGGCCGACGCAGAGGGCTGAAGTGTAAGACCAAAGATCAGCAATGGACCCGTGTGCACCCCTCAATGCAGAGGTTTTTGTTGAAAACGATACTTGGCAGATGCAGTCCCTGTCTTCTGGGGTGGGTGGTGGAGATGTTAGTATATGCGAAACGCATGACGGCCAGCCTTTTGCTGGATCCCGAATTGATTGCCATGTGGCGCATTTTTCTTTTGCGATGGCCTTTTTTGCCATTGAGAGAGCTGAAGAAGTTTCGCAGCGGGTGAAAGACTGGTGACCATGAGGTGGTGCGATTATGGGGGCTGGGCTTGGGGCTTGCCAACGCATGCTTGGATGCGACAGGCGTTTCTAGCGTGGTGTGCGTGGCTTGGAGAGATGGCGCTGGGACAGCGTATCATTTGTATGCGTTCTCTGCAGATTTATTGCTGTGTTGGTGGTGTGTTGTGTGCAATGGCGACGAGAGTGCTGCACATTGAGACAGGGCGGTCGGCGGCTGCTAACACAAGGTCAAGAATGACGATGGTATCCGCAGCAGCCACCAGCGAGGTAAAGGATTGAATTGCAATGTTGCAATTGAATGACAAGTGATGATGAATTGGCAGAATCCTGAGCCGTTGTGCAACTATTGTGTGCGTGGTGTAGGCAGTTCGGCCGCCTGACTACCGAATTAGTGCCCCCCCGGCCTTGAAACCGGCGGCTTCCAGTGACTCCAGGCCGTTGCAGTTGATTAGTTAGTCGGAATCTAGGTAGGAATTATTCACTAACGTCTGTCAGCTTTATCCCGTCTCTTGCAGCAAATAACCAGCCAAACTTCAGTTATCACCACGGCCAGCCGCCGCACTCCCGATTATTTTCCGCTCCACGCTAGACCGTATTCGTCGATTGCGCAGATATCATCCAGCACAGCCTGGGACTCTGCTGCAGCATTGGCCGCCTCTGCTCTAGCATAAATTAACCGACTGCAACGATGAATGGCACCCTCGAAGCCGCCCGCTCGAGTTAACTATGTTGACTATCTATTTACCTAACGTAGTTTGAACTTTTCCCTGGCTTTCGCCAGAGGAGATGCGGGAGCTCTAGTCCCTCAGCCCGCCTCCCATTGGCCCACCCCTCAATCCACCCCGCTTTATGTGTCATGGGGGAGGAAACGCGACTTGCCTCCTGCATGGATACCTACTCTACTTAGGCACTTACATACTAACCAAAGTACCATCACGGAGGACGATACCCTGCCGACGGGTACTACAAGCATCGTGAAGCACAGGGCCTGATCCATCCTGCATTGCCCGTTTTTTTGTTTCGACTCTTGGACGCACGGCTTCATCTGTTCCGTATTGACTCTTCCCTGCAATATCTCTTCTTACTTTCTTGCCTGGTTTGGCCGTCTTGCACTGCCAAAACTCTCTCGTCTCTCGTGTTCGCCGAGTCCCCCGGCACACCCACCTCCCCGGCCGCCATCGCCAATCACGACAACGCTTGTCCGCTCGTCACGTTTGCCGCGCCTCCGCCTTGCCATCACCAAAACGTGCCTCCCAACCAAGCTGCCGGGAGCGACCAGTCTGCTCCGAGCTCCTCGCCAGTCATGTATCCAGGTCTCCCGCGTCTCTAGTCCTGGCGCCCCTGCCAGTCCCTGAGGTGAGCGCCAGCTGCCTGCTACAAACAACTACCAGCAAAACCAAGTATACGATCCCCAACGACCAACGCCGCGGCGGCAAAGTCGTTCGAAAGAGAGTTTGGCGTCGTCCTGCCGCCGCCGCATGCCCTCTCGCCATCCGATAAATCCAACCGCATCGATTCAACGAAATTTATAGCCATGGACCCCCCATTCCAGTCGCTGGCTCCCCCGGCCCTCACGACACTTCGCACATTGGACTCCACCCTCATGACCCGTTCCCTCAGCCAAGACATTCGGAACGAGAGAGAAGAACTTCAAGAAGCCGCCGCCCAGACTCTGAATGTCATTGTCGACCTCAACCTCGACGGCACCATCAAGTGGGTGAGCCCCTCGTGGAACGACGTTGTCGGCACCCCCTACGACACCCTCGATGGCACCCTGCTCTCCGACCTCATTGTCAGCGACAACAAGACTGCCTTTACCGACATTGTCGAGTCTATGAAGAGCGACGACTCCAAGAGCCATCGTGTCAAGTTTGCCATGCGTCTTGGTCCCCTCTCGAAATTGCGTCTCAACCTACCCGCCGAAAACGCGCCAGACGATGAGGGAACCGAGCAAGTCCCACCCCAAGAACAGGATGAAATCGCAGAACTCGAAGCCCAAGGCATAATGGTCTACGATAGTGCTTCCGGAGGCGAGAGTCATGTAAGATGCCCGCCCTGAACCCCTGCAGCTAGCTAACCAGCCCAGACCATGTGGATGATTCGTCCGTGGACGCCTCCGCAGGAAATCCAAATCGACCTCCCCGATGTCATTGTCGACTCCCTGGGCTCGGGCGCCGAGGTCCTGGCCGGCTACCTCACCAAGCTGGCCGAGTCCGCCGAAGAGGACTCCGAACCGCACGACCCCCCTCCCCCAGTCCTCTGTCGAATCTGTGAACGCCAGATCCCCCCGTGGTGGTTCGAGAAGCATACCGATCTCTGCCTGCAGGAGCACCGGGCCGAGATGGACGTGCAGTTGGCGCAGGAAAGTCTCAACGAACACCGTCATGCTATTGTCAAAGTCCTTGATGCTCTTGAGACTCGCCAAAGTCGACTGCTCGAACCACAACTCACGCCACTCGCCGATTACAAGGGGCTGCCCATTGGGCCGGCTCCGTCTACGCAATCATCGCCAAGCACGTCGCTTGCTCGTTCGCGAGATCGCACCGGTGGCTTTGGGCATTCTAGAGGACGCTCTTTTGCCATCCGACGGCCACAGGCGAGGATCGTCGAACTGCTGATGGATCTGTGCGACACGGCCCTCGAAATCAGCAACCCCACCATCAAAGAGCACGCGCATCCCGACGGCGAGATTCGCACGCAATCCCCGCAGTCTGAATCTCGAATATCACAGGTCCTGCAGTGGCAGTCCCCCAGCACCAATACCCTCGAGCAGGAGCAGGGCCTGGCTCTTTTGTGTGCCGACACGGAAAAGGCTGCCCGCAACAAGGTGGACGCCATCTTTCGACACCGCAAGATTCTGGAGTATTCTGAACGCATTCGCATTGAGCTGTCATGCCTTGTCCAACACTGCGTCGAGGAGGCCATGCGAAAGGCTGCCCGCATTGCCGCAGGTCAACTCACAGACTCTAGCGTTGAAGACACTGATGAGCAGCAGCAGCAGCAGCAGCCCCCCGAACCTGAAGAGAAGGAGCCTGAAAGCGTTTTGGGCTCACGCTCTCGCGGTCGATCAGAGGCCAGCTCCAGCCACCTTGTCACCAGCCCCTCCGCCCTTGCAGCTGCCCTACGCCAAGTCAACTTGTCGGCTGCTGTGCAGGGCGGCTCTCGGCCAAGCTCCATCGTCGGCTCTACAGGCTCTGCCAGCCCTAAAGAGTGCCTCACGCCGAGATCATATGTTGGCACGTCGCAGTCTCGCGACGGCCGGCGGGGCTCCTCTCTCTGGCTGGAAAGTGACCTGGGGGACCCGGAAGAAAGCTTCCGGTCACTCTCTGTATCCAGAAACATGCCGAGAACCGACTCACCAATGTCCGAATTTGGTGATCTCAGACGCGCTGCGAGCGCGCGCCAACACCAACGGCGAAGCCTCATCATACCCGGCGCAACCTCTCCTCGCCGCCAGGAGTCACCCTCTCGTAGCACACAGCCCTCATCGCCGCTGAGGATCAAGCCTCGCATCATCCCTGGTTCCCACGATGTCATGGTCTCCCCAGAAGCGTCGCCCATGTTTCCCTCTAGCGAGTTTAGCTCCCCGATTGCACACCCCACGCGACATCACAGAAGGCAATCCTCAGCCGCCATCTCCGACTTTGTCATGCGACCACCGCCGTCTCCGCGCCTGGGGGCCAGTCAAGCACCGCCCCAGGCACGATCCAACCAGCCGTCCATCAAAGACTTTGAAATCATCAAGCCCATCAGCAAAGGCGCTTTCGGCAGCGTCTACCTCTCCAAGAAGAAGTCTACCGGAGAGTACTTTGCCATTAAAGTGCTGAAAAAGGCAGACATGGTTGCGAAGAATCAGGTTGGCAACGTCAAGGCTGAGAGAGCCATCATGATGTGGCAGGGCCAGAGCGATTTCGTCGCAAAGCTCTACTGGACATTTTCCAGCAAGGACTACCTCTATCTCGTCATGGAGTACCTCAACGGTGGTGACTGCGCCGCGCTGATCAAGGTGCTGGGTGGCTTACCAGAGGACTGGGTGCAAAAGTACCTCGCCGAGGTCATCCTTGGAGTCAAGCATCTGCACGAGCGCGATATCATCCACCGTGATCTGAAGCCAGACAACTTGCTGATTGACCAGAAAGGCCATCTGAAGCTCACCGACTTTGGTCTGTCCCGAATGGGTTTGGTTGGCCGTCAGAAGCGAGCGTTGAACAGCGAAACGAGCGAGACCACGCCCGACCTCCTCAAACAAGGACCGTTTGTGCGATCGGCATCCATGGCCTCGTCTCGCTCCACGTCGTTGGACCTTCAAGGCACATCCCAGTCCCCAACAATGACTCCGCAAATGACGCCAGATGTCGGCAGCATGTCCCAACCATCCTACTTTAGCCTGGGCCAGCTGACGGAGCCTCGACGAACCTCTGGCGGACGACGAAGCGACAGCGGGGGAAGTGAATCTCTTTCACAGATGCTGTCCAACTTTTCGCTCAACGACGACCTCGGAGCGTTGAGCTTGACCAAGTCGCCCGACGACGACGTCATTCACGGGTCGCCCGATATGATAGGCAGTCTGCCTAGTACCAGAGCCAGCATTGACAGCCACGCGCGGAATTCATCTATCCCGCAAACCATGATGCCGCCACCCATGGCACTCTTTGACCCGCAGGATACGAACCGACGATTCGTCGGCACACCCGACTACCTCGCACCGGAAACCATCAACGGCGACAAGCAGGATGAAACCTCGGATTGGTGGTCTGTCGGGTGCATATTGTTTGAGTTTCTCTTTGGCATCCCCCCATTCCACGCGAGTGAAGCTGAGCAAGTGTTTGACAATATCCTCGCGCGCAAGATTCAATGGCCGGAGGAGGCGGTTTTGGAGACTGTCTCTGAAGAAGCCAAGGATCTCATCAACAAGCTACTCTGCATTGATCCTCTGCAGCGTCTAGGATCTAACCGCGAGGAAAAGTTTGAGTCTGGCGGCGACGAAATCTGCCACCATCCCTTCTTTGCAGGTCTTAGCTGGGACTCGCTACTCGAAGACGAGGCGCAGTTTATTCCCCAACCCGAGAACCCCGAGGACACCGAATACTTTGACGCCCGCGGCGCCGTGCTGCAGTCTTTTGCAGAGGAGATGGAAGACCAGATGTCACCACAGTCGGCCTCCGGCGAGTACCCCGACCGACCACACGATGCGCTATCACGCATCAGAACACAGGTCAACTCGATTAACCGCAAGCTCATGCCGCTGCACATTCCCCCTCACGTGCGGGACATGAAGTCGAGACGTCTCAGCGAACCAGTCGTTTCCGACGACTTTGGCAACTTTTCCTTCAAGAACCTGCCGGTCCTCGAAAAGGCCAACAAGGACGTCATCCAGAAGCTGCGCGCCGAGGCGCTCGCGGCCCAGAACAAGCAATCTTCAAGCAGCGGCTCCACGGGATCGCCCGTCCCTTCGCTGGAGGGCAGCCCGGTTCTGGCGAACCACTTGCAGAGAACGTTGTCCAACGCCAAGGGCAACCGCCCCCAATCGCCATCTGGGTTTAGTCACGCGACCTCGTCACCCAGCCGGGCCTCTCAGCCCTCGTCGCCACTGCTGGTGTCGTTTGTGGCTGGCGGAGAAGGCCGCCGAAAAGCGTCGAGTAACGCATCCAGCCTTTCGCATCAGTCGTCCACGCTACAACCGAATGCGCCGCCTATTGACATTCCCAAAGTCCCCCCTAGTCTGCAAAAGGCGGCCACGACTGTTGGTGCTTCACCCGTCAAGGGCAAAGCGACGCCGCAGCTCGCCATCTCGCCCCAGAAGCTTTCCACCCCACGCAGCGCCGGCCGATCACGCTCGCTCACCGTTGGCTCCGCCGAGTCGAGCCCCGTGGCCGCCGACATGCTCCACCACCGCAACCGCCGAAGCCAAGTCTTCGACATGTCGCCATCCTCGTCAGACAATGAAGGGGACAGGCACAGTGCACTGCTGCGCGTGCAGAGGCGCCGGCAAAGCTCACGCCGTCTGTCACAGATTGCGTTTGATGGCGGCACTCCCACATTTCGACCGCTGGACGTGCTCATCTGCGAAGACCATCCCGTATCGAGAATGGTCATGGAAAAGCTGCTCGAGAAGCTCCGCTGCCGCACCATTTCCGTGTCCAACGGCTCCGAAGCTGTGCGATACGCGATGAGCGAGATCAAGTTTGACGTCATTTTCCTGGAGTATAGGTTGCCCCAGATCAATGGCGCTGACGTTGCTCGGATGATTCGCGAGACCAAAAACACCAACGCACACACTCCAATCGTCGCCATCACATCTTATCTAAAAGAGCTGCAGGCGCCCCACTACTTCGATTCGCTAATTGAGAAGCCTATTAGCTCCTCCAAGCTCAGCGAGGTACTTCGCGGGCTCTGTCAATGGCGACCCGAGTCGCCCCAGCGCTCCAGCTCCGGGTCGGCCCCCGTGACCGTCCGCAAACCCCGATCAGACAGCCCGACTTCGAGCGGGCAATTCCTGTCCAGCCAAGACTCGACGAGCGTTTTCGACTCGGAGCCGGCCGATGACGTTCCTTTCAAGGGCGACTGGGAAGGCGGGCTCGGCATTTGCGGATCCGACATCCCGGACCGGCATGTAACGCAACCTGAGCCCGCACAATCGGAGCATGTACGGTCACTCGACAAGCTTTCCAAGCGAGAGCCGGACCGTCGCAGCTCGTCAGAAGGCACCGACTCGGCGGACGACGAGGATGACGAGGCGCACAAGGAGAAGCACGCGCGGCGCGCCAGCAAGGCCCTGTCCAAGACGCCGCTCCCGAGCTCCAAGCTGGGCATCGAGATGATGCGCGCCAACAGCCACGACAGCATGTTGGGCGATAGCACGCCCGAGACGGTCACGCAGGTGGCCACGCCGTCGCAAGAGGTGCCGCCGGGGCTGAGCACGCCACCGACCGAGCCCCCGGATGTCGATGCCACGCCACGGCCCAGCGAGCCGCAGGACGATCCGACACCGCGGCCAAACAAACCATAGAGTCATGTGCTATTACTTTTTGCTCTTGTTATCCAGTAGTTGCAGCGCGGCGTTTGCGGACGCATGGGTGGATGGATGGTGGTTTTCTATGTACATAGCTGACGCGAATATACTTGACACATCTATCGGGCCGGTGCTTACATATCTATCGACTGGCCGATACTTTGCATACCTATCGACCCGGTCGAATGCTTTACACAGTCATCGACTTTGTCGAATGCTTCACATATCTATCGACATGGCCGAATATCATCTACCCTGCCTTCCGAACACGTTATACATCATCAACCTTGTTGGCCTATCGCGGGCCGTAAACGAAGGCATCGTCCCCCAGCTCGGCAAACGCAAGCTTCGTGCCCAGAATGTCCTGCCGCTTGTCCGACTGCAGCCGCAGCATGCCCTCGAGCGCCCTGCTCAGCACGCCCTGCTCGCACAGCGACTGCACCTGCCTGTGCCCGAACTCGCAGCCGTCGTCGCTGCCCGCCTCCAGCACCGCCCGTCCCGTCAGCGCCGCCAGCCGGAGACACCAGTGCCTCATCCCCCGGCGGAACTCGGCCACGGCCAGCACGCCCAGCAGCTCCAGCATGGTGATGCCGAGCGCGTAGAGGTCCGTCTTGCCGGAGCGCGTGTAGTAGCGGACCGTCTCGGGCGCCATGTACCCAGCGGTGCCGACGTGGGTCTCGGCGGCGCCAAAGGCAAAGTCCACAAGAAAAAAGCGCACCAGCTCGCGCGGCTCGGGCTGGGCCGGGTGCCAGGCGGTCTGGTAGAGCACGTTTTCCGGCTTGATGTTGGCGTGGACGACGCCGTGGGCGTCGAGGTAGGCGAGCGCGGCGAGCATCTGCGCGGCGAAGCGGGCCAGGCAGGCGCGGACGACGGCGGCGTGCGAGCCGGCGTGGGCGACGAGCGGCGCGAAGTGATCGCGCGAGTTGCCGCGGTACAGGTGGTGGTAGAAGTCGAGAAACGCGTGGCCCTCGGCCCAGCCGTCCATGAACTGCGGCGGCTGGATGTTGGTCTGTCAAGTCAGCATGGTGTAGACAAGGGACGAATGGGGAGGACGTACGTGCTCCAGGGCGTCGAAGCCCATGGCCTGCAGCCGGGCGAGCCGCTTCCACTCCTGCCGCGCGCCCAGATCATCCTCGCCATCCGGCCGCCGCGGACTGACCAGCCGCTTGACCGCGTAGACGCGGCCGGTGCGCAGGTCGACGGCCTCGTGGGTGCGGCCGGGCGCCTGCCGCCACAGGCCGCCGTACCAGTGCGTCTCGGGCGGCGATCTCGCATGCAGCGCCTGCTGCTCAGTCGTCACGGCCGGGGCGTTGCGTGGGGGTTCCTCGATCAAGTACTGCTGCGGGCGGGCGGCGTAGACGCGGGCGAGCAGGGCGCGGGTGCGGGCGACGTCGACGCGGGAGGCGACGGGCACGCACCAGCGCAGGGCAAAGACGCAGCCGCGGCCAATCTCGACGCGCAGGTCCAGGCCGGCGCACATGGGCACGACGCGGCGCTGCTGGGCGCGGCCGCCGAACTCGGGCTCGATGCTCATCGAGTACCTGTCGACGACGTGCTTGTGCTGGTTCGCGTCGGTGGTGGTGGCCACGAGGCCGGCCATGGGGCGGTGGTTGAGGCCCGAGTTGTCGAGGAGGACGACGTCGCCGGCCGGCGTGAGGGTGAACGTGCAGAGGTGTCTACATCGTTAGCTGCTTGTTTCAATAGTTGAGGAGGACTGCCAGGATACCTGTTGTAGCCAAACTTGTACCAAATGTCATTGTCCTGCTCCCGGCCAAACGTCACCATGCCCCTTCTCCGCCGCGAGGTCTGCTTGGCCGTCACGACGAAGCATTTGGCGCCTAGAGGGACGTTGCCGCAGTCCTGGTTGAAGCGCACAATGTTGGTCGTCTTGGCCGACATGGGATGCAGCGCAAACAGCGCAAAATCGACAATGCCGTCACACATGATGATGGCCTGCCTGTGCTCGAGGAGACGGGCGTCGAGGGAAGGGTCGAGGGGTGGGCATTTTATAGCCGCATGGTGGCGCGGAACTTCTGGGTAACCGTGAGTCGTGAGGCGGTGATGCACTGCTGATGGATGCGGCACGACGGGATAAGCAACGCTGTGCGAGGAAGCATCGCATGTTGTGCGCGGCGGTCATGTGCGACGGGCGTGCAGGGCGGCGGGTGTCACTGTCGGCCTCGACAAAGGACAGGCTCGTTTTCAAGTGTACCGTCTGCTCTATCGATTCTTGCTATACACCTGGTGACGTTGGTATATCCTTGGTAATCGCTATCATCTGGTTAATGTCGAGTGTCACTCTGCTATGGAGATACTTTGCGAGGCCGCTGACTGCATCGAGGGATGGGATATCTTACAGCTAAGATCCGATAACTTTTTCAGCGTTACCATGAACTCGTCCATAGATTTCACGACACAAAACATTCTGGACACTTTCCAGCTCCAAGGTATAGAGGTTTGTCGATCAACCGCCATGTATACTCACAGTTGTTCACGCAGAAAACCGAGCCACCATTCCCAGAACTGTTGGAAATGAGATTAGAACAGGGCAACTTCTTTATAAAACTGCAGTTCAATGACCTGTTCAGAGAGCAGTGGCGGTAAGAGGTGACCAGATTCCAGTGTATGCAATTTATCGAGGACGAGAAACTGTGTCTATAGGTAAACCACCATTTCGCCTTCGCCACCGGGTCACCAGGCCGGTTTAAAAGGTGCTTTTGGGGAGCTTCCACAATTTCCCAACTTCCTTTTCGCGTCACAGTATTTTAAGAGGAATTCTATTTATTTGAGAGATTACCTTGTTGGCAGAGTCACCGACGTGGCGGGCTCAGCCTTGGCGAGAATTCAGTGCCGACTCATAGTGTCCATACAGAACCAATACCAGAGCAATAATTCTCGGTTTTCTTTTTACTACTTCCTTTGCCTCCAAACTGCCGAAATGCAGGATGAATACTGCTCAACTTTGTGGCGCGTCTCTCCCGTGAAGCTCGATCCGTTTGTAAAACACAATAACGCGGCCCTCGACACAACATCCACTGAGAACCAGCAGTGGCCCGGTTAGCTCAATCGGTAGAGCGTGAGACTCTTAATAAGAGTTCACCCATCTCAAGGTTGCGGGTTCGACCCCCGCATCGGGCTTTTCCTATAATTCTTCGATTGGCATTTCTTTTTTGCTTTTTGTTTCTAATTTTAGTTATTTCTCATTTTTATTTTTATTTTTATTTTATTTTTATTTTTCGTTATTTTTTATCTCTATAGATATATTTTTTTTAATAGTTAGTGTCTATAGTTATAGAGTAATAAAGAGTTGTAAAATAGTTAGAGAGTTGAAAAATAGAGAGTTGTAAAATAGTTAGAGAAGTGTGATAAACGAGCGAATTCTATAAGACGTAATAACTCCGCCCTTCCCAACACAAGATCCACTAGGAACTATAGTAGTATCTTGCCTGGTTAGCTCAATCGGTAGAGCGTGAGACTCTTACGGGTTCACCATCTCAAGGCTGCGGGTTCGACCCCCGCATCGGGCTTTTCCTATACATTCTTCGATTGGCGTTTCTTTTTTTTTTGCAGTTCTGTCTGTTTTTCCTCGCCCTTCTTCTTTCTTATTTTTTATTCCTTGAGACCCAATCACCAACCAGCTGACTCCTTCATATAGGTAGTTTATTTCCAGTGCTAATGATCGCGCCAAATCGGTTTCTGTGTGCACCAGATCAAAGCTCCCGCAGCACAACATCGACCCGGGCTGTAGACGAGAGGGAGAAGAGGAGGCTGTTTGTAATAGCATAAGAATCGAACAGCAGTATATACGTAGACAATAAGCGAAATCTCAGTATTGTTTATATTTCTCCAAGGTGAAAGGGCATTCCATAGCCTACATACGCGGCCAGTCCACGCAGCAATGCCGGGAACTCAGCCTGCTGCCTGCACTGGAGCTGCCAGCTTTGCCATTTACACTTCGTACATACAGCCCGGTAAGTCAAGTACGAAGAAACTCGGAAAGACAGAAAACGAGCAGCAGGTTCTGAGGGGCAGAATCTGAGCGGTAGGCTGCCAGTCTGACGTTCGTCCGTTTATATACGCAGAATTGCCAACACCATGTTCAGATTTTCACCAAACACACGCACGCACGCACGATTTTTTCGACTTTTTTCTTCTCGACTTTTCTTTCGATTCTTTATCAAAGAAATTACATCAAAATGGACAGCGGCAGCAGCAGCAACAACAACAACAACGGTGCCGCTGGACGAAGTGGTCGTCTCGGTGGTCGTGGCTCCGACCGCGTCTACCAGCAGGCCTCTGGCACTGGCCATACCATTGGCAGTGCTGGCGGCGGAAATGGCGAGGGCGGAAGCGGTGATGAGGGCAGTGGAGCGCTGGCTGGGGTGATGGCCGTGGAGGACGTGGCGACAGCCATGGCTTTGGCCATGAGTTTGTTCGCGTTGTAGTCGGGGGCGAAATCAAGCACATATCCACCACGAGGGCTGCGCACCTACTTACCACGGCTCTCCAAGACCAAACGGCAGGTACGCCTGAGAATACTAAACGGAGGTCGAGGATCAGGTATCTGGGCTCAAGAAACCTGGATGCCACGACGGAGATGGTGAGGAGCCAGGCGGTGCAGCGCAGAGCCCATCCCTTCCCCTTTCCAGGAGCGTCTGAGCAGCAGATCCAACAAACAAGGAATTTCCCAGGCATTCATTGTCTTTTGGTATTGGTGAGGAGCATTTTAGGCGCAATGACAAACAATGAGTGCAATCCTCGAGAGTAATCCTTTCGTCCGAATGGCTCGGGAAAGGTTCTCGCAGGACGACCCTGATCTTGATGCACTCGCACAAGAGTTGTGGCACCGCCCATTTTCCCAGATTCCTGGCGCCAAACTGCAGTTCTCGAGCATCCTATCTTCTGATATCATGCGTCGGACACTGTGGTCCGAGCCAATGTTCCATCCGTGGCGACGCGTCTTCTGGAGCTACTTGCATGATCCGAGCTGGAAGTCCACCGACGCTGAGGACACCCCCAAGCTGGTCTACGATTATTTGAACAGATTGAATCATCGAGACATCATTATGCCGAACACTTTCCAAATGGAAGTGTTCCCTGGCATGGATTTGCAGGCCAAGGTTAACGAGCGCTGCGGAGTCTTCGCCTCGGAGATGCTGCATTTTGTCTTCCCGACCCTGCCCCCTGTCTTTTTCTATGCAACGTTCAACATGCGGGGGGCCGATGATCTGATTCACATCATGACTGATGTAGAGGACGCAATGTATTGGAGATTCTTCCGGTGTTTTGGCATGCGCAAACATGACGGCACCGGGGGCAGTCAGCCAGTCAGCGAATTCTTTAACAGAAGGCGCTTGGTATGTCATTTTGAGGGTAGACTGTAAAAGCTCATTAATATCGTAATTTCACGTAAACAGGGCTCATAACTAAGAGCGTAGGGACTGACTTTGATAGGCTTGTAGTTGTTGTTAAGGTTGGGGTTGTGATTGTGGTTGTGGTTGTGATTGTGGTTGTGGTTGTGGTTCTGGTTGTGATAGACGAGAAGCGAGAAGGAACTAATTTGCCTTCACAAATTGAAAAATAATGAAGAAAAAAGGACATTTTTAGTACTAACCTATCAGGCAACAATTGCTACAGTGTTTCTCGGGGGCTGGTAAGCCACATTGTAGCAGCCGTTTGTAGCAGCCGTAGGCATTGCCAGCCGGCGGCTCAGGAGAAACGAACACAAACGAGCCACCACTCAAATTCTCTTCTCTTCGTACTTGTTCGTACTTGTTCGTTCTTGTTCGTTCTTTCTAGCATCAATGAACCCGACGCGACCGTTTACACCTTCTCAACAGCTGAAGTTATGGCATGGCGGTGCTAACGGGTATGAAATGTCTGCCTACGCTTGTGCAACACCACGGTGCGCGGTAGCATGTTGTCCTAGGGAGACCCATCCTTTCAACGCAGAGCTAGGTAAGCATCATAAGGCGGCGATTCTTGAAGAGCTGCGTCGCTATCGTCGCCGCGATAGAGCGAATCTGGGTTCTATCGCGGATGATGCGGTGTAGTTATGACGGTGATGTGGTGACGTGGAAATGATGGCCAAGTCCTCAATAGCGAGTCTTCTCGAGTCCTCTCCTGGCCCAGGCCGAGGGGATTCACGCGGCGACTCCTATGGCAACGAAACTAGTCCCCTTGTGGAAGATGTCACACCTTGGCAACTCCCACTGGGTGTTGAAATTATCACCACTTCCATTGCTGGAGCGCGACTGGCGAGCTGGAATCCAGGACCGACTGGCCGGTTCCACGCAGTAGGTATGGTGCGTCTTGTACATTGGCAGTTGAAGAACTGGGAGCCTGACGTATGGGATGCTGCGGTTTATTAATTAAACGGGAGGCGGGATGAGGGAAGCCTTTGAAAGGTTTGATTCTGAGTGCTGGCCATTGAGGATTGTTGCAGAAGGGGCGGGCGAGGGTGAGCAGGCTGAGTCTCTTTTGACGGTGATTGCGGACAGGACATGTGCTGGTAGAAGATCGGGATTTGGTCAGAGAAGAGGCAATAGAGATGGTTAAATAAAATACAATTCTTTTCTTAATCAATGATTAGAATAAAGTGTGACACATTATAGTGAGAATTAACAAATACTAGATAACTTACACAGTCATAGTAACCGCAGACCACCGATGTAATCCGGACAGTAAAAACGACGCGGCTGTAATGATGGCGTGGTGGAAAGAATCGCCTCGATAATGTGGCCGTACAGTAAAGAAAAAGGGTTGGCTCACACGAATAAGAAGGAGGGGTTGGCTCAACAACGTGGCCGCACAGCGAAAAAGGTTGGCTCAGATGCATACAACCAAAAAGAGGGTTAACTGAATAACGTGGCTGCACAGCGAAAAGGGTTAACTGAGGCATACACACTAAAAAAAGAGGGGTTGGCTCCAATACATACACGCAAAACAGAGGGGTTGGCTCCAGGAGAGTGGCCGCACAGCAAAAAACAGAGGCAGCAGGCAGCCCCCGCCCCGTAATCAGGTACCTGGTTGGATACAACGCGCCTAATAATAATCCCCAGCACCTCCGCAATCGCCAATTCTCCCATCGTCACGTCCACAATCACCTCTTCCCCGCATACAATGCTTTCCTTTTCAGCGCCACACACAAAAGGCCAGCAATCACAACAATATCCCATACCCTGATACGTTGGGCAAAAGTGCAGTGACATGGGGAGTATGAGCCACGACCAAGACTACACGAGACGCTGCCCTCAACAGGATGCAGAATCGAGAATCGGGGGACGATCGAGGCTGCGCGAGATGGTCAGAAGAGCGCGTTCGCCGCAGAGGTTGTCGCGGATCGATGGAATTTCGCGGCCAATAACAGCAAGCTGCAGAAAGCACCGCGTCGTTTGGTCGGCATTGTCCTATTAATGATACTAATCAGTCATCTCCTGGTCGGCTTCATCATGCAACAAGTCAGGCTGCAGGTCTACGTACGTCCTCGTCCAGCTTCCAACACCGAGCCTTCGTAATACGGAATAAGCCCTTCGCTCGCAACAATAACCCACTGAGAACAGTGGCCCGGTTAGCTCAATCGGTAGAGCGTGAGACTCTTATACGAGTTCACCATCTCAAGGTTGCGGGTTCGACCCCCGCATCGGGCTTTTCCTATACATTCTTCGATTGGCATTTCTTTTTTGCTCTTTTTCACTTTTTGCAGTCCTGTTTATTGCTCCTGGCGTCGTCGGTCATTCCTGTTCTTTTTTGAGCCGGTGTCTGCAGCTCGTTCATCTTGTTACATCAGTTGTTACTTACCTTGCTCGTCTTGGCGACTTGATTCGCCCTCCTCGCTTTCAAGGTACATCTCAATCTCTACCTCAGCATTGCTTCAATCCTTTCTTCTCTTTAAACCAGAGGTGGTAAGAGCTATGTCAAAGAATCTCCCAATTGAAAAAGGTTTACGTGCCTGAGAGCCTGGTCCATCTTCCTCCCTTCAGACAATCAGGGCTCACCTTGTAGACTCAGAATGCCAAGACTATAAGTCAACAACAAGAGTAGAGGCTACTTTATGAAGGGTACTTGACAATTGCGGACCTATCGCTTACTCAAGGTGGAAAGAAAATCTGCGTCCAAATTGAGAGGGATCAATTGCTGCCAACACAGGATTCTGGGATCTTGTACCAACGCTACCAACAGCCACTCGTCGTCTGTGCTGGATTGCTTGAATTTCTTTGTCTAATAGTAATAGGATTCTTTAAAAGATTACATGTCATGTTCTATATTCTCCATGGGGTTCCCGTTCTCCCAGTCAATGTATACCTTCTTCCACCATGCAAGACTCGTATCGTACACATCCGCGCATCTCCCCATCTACGCCGCCACCCCCATCGTGTTCACCACCCACTGGTAGCTGCCGAGGAATATGGCGCCCCCGATCGATATCCACGTCACCCTGGGCGCGACGCCCGCGAAGAACGGCCTCACGCCCTCCTCGCGCGCCATCCTGCCTGCCACCGCCGCCACCGAGACCCTCTCCGGCGCGAGCATCACGCGCGTCTTGAGCACGTCCAGCGGCGTCGTCGCCGCCGCCGCCGCCGCGCCCGCCACGCTTCCAAACAGCGCGCTCTCCGCCGCCGCGACCTGCTTCTCGCCAGTCATCCTTCTCCGCCACGCCTTCATCGCCTCCCACAGCGGAAACTGAATCACCGTGAACGGCACCTCGCGGAGCGCACCGCGCAGGCGGCCACCTCGCCGGCGGAGGCCGCCAGCATGTGCGTCGGCGCGTCGCTGCCGCCTAGCCGCGGGGACAGCCACTGCTTGGCGGACTCGTAGGTGCAGAAGAAGAAGGCGGCGCCGGGCGCGGACCCGACCACCGCGGAGCCGATGCCCCGGTATATGCCCGCGAAGCCGCCCGAGGCGAAGAAGCCGGAGGAGGACTGCAGGCGCGTCTTGAGGGTGTCGAGGGGGAAGAGGGAGAGGTCGACGGTGGTGCCAGCGACGGCGCCGGCGAGGAGCGCGGTGCGAAAGGGCGTGGCGGGTTGGTCGGACATGGTAGGTCGCGTGACGGCCACTTTTTGTCGATGCAACTCGAGTTTGGTGTGCGAGGGGCGAGGTTTAGTGCGCCGGTGGGTTTTATGAGGCCCAATGGGCCGGGTAATACGTCGGGTTGCCGGTTTGAATCGGGTGGTTTCTTTCTGTTACGCAATCATAGAGGATGGGTTTTATCGTAGTGAAATGGTTGAGTGGTTTGGGGCTTATCGATAGCGCGCCAGCCGAATCACGGAGCAAAGCCTCGGTAACCGGGCTACCCTGTACAAGCTGCCGATGAGGAAGGCAACTTTCTTTCGCATGGGGGTGCTTTTTTTTTCTTTTGCAAGACTTCTACTGAGAGCACTCATTTATGGCACCTGTTTTTGAGCGCTGAGAGAATTATTATGATTTTATGGTGGGTGTTGTGATTATCTGAGCACCTCATCTAGACTTGCATCACCCAATCTTAACAAGTCAACTCAACACGTTCGGTCTCAAAGGCACCTGTTCATCTCTCATGCGGCTTACATGCCTTCATGACGACTCGTACCACCCGTGGCCGATTCCTCCGCCATCTTCTTCGTCCGTTCCTGTAGCTCCTGCACCGACTCCTTGGCCGCGCCGTGACCCTTGTCCGCCTTGACGGCCTCCTCGCTGTCCGACGCGAGCTCTCGCTTCCAGTGAGCAGTGCCCTCCTTGTGCTTCCGCAGCAAGTCGAGCTTGTGCTTGTCGACGTCGTCGTCTGTGTCTGTGGTTGCGTCAGTTTTTTTTCCCCCATCCGCCGTTGGTGGGAACGTACTGGAGCTGGACTCTTTGTGGTAGACAATTCGCGACGAGGAAAACGAAGCGCGAGCTGCTGGGAGTGTCGCGCAGCGGGCGATGCGTGGGAGGACAGTTTTCGATGCGAGCATGATTACGGGTTCTTTCTTTCTGGTCCGTCAGTATCACAGTTCCAATTGGTTGTGCAGTGACGCGTTGGCTCGTACATGGATTGCTCGATTGATGGCGTGGAACAAAGTAGAGAGCAAGAGCAGTTATGTAGAGGAAAGAATACAGGTCGTGTTTACGAAAAGACGCATCCAATTGCAAAATGGCTATTTCTACTCCTTGCAGCTTGCTGGTTATGGTGTGACGTCAGCATGACAGCAGCATCGGACAGGTCCGCTCCAACGATGGTGATGGAACGCGCCTACTACATATTAATCGGCGTGAGGGAGAAAAGTCACTGTCTAATTGTCAACGGCGGCCAAATTCCCATGTCTTGACGTGTGTCTGAGTCTCAATCTCATTCGGTCTCACATCTTATCCTACAGGTACGTCAAATTAACTCATCACACATCATAGAGTAAAGTCATGTATTCATCTGCAGGCTTTAAGCCGCGGTATCAACCAGCGCCGTATCCAAATATGTGCACAATTGCAACACCGAACTCAATGGTCCCGAAGCCGACAATATAGAACCACCTTCCCAAATCATTCATAAACCTCGCAGATGCACCCAGGATAAACAATGACAAAGTAACACAGCCAGCCCCTTGTCGGGGTCGGAAGAAAAGCAAAGATCAGACCCTCCAGAGATGCCAGTAAACCAAAATCTCGCCCCGGCCCGCTCGCGGCAGGCAGTACTAAATAATAAGGTAATAAAATGTGGTCCAGAACCGAAAATGCACAATGGACAGAATTCTCAAGTTGCTCGCCGTCATTTGTACAACAAGAAATCAGAGAATGGGACAGACCGCATTCCCAAAGCAAATCGTCGCACAAGAAGCCGAAACACGCCGAACACGACAACGCAGAAAAAAAAACCAAAGTCGACAGGCTTGAGAGGCCTGCTTCGGCTTGTCCGATGGCGCGCAAGATCCGCTCGCACGCCCATGACAGCAGCCACCAAGAACAAATGCCCATGTGATGAACACCGTGAAATAGACTGACCCGCTCGTATCCCAGTCGTAAAAACACCGCCTTTCTAGAATCTTTTTGGAAATTTGATGCTGTGCGGCCTTATCCCCAGTGAGGCCACACGTGTCTTTTTTTTGTGCATGTGCCACGCCGCAGACGCGATCATGCCAATGCAGTCAAACGCAGACATCGCTTCGGGAACCAAATGCAAACCGTTGTGTATGCAAAGACAAAAAACAAAATCTTCCGTGTAAACGCCCGTATATGTCTCGAGTCGCCTCATCTAGACAGACAAAATGGAAATGAAGTAAACAAACCCAAAGCAAATGTGGTATCGATCGTTTTGAAGCGCGCCGGTATATCTCGTATAAATTTTCGTGCGTGAAAACCGAAAAGGGGTATGTCGATTATAATTGCTTGTACAATGCGAGCCAGCAGCCGAGCCGCAGACGAGGCCTCGCAGTCCTCGCCGCGGGGGAAAACTTGCTCGTGATAGACGAGTCCAGCCGAAAAACGTCACCAAGGATTGGTTTTGTCCATTTCCATCATGTCCACAGATGAGAGCGCCCAATGCATTCATTGGGAAGTGGGGTCGCGGGCGACCACCAGTCAGCGCCAGCACAGAGACTAGGCATGGCGCGAGTCAACGTTTACCAGCGGCGCATGGGATGCTGCGGCATTCTCATGGGGGAGACGGAAGGGGGAGCGGATGGGGGAGGGCTGGACATGGTGACGCCAGTGATGGGGTTGATGATGGGGATGGCATTGCGACCCCTGGCGGAAGGCTGGTGCAGCTTAAAGGTCGGCTGCTGGTTCTGGAGAGAGGGGGGAACGAAGGAAGGCGAGGCAGAGTTGAGAGAGAAGCCGGGGGTGATGGACTGCGGCTGCTGGGTGGGTGAGGACTCTGGGGAGTTGCTGGCAAGCGAAGAACGCTCCGAGGAGGAGATGGAGACGAGCTGGTACTTGTCAGAGAGGGCCGGGGAGGACGCGCCAGAGGAGCGATCGCTACTCACGTCTGTCTCGGTCAGAAGACCAGGGCAGAATTCCATGTCGTCCTCGAGATCAAAGGAGCGGACGGCCTCAAACTTGGTGCGGAAGGCAGAGAGGGCGGCCGACTCATTCATCTCCTTGAAGCCACGGACGCCACGAAACTGACGCTGAGAGTTTTGCGAGACGGACAGGCGAGCGGTCCTGCGATTGCGACCGCCGTGGTGGTTGTGGGAGACGGGGCCGGGCTGCGCCGGCATGGCGCCGTATGGGTAGTAGGAAGCCATGGTACTGTGTTATGTTGAAGGGGCGAATCGGAAGAGGCGAAACGGGTTGTTTTGATTCGAGGAGGGGGAATTGTGTCGAAAACAATGGCGATGATTGTCTAAGCGATGTAGAGATGGCGGGAAATGATGAAGCTATATAGCAAGAGAGCAAGTGTACAGAGGGGAGGGAGACGCAGAATGGAGAGAGGAGAATGGATGAAGGTGGATGGTTGTGCAAGAGGAGGAGGGAAGAAGAAAAGCAAGGTGGTGGGTGTGGGATGGGGGACGAGAGATGGATGGTTTCGGCCTGGCAGACGTTGTGGTGGGTGGTGCTGGTACTGGAAAAAGGTGGGTGGCATTGGCTAGGTGGGAAGACGAAGACGAAAAAGGTGGGCGGGCAAGATGGGAGGTCATGCACTGGAGAAATGCGGTGGGCAGGGCTCAACAGGCGGGCGGGCTGGGCGAATTGGGCGAGGACAATGCTGCAATGCCCTGAACAACAGCACGCAAGAGTCCGCTGTGGCGAGCGACTGACAGAGCTGCCCTTGAACCAAGCACGGCACTGCCGGGGTCGGGGGTGGAGGGTGGCATGCTAAGTGGGACCAGGAGGCGAGCCGTCGAATGGAAACACAACCAGCCTCCCCACCGTGTTTGCCACTAACGACTTATTGGCCAATGTCGGGGCAGGTCTAAGCTGCAAACAGACTAGAGGTGCTCTGGATGACGGGGTGGGTCTCCCCAACGGTACGGTGTGAGATGTGGCGCCGGCACTGTAGGACGCTGACCAGTTCACGTTAACAACTGAACGGTGCGGCGGCTGAGCGTTGACCAACCGCTCAGCGAGCAGCTGGCGTGTGCCGTAAGCTGCAACCTTGCTGTTCCATTGGTAGTGGTACAATCTGAGGTACAATCTGAGGCGAGCCATTCACAGCGCTGGGACCCCACTGTTGCGCCGATGCGGTGCTGCATGTGGCAGCTGGCACAGCCCGGACTGCCACTACTGTGAGGGAAATACAGTGTCGACACAGTGCACCCGAAAGGTCCCCAACGCTTGCTCAGGGCACTCATTCCCTCTGCGTGCAGCTGCAGGTAAGGCGCTTGCAGGGGCATTTTCCATTTCCATGCCGTAAAGGTTCTGGTACTGGGTGGCTGGGCTGGCCAGTTGATGCAAAGGCAAGCCAAGATATGGCAGAAGACTTAAGATATACTGATAGTGCATGAGTTAAAGTAATCGGGTTATGCAGGAAAGAGAGGCAGAGTTAACCATGCAATATTAGTAGGTACCTATGTACATCAACAAGACACAGTGCTGGGCAAGACCTCGGGTCCTCATTTCAAGGGGAAGACGGGTACACACAGGACAGGCAGGACAGGCGGACAGGCAGGGCAGGCACCACAAGGCAGGCATGGAAGATCCACTGAGCATGTTGTCCAGTCCATTCATTCCAAGCAAATCAAGAAAGTCACTTGACCGCTCCCGGCCTGGGGATGGCGGCCCCGCAGCAAGCAAGTGCGTCAGTCAGTCAACCTTGACTTGAACTTGATGCTCGATGCTGGCGACGACTGGTGTGATTAACAAACGCTTTGAGAGACGTCTGCAGAGAACTATTATTATAATTTTTATATTAATTATCATCTGCAGCTGGGCCTGTCTCCGGCATGCCCTGCCTGCCCTGCCAAGATGAGCCAGTTGAGCCTTGTCCTGCGTGGCTATCAGCAACTACTGGCAGTAGCGTCGGCGGTGGCGAAACCTTGGCTTGACAGGCACTGAGCACACCGCGCGGTCGCCGCCGTGGCCGCCGGTTCTTGAACGAGACAATAACCAGCGAACTCAATCAGGGCCTTGATCCAGCCCAGGGACAATCAATGCCCACTCCTCTGCCCTGGCGCTTACCTACATATGCTGCCTGGCGCAGAACGCTAGGTAACCACCCAGCATGCAGCACATCTTCGATCTACAGATGCTCCCCATCACGACACCCAGCAGCAACAGGCTTCCCGCGGCTACACGCAGTTCTGCTCTCCAATAGCGAGCCTGCAGCACGACCCCATTGAATGCTTCCATGGCATCGTTACAATGCATCGGGCCTCTCATCTTGCTGACTCTGCTCTTTGTCGGTAGCGATGACTCGCCCACTGATCCTCATGACCTGACGACCTTCCGAGGTCGGAAAAGAGGGGTAGCTCGTCACCAGAAACTCAAAAGAGGCATGTTCACCCGTCGAACGTCACTGGCCAGCGGCCACGCCAGCTGCTCCCCCGGGGCATGGTTGCGACTCGCGGGCGCATAGTGAAACCTGGCCGACCCCTTTGGCCACCTCCGTCATCCCAGATCATGGCAATGTGGCTTGCTAACTTGCTAGTGCCGACCTATTATTGACCTCGCACCCATATCGCTTGCTGATATGCACTGCTAACGTACAGCCTAGAAGCTAGTTACCGTCAGACACACACTGGCATATTCTGGCGCAGTAAGTTAACTAGTTACCTGTCAACCTGTCTATCGCATTGATCGAGTCAGCCTGGTCAACGCCTCGGCACTTGTCAAGGCCCTGGATTCTGTAAACTTCACTCCCTGGGGAATCCTCCGTCGCCAGCCGATTGCGTCGTATTGTTATTGTTATTGTTCCATCACCTGCCTCATACAGAGTTCACCCCTTCGCCCCCCAGAGCTGGGGAGCTCCAAGAGCTCCAGCGATGTGAGACAAGGTCTCGAAATCAGAGCAATCAGCCTCGCCCCTCGATCCCCTCCGTCCAAGGCCTGCCTATCGGTAACTACGAATAGCTCCTGGTCGGCTGTTTGGCAAACAGGGTCATCTCCCTCCTGCGAACCTGGGCAATGCAAAACATGAGACAGCCCGGCTTCTCGCTTGCACTGCACGCAGCCTCTTGGTGGTGGCGTACGGAGTACAGCATCAATATCACAATGGGCCATTGTCACAGACCGTGAGCCGTCCTGCCATATTACGATGCGAATTAATTGAAGAGAAATGAACAACAAGCATACAAAAGAGGCATAGAGTTTTATCTTCTGATAGTTTTGTAAATTCCAAGCGCTTAATTATTCAATCTTCACCGCCAGATCGACTTCTTGTCACCGAGCTACTACTCTGTAGCTTGACTCAATCGGGCTGTCTGAGGAATTCGTTCCGCCCTGAAAGTGGCAATAACAGTGAGCTCCCTAGCTATGCTCAACTATGCTTCAATACCTGCACAGCTAGCTATGATCATTCCCTTCCAGTCATTTTCCAATTATAGATTTCTGGGCTTCTTCCCGCCCATGCCGCCCTGCTTTTATTATTAGGCACACGACGTTCGTTCCTCACCTACTTCGGCATGCGAAATATGGGCGCCTCACAGGCAACGAGAACTAGACAAGACAATACTCGTCAACTTACAGCTCTTCTCCATTGTGCCTCCTCCATCCACTCGATTTCCTGTCCGTTGGACGGCGTTGCTCTGCGCCGCAAACCATTGGCCCGGCCCCCTCCCAGCCTCTCGTCCTGTGCCACCGTCCAAGTGAACGAGCCATACCGATTCGACGAGGTAGAAAGGGCCTTGCAAGGCAAAGAACCCAATGCGTCTCTCGTGTCTGGACAGCCGGCGGGCTTATCAGTCGGGCGCCTTCATCAGGACAAGCCAATGCCCGCACGACATCTCTACGAGCTTCGTCACTGGTCCGGAGCACCACCACTGCGGGGAGTTTCCGGATCCTCTTCACACCATCTGGAGCGACAGAGTAACCTTCGGACGCAGTGTAGATGCAAGGCGGCCTTCAGGTCACTACCGTCGACAAGGTTGGGCTGATCAGCGCACCCCCACTCGCTGACCAGGTTTAGAATCTGCACGAACAGCCTATTCCCCTCCATCGAGGGGGAGGCTGGCAAGCCACTGGCGCCTGATATGATGCCCAAGGGTGGAAGGTGATAAGAAAGAAGACGGATCGAGGACACCGCTACTCGATGGTAAGTCGTGTGTGACTTGAACAGTTTTTCACGCCATGAGACAAGTCTCTTGATGTTTAGAGGCATTGCATCGCATGAAATGTATAGATGCAAAGCGAAATCAACTTCTGAGACACGTAGTAAATGAATTTATCATGAATTTGTAAATTTCGACAAAGTTTGGACAAAATTCCATCGGATGTTCATTTTCGGATTATACTGCATACTGCATGCTGCGGATGTAGCTCGCCTTGTTTCACAAGGAGGGGTTGCTTGGTGGACGCGCAGCCGAACCGAAACGCACAGGCTGTCCGCGTGTGACGGTAATACAATACACGACAGGACGGCACGGCCTGTCGTAATACTAGACGATTGTCGATGCAAAAAAAAAAAAGAGTTCGGTCGGCGACGAGATCCGGGCTCGGATCGGTGGCGAACATTGCGCCTAAGCCAGGATTCACGGTCCTGGCTTGGCTGACCACGGAGCTGATGAACGCGACTGGGACTGGCGACCCTGAAAATAAGCTCAAGATTTCCGTTACAGATCGTAGATGGTGTAGATGCTCACGTGTGCAGGTATTTTGCGAAAACCCGACCTGGACATCTGCAGCTCAGAGTACTCTCCAAGTTAGATGTTCTGCCGCCTGTCCTCGGCACTCAATGCTCTTGTTAGAAAGCCGATGTCCCAAACCGAAGGGATTTCACAACTTTGCGTATTCCAATGTTATGAATAAAAACATGCTTCAACGCGCCTTGCATCAAACACTCACGAGGCCTCACGTTTCATAAACCTTGCGGGTGGTAGCTCCGGCATGGAAGCAAATCGCCGGGGTCAGCGATAGCCACGGTCGGGCTGACGTTTGGATGATTTGCCGAGTCCGACGACCAGGATGGACAGATACAAAACAGAAAACGTATCAGAATGGACTGGGTTATGATTGTGGCGGACAACGCCAAGCTCTGGTCGAGGGCTGCATTCCGGCTGTCGCAGTCGCAGACATGGCTTGTACTGAGAGATGACCGAGAGCACCGCCCTGCTTGCAGGCTGTCTGCGTTATGTTGATAGTTATGGTCAAGTACAGTCCGTATCTTGTGCCTCTGCAAAAGTTTATCAGACATATATGCATGTTCATTAGTTCTGACATCTAAAAACAACATCAATGATCAAACGCCCCTGGTACGCCATGACCCCTGGTATCATATGCCTTGGAAATTATACATGCCTTCCTCCTATCGATCCAAGCTGCCTGCCTTGACGAAGCGATTGATTTGTTCCCTAGTCAGCTTTTCATTGTACTTCTCGTAGCACTCATAAAAAGAGATGATTTCCTGCGTGGCGTCCACCATGGACGCAATGTCGACCGTGCTCTCGGCGAGCCACGCCGCAAAGTGCTGTACGCGGGTTATGCGTGCCTCCTGCTGCTTCTCGCGCGCCTCGTGGCCCGAGACCGCTGCCACCGGTGGAGGCGGCAGCGCAGCGAGCCCTCCTCCGCCCGGCGTCACCAGGCCGCCGCCCTGTGCGACGTGGCTTAGCGCAGCCTGAGCGGCGGCGAGCCCCGCGGCGGCCGCGGCGCCGGCACCCTGCTGGCCGGGGGCGACCGAGTTGGGTCGCAGGACGAGGGCGAGCAGGATGGCGACGAGGGCGATGACGTGCGGGGGAAAGAGCAGCGGCAGGTCGGTCATGTAGTGGTCGTTGATGACCGACTTGGCGAGCTGGACGTCCTCGTCGACGAGGGCCAGCTCGCTGCGCAGCGAGGTCAGCGTGCGGTAGGGCTGGTGGATGATGAGCTGTGAGCTCATCTCGGAGATGAGGAAGAACTCGCACTCTCCGATGCGGGAGGTGTCGAGGCCGATGAAGTCCTGCCACAGCTGCCGAGCCTCCGTCACGATAAGACGGATGTGCTGCGGCGACTCCTCCATCTTGCAGGCGAGGTAGATGGCCGTGGTGATGACGAGGTACGGGTTCGTGCGGCGGATCTCGACGCGCGAGTAGAAGCGCTTGAGGTAGACCTGGGCCGTGGCCATGGCCTGCTGGCGGATCGTGAGGCGCTTGCCGAGGCGGATGAGTTCTGGGTAGGAACGGCGAGGTTAGCATGGAGTGGGCGGATGAAGGGATGCCGGTCTGCGACGACGTACGCTGGTTGAAGAAGATGGCGAGGTGGCGGGGCTGGGACAGAGGAAACATGCGCACGAGGTCAATGTTGTCTTGCTCGAGCTTGGTGCGCATCGTGTTCAATTGGTCCTTGGTGAAGAGCCAATACCGCCGCTGCGTCGAGTCCCAGTAGCTGGCCGACATGCTGGGCAACTGGCGGACGCAGCCGCCCCGATGAAGCTCAGGAGAGGGATGATCGACTTCACATATACGGGACCGGCCGGGTGTCTGGCGTTCGAGATGCGCCTGTCGGAATCGAGGAGCTTTTCCTATCGCATACTGGCCCAGGGTGTGTTTTGTCGTCGGTGGCAGGCGAAGCCGATAAGGTGTAGTTGATTTTGCGGGGACGATAAGCTCCAAGCAGGCACTAACTCGACGCACATAGACACAGTATGGCCGATTGTTAGGCGAGGCCCAAGCGGCTTCTGTCCACCAACAAACGTAGCTGCAAATTGACAGGCTGACCACCCCAAGTGCGGAGCAGAGGTGCTTTTGGTGGTTATTCTTAGCTGTACTTTCACTTTTCTTACGTACCAACATGCTGCCCTGGGCCAAACTGGGAACAACCTCTACGACGCCATCCGAGGCCTGCCATCGTTGAATCACACCTGCATCAACACCACCACCCACGCCTCTGCAAATTGCTCCTATAATATTGCACAGCTGCCCCTAGACGACAGATCACCACACCGCCCGATCATGGTGCTATAGCATTTGCGCTTCCGACAACGCGAAACGCGATCGATCCCCATCCACAACCAACCCCCGGGGCTCCCGACCGCCCCCCTTCTAGACGACCGCCGCGAGCGATGCTGGCGCCATTATGAGCGTGTCCACGGGGATCCAAGAGGCGAGAAAGGCATTCGTCAGCCCCGAGCACGGCCATGACGACCTGATTGAGCTTCTCTGGAACTGCCTGGGGCCTAGCCCCGACGGTGATCTCGACTACAATGGCCTGCAGCGGGGTTTCCGGCGGCTCGACCATCGTGAGCCACAGCGCAATTGCACTGCAATGAGAGAGCATAATGCTGACTGTTTCAATCTTTTTTTTCGTTTTAGCCATGAAGAATGCAGACTCGATGGTCAAGAAGATTCTAAACGAGGTCGACAGCAACGGCGATGGCAAAATCCAATATCAAGGTAACACAAGCAAAGCCTGCAAACCTATCTACAAAGGATAGCAAGCTAACCCACTGCAGAGTTCAAAAACTTTGTCCAACGCGCGGACAAGGAGCTCTCCTCCCTCTTCAAGGCCATTGACAAGGATGGCGACGGAAAGCTCGACATGGCGGAGCTCAAGGCCGCCTTCAAAGCTGCCGGCCTAACTGTGTCCAGCAAGAAGCTCGACTGCTTCTTCAACGACATGGACATCAATCATGATGGCTACATTTCATATGAAGAATGGAGGTAGGCAATTTTTCTCCCCTGGTCTTGCGACACCCCCGCTCTTTGGATCTGGTGGCCTTGGTGTGCTCGTGGTTGGTTCGACGTCATCTGCCGCTTGGCTTCTGTCATGTGGCAGTAGCCCTAGACCACGACCAAGACTACGACCACGAGTTTAAGTAAATCGATAAGAAATCTGCCGCCAACGAACTCTGATGCGTTTTAAGTTTGGATTTGGAGATTTTTTTTGACTGATTGTGCGACAGATATTTCATGCTCTTTATGCCCGCTCACGAAGCCGACTCAAAACTGCAAGCCGTGCTAACATATTACGACGCCGTGGTAAATGTCACCCCTGAAGGCGACTCTGTCGTGAGCGACGATACTTTGGAAGGCTTAGGTACGGAAAGCACTTCCAGCTCTCTTCTTGACTCTCTTTTTGGTTCTCTATTCAGGATAGCCACCCCTGTGCCTTCTCCTCCTCCTCCTCCTCCTCACACCTCACAAGTGTATAGTGATACGCAAACTTCATTGGCATCTCTATCACCATCGTCGCCATCAATAGGCGAGGGGGAGGCAATCATGATTTTGATGGATGACGATGCGGAGGGCGCGGCAGATGCTGTTGCGCAATCACAAACAAGAGAACCCAGCGATGGCACCCCGGAGTTTGATGAGAATGAAGATGGCGATGTTGGTGTTGCGCCCAGATCATTTAAACTGACAGACTTTGCCCCCCATCCAGGTTATTTTCTCGCGGGTGCCATTGCTGGAGGTGTGTCGCGAACTGCAACCGCGCCTCTCGACCGATTAAAGGTCTATCTACTCGTGAACACGCAAAGCCGCGGCGAAACGGCGGTGGCGGCGTTCAAGAGGGGCAAGCCGCTGATTGCCCTAAAAAATGCTGCGCGACCTTTTAGCGATGCCATAAAAGATGTGTATCGGTCTGGAGGATTTCGCGGCTTCTTTGCTGGTGAGTGCAGAGTCGGCGCATGGTGTTGCGGCGTGGCTCAGGGCTAATGATGAGCAGGCAACGGGTTAAACGTGATCAAGATCATGCCCGAGACGGCGATTAAATTCGGCTCGTATGAAGCTGCTAAAAGAGCATTTGCAAACTTGGAAGGTCACGGAGACCCGCAAATGATTAACACGTTTTCCAAATTCACCGCGGGCGGTTTAGCCGGAATGATTGCGCAGTGAGTGACGGCAATGAGACACTTGCGATTTGGGTTCTAACAAATGGTAGATTCTGCGTGTACCCCCTTGATACCCTGAAATTCCGGCTGCAATGTTCAACGGTGGAAGGCGGTCCTAGCGGCGTGGCTTTGATGCGACAAACGGCCATCAAGATGTACGCGGACGGCGGCATCCGAGCCGGGTACCGTGGTGTGACGATGGGCCTGGTGGGCATGTTCCCGTACAGCGCGATTGACATGAGCACATTTGAGTTTCTCAAGAAGACGTACCGTGCGAGGATTGCCAAGCAGCTGGGCTACCATGAAGACGACGTGGAGGTAGGCAACGTGGCGACGGGCATCATCGGCGCGACATCAGGTGCCTTTGGAGCGACGGTTGTGTATCCGCTCAACGTCGTGCGAACGCGACTGCAGACACAAGGGACGGCAATGCACACGGCGACATACAACGGCATCTGGGACGTGACGCAGAAGACGATACAGAAAGAGGGCGTGCGGGGTCTGTACAAAGGTCTGACGCCGAACCTGCTCAAGGTGGCACCTGCGCTGAGCATAACGTGGGTCGTGTATGAGAACTCGAAAAAGGTTCTCGGACTGCATTAGCGAAATGAGGCATACGATACAATGGGCTGTATCATTGCAATTTGATTCTATTTGTTTGTGGCATATTGGAACGCAGATGGCCGTTGCATGGCCAGGAGGGATACTTTTCTTCAGAGTCTTTTTCTTTTCAAGTTAATGGGCGGAGAGCAAAGGCATGTTTTGAGCAAGTCTCGGGAAGAGACTTGTCTGGTACTAGAGGACAGGCTTGGCACTGATACATACCTACATATAAACAAAGGGCTGGGCGTATTTCTTTCGTGGATTTCTTTTGGATAGGGCGCGACAGAAATGAGAATTGCATAGAAGGAATGAGGAGGTCTTGAAGTATTGATATGCGGCGTTGTGATATGAAGCTTTGATGCGTTGTTGGAAAGAGTCGGCTTTCAGAAGACGGAGGTTGGTGCTGCCGGCGCATGAGTGCCGGAGCGGGTACCCGGAGCCAAACGGGTGGAGGAACGTCTGTCCGAGGATGGCGGCAGGACGGGCGGGTGGGGTTCTTCCTTCCTCCCCCCACAGCAGATCATGTTAAAATGAATATAAAGAAAAAGATAGAACGCGTACGTCGACTACGAAAGATGGGACATTGTTTCTCGTTTTGACGCTGGAACAGTCACAATAACGGGCAGCGGTGGAGAAAGGCCGCGTCGCCGGGTGGGAGAGCTGACGACAGCCTTATAGCTAGCGTGAACGTGGGGAGTGAGCTGCGGGGCGTGCTGGATAAGGCTGGGAACTTTTGTATTTGGTTCTGACTTCAAGATTGATTTTCGAAATGTACTGAGGATAGTATTCAGTGCTGCATAGTTATGACTCCGACAACTACGGTGGTCTAATAATGGGCATTTTCATCTGCGTTTGCTGCCAGCTGCCAGCTGCCAGCTGCCAACTTCAACGTCGGCCCGTCAAGCTGCCAGCTGGCGGACTTGGCGGTTAGCCGTCCCGGAGCTGGACGTTTGGGGGCTCCTTAGCGTCTTCAGCTGCTTCTTCGTTTAATTCGACGCTCTTTGCTTCGTCGTGGCGTTTACACGGCAATTAGAAAATGCAAAATGGAACACGCAATAGCCTTACTGTAATTAATACATATCTGGTAATAAATCTGTACATCAAACAATCACAGTTATTTCATTCGTCGTACTCTTCGTCACCGTCCGTGAGATATGCTGGTCCCTAGGGTGGCCACTAACAGCAGCCACCGTCTGCTCCTTGCAGCTAGCCTCATCGCTGGCGCAATCCCATTACAACCACCATCACCTCACTCCCACGCTCTGCAGCCTCTTCTTCTTCCCTCTTCATCCTCCTTCTGCTTCCGGCCCTCTCGTTTCCCCGCCCCGCGGCGCAATTACGTCCATAACATTTCCTCAAATCATCAGTCACTGAGACGAATTTACACAATCTCTCCCTGGACGCTTGCGTCACCCTTCGCCGCCGCCATGCCCTCTCCATACTCGGACAACCTCTACTCGGACCCGGACCCTGCAGGCTCAAACCCTGCAGCGAACCGTGACGACGATGCTTCCGCCGCCTCAGCCCTGTCCCCTTCGGATGGATACTTTCGCAATGACGATGACTCCGCCGTCTCACCTACCTCCCAACAGCCCTCCCATGCGTCGCGTCGCTCTGGCAGTACGCCCTACGTGCCCAATGTCTTGGTCGCGGATCCCACCCTAGCCAAGGATCCCGACTCCAAGGCTCAGATTGCGCAGCATCTGATAAATAGCGACGCTGCCCCTGGCGCCGCCTCCACCTCTTCTCCCCATCCTCATCACAACCCCGAGTCGTACTACTACCCATCCGCCTCTCCATCTGTCTCAGGCGCCTCCATCGCCACGCCCAGCACAGTCACCTCCTACCCCTACGCGCAGAGCAATCGTCACCACTCCAGTGTGCAGGACGGACCCTCGCAACAGCAACACCGGCAGCTTCACGTCAACACGGCGCCCCAGCACCACCCCTCCAACTACAATCCCTCAGCCTACCAAGGACGAGGTGACGCGCCGCCTGCCTACACCCCGTCGTCGCCGGACAACGACCCCAACCGCCACAGCTACTCTACCTTCCCCTCGTCGACGCCTCCCAGGATGGGCGTTCCCGAAGAACACGATCGGCTACTGTCTCCTCACCAGCAGCAAGCCTTCTCCGACCCGCCCAAGCAACCCCTCTGGCAGCGTATCAGAGAGTCCCACGACTCGGGCTCTCTGCGCAAGAAGGTGAAGAAGATTCTCGGCATCCTCGTCTTTGTTTCCATTATCTTGGTCTTTATGGGCTTCAACATGTCTGGACCCGCGTATAGAGTAAGTCCTACCCCAACGCCATAACTTGACCACTACTGACGATCACAGAAACGCATCATTGACAAGTCTCCCATTCGTATCCCTGACATGGATGAGAGCGAGTTGGTCTGGCATCCCGGGAGATCATGCCGCGATAGCCCTCACACTTATCCCAAAGAGACCTTCCACGCCAGCCCCAGCTCCGATAGAGTGCTCTTCATTGAGCAGACCATCCGCAAGAGGGGTTGGACGGAACCTAACGGTCCCATGCCCAGCGTCAACGGCGAAGTGATTCTGCGCCCCACCAAGTCTGGGAAGGCGGAACTTGACGTTGAAATTATTGCCAACTACAAGGATTTGGACATCGACGTTGAGTTCAGCACCAACGGCGGTACAGACCACCTCAAAGTTACCACGCCCCGCGTTGTCCCAGATGCCTCGTCCCGCGACGTCTGTATTCAGATCCGCATTACCGCCTGGATCCCTGAAAAAGCCCTCGTCAATGCCCTCTCCGTGAGCACCGTCTCCCTCAACGTCTTTGTCCAAGAGGGCCTGGCCCTTGGCGCTGAGAATGAGGTCAACTTTTCCACTGTTGCCGGCAACCTCATATTTCCAGCCGACGATTCCGACGTCGAGCCCTACAAGCTGGAGGCCCCTAGCTACAAGTACTCGACCGTCTCGGGCGATGTTAAGGGCTGGCTCCCCATGTACCACAACCTGCGAGCCAACACCGTCTCGGGCAATATTTTCGGCCAGATTACACACAAGGACATTGTGCTTAAGGAGTCCGAGTCCTCGCTGCTGGATATCTCTTCTGTGTCCGGAGAGCTCAAAATCAACGATGGCAGCCAGGACGTGGGAGCAGCTGGTGCCAAGATCCCCGCGCGCGACTACCTCGTGAAGTTGTCGACGACGTCCGGCGACATCACTGCCAACGTTTTCATCGGCTCGTCGTCCGCGTTTGCCTCAACATCAGGCAACTTCAAGCTCGAGCTCGTGCCCGTCCTGGATGACCGCTGGCTGCACACCTCCTGGCGCCCGCTGCTCAAGACGGAGAGCACCAGCGGCGATCACCGCGTGCAGATTTCCGAGCCGCAGTTCATCACCATTCCCGACAAGATGAACCCGCACAAGCGGCCCACGCTCCCCGAGACAGACAAGGACAAGCAGAACAAGGAGGCACCCAACCAGGACGGCCCGGAAATGAAGCGCCGTCGCGTCACGACGAACAAGCGCGGCCTCACTGCGTTCGAGTCACGCCACTCGTCCATCAGCGGCAGCTTGCACCTGCACTACCCCGGCTCCTGGGAAGGCATGTTTTCGGCCGACGCCATGTCGTCGGACATAACCGTGCGCGGCAAGGACGTTGTCGTGGACAAGAAGAAGGGCGGCTTCGTCGGGAAGACTGTTGCCGGGCACAAGGGCGACGGCACCTCGTCGCTCAAGATTAACGAGTTGTCGGGCAACGTCGTCTTGACTATCGGGCAAGAGTAGGGAATCGCGTGAGGGGCTAATATTTATCTAGCGGATCGCAGAGTAACATAGTTTTATGTTGTTGTTTTTTATCACTCTTTTGGCTGAGCAAAACTGGAGGCTTACTGTATACGATTTCTCTTCATAATAGCATATAATTTCATCGACTATGCCTCTTGATGGTGATGATAATAATGATAATAATGATAGTGATGACACCCTCGACGCCGTCGCCATCAAAGAGAAGGAGGCCGCTGATGGCCAGGACGATCGCGTCTGGCACCAGGAACGTACGCCACGCGCTCCGGTGCTGTAGCCGCCATTAAAGAAGCGGTCATCGTCGTCAGGGTCGCCCGACAAGGCCTCCGACACCAGCTCCTTGTCCCGCTTGGGCGCGTCCTTGGCGCGTCGGCAGCTCTCTGCTCTACCGCTCAGCACCGAGGGCATCGTCAAGGGCCAGCTGTAGAGCGCCACTGCGCTGCCAGACACCATCCGAGACGCGCTGAGCTGCATTCACCGCCTGGAGCGCGGCCGCGGCGTTCTGCACCGCGACTCGTCTTCCCTTCCGACACTGGTGAGGATATGGACCTGCAGCGCATGCTGCGTGAGTTTGACCTCGCGGATGATGTCTTTTGAGAAACGCGGAGGCGAGCCGGCTACGGTCGGACGACGTTCGCAGCATCTCGCACAGTGCCTCGCGGTGCGATCTAATGGATCACGACGAGCCCGTTTGGAATGCCGAGGCTCACAATCCTTTGCGGAGCAAGGGGCTTCGAGGTCTCGATCCTGTCTCTCCGCCTACACTCGTAGATTTTACTCTGTGGTAAGTTTCTGGTACCTACGACAAGCATGCCTTGTCCCAATTGGTCGCTCACCATTGCTAGTACGACGGCTGCTATCATCAAGGAGTATCTCACGGTGTCCGGTGTGGATAAGCGCATCGACTTTTGCATGTACATTGATGCTTCTGCGGATGCGGCCGCGCCGCATCCCCCCGCCGCCATCGACGACCTTCGGACCTCGCTACCACAAAGCAGCATTAATCACAATCGTGCATCGCTCTCGGCGCCTACCCCCTAGCGGTCAGCCTGGAGACTAAGAGAACCAGGCACGACTATGACAACGCGCTTCTGCAGACCGGGACCTGGCACACGGCGCAGTGGAAGTAGCTCCGGTCCCTTCTCGGTCTGGCCGCAGCGAGCTGTCTCGAGGACGAAGGTGAGGGCGCAGACGCGGCGGAATTCGCCGAACGCTACGTTAGCGACGCGTTGAGCAAGCTGCAAGCGCTTCATGGAATCCTGATTTAGGGCCACGATTGGATCTATGTCGCCAGCTCCCCTGAGGAGTTAACATCACCAACACCCAACAGGCCATCGAAAAGAACAGTACGTCTTCTCATATACAACTGCTAATAGTAGCATAATCCTCACCATCGTTACTATCCCTACTATCCCTACCATCACTACTCTCTTATCGCCCAAGCATTCTAGTCTACTAACGTACTAATCTCTCTCTGCGTAGATTCTCTGGCTCTATAAGCAGTTTGGTGGCACCAACTCTGCTCTTGGTATCCACCAGATTGCCGCCTGTTTAGGATACTTGAGGACTTGGTCTTCCGAGACTTACTGGCCCTGGTTCAAGCGTTACATGCTTCTTTTAGACTCTTAGCCTGGTCGCGTAGCGGGTGGCGGAGACGGCGGTCCATCCTGGCATCAAACGTGCTCGAGACGAGAACACCATAGCCGTTGATCTCACCGAGCCAAGGCTAAGAATGTGGTCTGCCTTGCTTGCGGACTGAGTGTAAAAGAGGGCCCTCGCGGGTCCGGGTCCTCTCAGTGATGTGCTGAAGCTCTTCTTTGGCGTCTCATGAGCAATTGGAGACGTGCCCAGACAGTGCCAGTACCATCGCATTCTCGGGTGTGATAGGGTCTGAAAAAGATTTATTGAGAGGACACAAATATATCTCTTTTTGTGTTTCTTTCTTTGTCATTTTTGGAATCAATGCTGTCGCTGCCAAAATTTTGCTGTTGTGCTGGCTCTTAGAACAATTAATATCGATAACGATAAGATAAAGAGTTAGCTCAGGCAATGCTCGCTTACCCTGCGCACGTGACGCACAACTGCAAAAAAACTATCTGCCCCACACCATCCAGCGAATTTCGAGTTCCCCAGCCAGCCTCGAATTTTCGCCTTGTTCTTCAACCACCGACCGACGACAACCTCTTCCGACAACCTCCCCCCGACGGAATATATATACAATGGCCAAGGAAGCCACTGCTAAGACCGGCCTCGCCGTTGGCCTCAACAAGGGTCACGTACGTGTTTTGTCATGATGCTCTCACCTCGTGGAGGATCTCTGCAAAGAAAAAAAAAACCTTCAGTGGTTCTTCGCGAGAGTGAAGAATGCAACAACCACCTTCAATCCTGCAGACGATGGACGCTGACATTCGACTTTTCGCCCGAAATATAGAAGACCACTGCTCGCGTTGTCAAGCCCCGCGTCTCCCGCACCAAGGGCCACCTCAGCAAGCGCACCGCCTTCGTCCGCGAGGTCGTCAAGGAGGTCGCCGGCCTCGCCCCCTACGAGCGCCGCGTCATCGAACTCCTCCGCAACTCGCGCGACAAGCGTGCCCGCAAGCTCGCCAAGAAGAGAGTGCGTCCTCGCCCCGACCCCCCCCCCCCCGGGGGCATCGCAGCTCGGTACCTTTGGCCGTGCCAAGAGAAAGGTCGACGAGCTCCAGCGCGTCATCGCCGACTCCCGCCGTACCGCTCACTAAACGAGTTCTTCCGCACCTGGTGACGGAGACGATGGAGAGATGAGGAGGAGTCCCCCGACGGGGAAGAAGATTCCCTTTGTTTGGCGACCCCGACAGAACAAAAAAAGCCCCCGGAAGCATATGAAATGAACCTTTTTTTAAAGAACTGTAACGGCGTGGGATTTTCATTTTGGGATTTTTACATCAAAAAACACGGCTTGCACGGATCCGATCGAGTTCGGTCAGGCTATATAGGCTTCCGCCGCATCGTACAAAACGACATGCGCTGAATACCACCACTTTACGATCACTCAGGAGACACGTGCGATGCTGTTGGATGTCGTGATATTGAACAAAAACTTCATGTGGATTCTAGCACCTTAAAAATAACGCCGCGTAATGTGCATATGCTGTACTATTTCTTGCCCAGCTTCAACCACTTGGGCACCTTGGAACCTCCCTTGCCATCACCTGCCTTGTCTGTCCCGCGGCCGTCGTCCTTGCTCGGCGCAGGCTTTGTCGTCTCCTCCAATTCGTACGTAGGTAGTTCAGGTACCTCAATCTCGCGCCCCTGGCGCGCGATCGCGGCCTTGAGGAACGGCAACCGTCGCTTCGCCGGCGGCACGTCGTCAGTCCAAAGCAGGTTGACGAGTACACGGCCGTGCATCTTGTAGTCGGCGATGAGGGCGTGCGTAGGGCCGGCTTCGTCTCTGACCACGCGTCGAGTGCTCCCAGGAAGGACGAGGCGAAACGGTAGCGTCGGGTCAGCCATGACATGCCTGACGGCAGCGTGCAGTACGGCGCCAGTCGCAGCGTGGTCCATCTGCCAGTCGCTGCTCGTGTTGTCCGGGAAGCGCACCTTGACGAGCACCGACTTGATTGCGGCGACGCGAGCCTGCTCGTCGGCCGCTCGGGCCGCGAGCTCCTGGTCTGATGGCAGTCGCTTGTTGCGTCCGCTTTGCTGCAGTTGGCTCTGGTGCAACTTGGCATGCGCGACGGTCGGTGTAAAGTCAGACTCATCTGCCGGCGCCAGCGCTGCAGCGGGTGTGCTGTTGGACGGGGCCAGGAAGACACCGACAGGCTCGTAGGGATCTTTCGACTCCGAAACGGGAGCGGCTGCTGGTGCCGTCTCTGCGAGTGATTGCGTAGCTGATGGCGCCTCAGTCATGGGCGTATCCGACACCTGCACGGGCTGCGCCTCCTCCGCTTTTGGTTCTGTTGTCGGTGCCGAATCCGCCCCTGCTTGTGACTGCGCGGGTGCGCTCTTCTCCTCGCTCGTCTCCTTAAAGTACTGGCCAATCTGTTCCATGGCCTCGAACAACGTTTGGTCCGTCGTCTTGAAGGTCAAGCGAACCAGCACGCTGCCCGAATTATGCCCGAGCTGCGCCAGCGTCTTTTGAAAGTCGGCAAACGTCGTGTAATCGCGGCCCATGATATTGAGGACGGGAGTTTCGTAGTATAGCTGGCCCGCACCGAAAGCGCCAGCCGCGCTTGTCCGGGCAACTCCGCGCGCTGTGATGTTGATGTTGCGCCCTGCGCTGGCGTCGGTGCCGCTCTCGAGCTGCCGCAGCACGCCCCATAGCGTGAGGTCCGAGGGCAGCCGCTTGATGAGCCGGCCGCCGGGGACCTCCTTGGCTTCGGGCTGCGGCAGCTGCAGACCGATCTGTACGGCCGACGGCGTGTTGGAGCGCTGGACGAGCTCGAGCTTGGCGCCGCCGACGAGGCCTGAGGTGCGGAAGGGGACGGTGAGGTCGACTGTTTTTTGCTTGTGCCTGGGTAGGCAGTCAGTAAGGGAAGAGATATGTGGTTAGATGAGATGCCTACTTGAGTATGAACTTGTCGCTAGAGATGCTGAGCTTCTTGCACGCTTCTTGCAAGACATCTATTAGGTAGGTGCCCGGAGTGACTTTGATAGTGGCACGACGCAGGTCCGCGCCGATGACGACGACGTGCGTCGACATGGCAGCGGTAGAACTGGGAGATGATGCAAATGAAAGAACTATTGTATTGAGATGGCGCCTCTGTTCGTTATCTAGGTTGACAGAAAGGTACAGCTGCAGCAACTAAGCCGCCGTTGCGAGCTTCTCGAACAATCCGCAGGCAGGTGGGAGCTTGACGTGGGGTTGCTTACCAGGTCATGGTGGCGTACAAGCTTGGCAAACGAGACTCATAACCGCTGCAATTATAGCGCTCTTCAGCGCTGTATTTTGGGTGGTCTTCAGTAGGCAGCATAGGGCAACGCTCCAGCTTACGTGGTTGGTTTAGGCGGGGATTTGCCGGCCGCTGGCCGCGCCAGTCGTGTTTGCCTTGCGCTACGCTTCTACCTGGCCAGCCCGGTCGTGCTGCTGGGGAGCTCTAGCTTCATCATATCCGCGAGAGCTTCATCCAACCCTCTTCCCGCAGTACATCAATCCAATCCGTGCCATAGACCATCCGACAGAGTCCCCGTGTTTCAAAACCCATCAGCGCAGTATATACCGGCTCGCGTTGTCAACACCACATAGCTTCAGATACCCGCCATGGTAAGCTCTCGTTTGTCTGCTTAGGTCGTCACTGCGTTGTCTTGTTAACCATCTCGCGTTTAGTCGTCTCCCTTTTCGATCAGTCAGTAGCCCGTCCCCCCTCCACCGATCCTCGCTCCTTCAAAGCCATCGATCCCTCCATCGTCGCGAAACTCAAGAGCCAACACTAACCCATCCCCAGATGGCGGTGCCTGCGTCGCCATGGTCGGCAAGGACTGCGTCGCCATCGCCTGCGACCTCCGCCTCGGCCTCCAGGCCCTGACCGTGTCCAACAACTTCCCCAAGATCTTCCAGTACGGCGACGTCTTCCTCGGCCTCACCGGCCTCGCCACCGATGTCAGCACCGTCAGCGATCTCTTCCGTTACAAGGTCAACATGTACCGCCTTCGCGAGGAGCGTGACATTGCCCCGCGTACCTTTGCCAACCTCGTCTCCTCGTCCCTGTACGAGCGCCGCTTTGGCCCCTACTTCATCTCCCCCGTCGTCGCCGGCCTCGACCCCAAGACCGGCAAGCCCTTCATCTGTGGCTTTGACAGCATAGGCTGCATCGACTTTGCCAAGGACTTCATCGTCGCTGGCACGGCGTCCGATCAGCTGTTTGGCATGTGTGAGGGCCTGTATGAGCCTGATTTGGTAAGTTCAGACCCAGATACATGCGAAAAGTCTGCTCTTGCTCACTGACAAATTAGGAACCCGATGCGCTCTTCGAGACCATTTCCCAGGCACTGCTGTGTGCTGTCGATAGAGATGCCCTATCTGGCTGGGGTGCCCACGTGTACATTATCGAAAAGGGCAAGATTACCAAGAGATTACTAAAGGGCCGTCAGGATTAAAGCATGTACGAATAGATATTCAAAGACTTTTATATTCTACTAAATGTGCAACTGTCTATCCTCGTTTGTGATAATCTATATTTTTACAGGTCCTTCTTGATGACTCTTTTGGCCACAGGAGTAATCTTCTGCATGAAAAACTGGCGCTCAAAAAACTTGAGAATCTCATCGAGAAGACTAGACAAATTAGCAGGTGTGCAAACGGTGGAGACATACAAGACTTACATGACGGGAGCGCTAATAACAATCACCGCCTTCCACTCGACCCAGTTCAGGGGCAGGATAGCAAACAGAGTCTGCAGGACGGGCGTGTAGAGCAGAGCAAAGTGCAGAGCCATCGACAGTGCAATGGCGTAGACGAGCATCATGTTCTTCCACAGAGGCAGGGTCAACAGGGACTCGCTCGAGGAAAGGGCATTCATGGCGTTGAACATTTCGATCGTGACCAGGATGGAGAGGGAGACGGTGGATCCCGCCTTGGCCATGTCGTTGGAGAACATCTGGCAGCCAATCTCGGGGAACTCGGTCGAACAGTGGTGGAAGCGGGAAAGCTGCGAGAAGCTAATCTGGGGTCCGGCAGGGTAGTACATGAACCACCAGGCGTAGCCGGCAACCGTTGCGAGACCAACGTAGGTGCCGATAATCAGGTAGCGGAAGAACAGCCAGCCGCCGATCAGCTTCTCATCTCTCTTGCGAGGCTGCCGCTTCATGATGTCGTGGTCGGGAGGGTTGAATGAGAGAGCCGTCGCGGGAAGACCATCGGTGACCAGGTTGACCCAGAGAAGCTGAACAGGAATCAGGGCCTCGGGCATGCCAAGCGCCGCAGTCAGGAAAATAGAGACGACTTCACCAATGTTGGACGAGATGAGGTAGCGGATGAACTGTTGAGTATTGTTGTAAATGGAGCGACCCTCCTCAATGGCGACCTCGATGGTGGCAAAGTTGCTGTCAGCGAGAACCATGTCGGCGGCCAGCTTGGAGACGTCGGTGCCGGAGCCCATGGCAACACCAATATCAGCCTTCTTCAGAGCAGGGGCATCGTTGACACCGTCGCCGGTCATGGCAACGACCTCGCCAAGAGACTGGAGTAGATCAACCAGACGGGACTTGTGGCCAGGCTCAACACGGGAGAATAGGGAGGCACGTTTAGCAGCCTCAAGCTGCTCACCAGGGCTCAGGTTATCGAATTCACGGCCAGTGTAGCTCTTGCCAGTAAGATCTTCGCTCTCGCCAAAGACGCCAATCTGTCGGCAAATGCTCTCGGCAGTGTTTCGGTTATCACCGGTGATAACGATAATCCGGATACCTGCAGCCTTGCACTGCTTGACAGACTGGGGAACTTCGGGACGAGGAGGATCAAGCATGCCAACGAGACCGAGGAAAGTCATGTCTTGCTCAAGCTCAGCGTACTGTTCGTTAGACTTGGCGGTGGCGGCAAGGCGGTTCTTGGAGACATCATCAATGCTGGCAAGGGCAATGATACGCATGCCGCGGTTACCATAGTCGACGACTTCCTTCATGAGGACTTCAGAGATCTTGCTAGTGAGAGGAACGCGCTTGCCATCGGCGCCAACGGTAGCGTGGGTGCAGCGATCAACGATGGACTCGGGAGCACCCTTGACAAGGAGCTTCTTCTTCTTGCCATCGGCGACGATGACAGACATGCTCTTGCGATCGCGAGAGAATTCAAAGGTAGAAAGTCTAGGAAGGCCTTCTTCAAGATTTGCGCTGGCGTAATGAAGCGCCTCGTGGACATTCGTACCGGCGGGAGCGATAGGACCGAGCTTCTCAACCAGGACACGGAGAGCACCTTCAGTGGGCTCGCCAACACTCGAGTAGTGGCCGGTCTTGTCATCATAGGCCAGGTGAGCATCGTTGCAGAGAGCAGCGACCTCAGCCATCTGCTGAATGGTGGCCGACTGTTCAGTCAGGTTTCTGACGGCCTTGCCGTTGCTTCGGATGTCACCCTTGGGAGAAAAGGTGGTGCCCTCAACATCGAGCTCAATCAGGTCCTGGCCAGCTTCATTGAGGTAGACAATCTTGTTGACGCTCATTTGGTTGGTGGTGAGAGTTCCGGTCTTGTCGGAGCAAATAACGCTGCAGCTACCAAGAGTCTCGACAGAGGGAAGGCTGCGAACAACGGCATTCTTGGCAGCCATCTTGCGGGTGCCAAGAGCGAGACAGGTGGTGATGACAACGGCGAGACCTTCGGGAATGGCAGCGACACCAAGGGAGACGGCAATCTTGAGGTAGTAAATAGCACCCTTGGTCCAGCTCCCGTGGCTGGGATCGTTGAAGTTGGGAATGTTAATGAGCCAGACGAGGACGCAGATGACGGTAATGACCTTGGCGAGGCTGTCGCCAAAGTCGTTGAGCTTCTGCTTAAGAGGCGTGGGTTCCGAGATCTGAGCAGTAATAGACTCATGGATGTCACCGATGGCAGTGTTGGAGCCGGTGAGGGCAACGACGGCGCGAGCGCGACCGACAACAACCGTAGTACCAGAGAAGAGCATGTTCACTTGGTCCTGAAGGACTGCCTTGTCGTCCTTGACGACAGCACCAGCATCCTTACCAACGCTCTCACTTTCGCCGGTGAGAATAGCCTGGTCGACAGAGAAGCTGTTGCTTTCAATAGCAATCACACGGCAGTCAGCCGGGATGCGGTCACCGACAGAAACGGAGATGATATCACCGGGGACCAGGTCGTCGGCCTTGACGCGCGACACGTGGCCACCGTTTCGGATGACGTTGGCTTCGTTGGCAGAGTATTCCTGGAGGGCAGCAATGGCCTTTTCGGCGCTGCTTTCTTGCGAGACGCCGACGACAGCGTTGAGGATAAGAATGGTGAGGATCTGAGAATTAGCTAAGTTGGCGCTGACGGGGCAGGCGAGCACTCACAACAGCAGGGTCGACGAAGGCGCTCCAGCCGCCCTCCTCTTCAAAAAGAGCAAGGACAAACGACACAGCGGCAGAACCAAGCAAAATCAGAACCAGTTGGTCCTTAAACTGCTCAAGAATGAGCTCCCACAGAGGGGTAGGCGGGTCCTCGGGAATCGCTGCGACAGTCAGTAAAGTCAGAGGAGAGGCGAGGAGATTGGGGCGAAATTGGGCGTACAGTTGCGACCATGCTTGGCGCGCAGCTCGTCAACTTGCTTGTCAGTCAGACCGTCATGGTCATTGACGTTGAAGTTGGCGAGGACCTTCTTAATGGGTGTGGCAAAGGCGCTCTCCATGGTGTTGGCGTCGCGACGAGTCGGCAGGTCGGCAATGGTCAAAGCGACTTTGGGGATGCTTCGTATGCGGCTCGGGGCCAATTGAAGTAGGCGCCTTGATGTAAACGACTGAATCAAAGGCAGACCGACGATGAACAAGGAGAAAAGCAGAATGCTAGTGCTTGGAAGCGTGAGAAACCTGAGATTTGTCAGGCTGCGTGCCCCACGTGGCTGTGTATGCAGTGGCTTCGATGACTTTTGTCGGCCAAGAGGTGACCCCAAGAAAATGCTGTACGTGTTCGTTTGAGTTTGGTTCTTGGCCAATGAGAAAGGTCCACAGCGGGTTGGCCTGGCGCAAAAGGCCCCGGAGGCGCTAACCGTTAGGGGCGTTGGGTGGCTTTTGGTGGTGGCCCAGCCCCCGAGAGTGCCTGGAGGGCCGGCGGGAAGCGCCTGAGGACCTGTAAAGTCCCCGGAAGTACCTGGTTTAGTAAGCCGACGTGCCTCAAGCCCAACCCCGAGAATCTCCCGCCCGCCAATCCTCTCCTGGCTAGCGCTTGACGGCCCCAGGCTCAATAAGTCTCTCGGTTAGTAAAACCGACGAATAAACCTGGCGTTGGATCTCGGCGCTCGGTGAGCTAGGTCGATGGTCGAAATAGATGCGTTCGATACGAGATCGGGCGGAGATGCACCCTGCGAGATGCATAAAAAAATATGAGTGGGTAGGGTATATCTGCGATGGAGCTGCATCTGCGTCGCTGCCCGGCCGACCTCCAGCGTCTTCCTTCCTTGTTCGCTACCTGCCTGCCACTCACTCAGTAACCTCACTGCCAGCTGCTCGCCTCCGCCCGCCAACGGCCCGTCCGTTCGTCCACATCATGGCCGCCAGCTGCATCACCCATCATCCCATGCAGTCTGGGGTGTGCAATTTTGACTTTTTGGAGCTTTTTTGAATCTTGTCTTTCTTGGGCCAGAATGACTTCTACAGACTCTTCCCTTGAAAGCTCCGACCTAGACACCAAGCCATCCAGTCAGTCCTCTCTCGACGAGCCATGCAACTGCAGCTTCGCCCAAGACTGTGAACCACAATCAATTGCATTGCCGGAATCGACCGACAGCGAAGACTCCTATCAAGATGCATTGTCCCAATTGGGCTCCGATAATGCAAGCCAGATTGTCACCTTGCAGCCTGTTCGTCGCTTCTCAAGATGGATGTCCTCTCTCCGTCGACGCACCATCCAACGGCACCTGCTAGCTAATGAAAAGCCTGCATTTTTATTTGACCTTAGTGGTAAGCCACAGCTCATTCATCGAGATTCGTCATCGGGCTCCTCCTTTGGTTTTGTGACCGGAGTGAGGAGTGCCACTGTCAGCATATCCAGCACACGGATTGCCAGATCTACTGGCCGCTCAATCCGGACGCCACTGGGAAGATCCTCGGAGGAGAGCACAGGCCGCATTACACCAACAGACAGATTTTCCGTCGAGAGAGCCCTCCGCCGCCGACGTATACTGGAGGAGCTGATCCAGACTGAGGAGAGCTATGTTGGCGACATTCGACTGCTCATGAACGTATATGTGACGACGTTTGCCGCTTGCCCAGACCACGATTCGCTGCGGCTCGCCATCCACCAAAATCTTTCGGAGCTTTTACGCCTCCACGACGAGATTTTAGGAGAGCTGCATCGCGCGGTTCCGTATTCCGAATACTCGTATGCTGATACTGTGCCTAAAGGCCATCGACGCTGGACAAGCGTCGACCTCGGCCGACCAGATATGCTGGCCGATCCCCAAACCGCCGCTGAGGTGGCCAAACTCTTTTCCCAAAAGGTATGTACTCAATTCAGTTATTACACGACTCTTTTTTCTAAGTCTATTTCAGGTCAAAAGATTTTTTGTGTATGAAGAATACGGTGCACGCCACGAGAAGATGCTCCAGAGCTTGCCGGACCCAAGTCAAAGCTGCCGAGGCATCGAGGCACTGGCGTCTACACTCCACCCCATCAGACAGCGCGGAGTACGAAAATCATATACCCTTCATGACTTGATGATCAAGGTAGGTACTGCCAAAAATTAATTCGCAGTCAGAGCTGACCGTCCAGCCCATTCAACGCGTCTGTCGATACCCACTGTTGTTTGCAGAGCTCCTCAAGACCACGCCCGTGTGTGATTGTCCAAACTCACACATCGAAGTCGAAAGCACTCTCATTCGCCTTCGTGAAGCTACCTGCGTCATCAACAAAGCCACTGATGACGCAAACACCAAAGCCCGACTAGAGCAGACATGGATTTTGCAAGACCGACTTGCATTTCCCAGAAGGGTATGTATTGCGGCTCCCGTAATCACCTCTCACTAATCTTTTTAGAAACTTGATTCCTCTTCCAAAAGTCACGTTCGTTCATTCGGGCAAATTCGACTCTGTGGAGTATTGCACATCTGTTGGCAGGGACCACGAGCTGTCGATGGCATGTACATGATATGTCTGTTGTACCGAGATGTGTTTTGCCTTGCTACTACCGGGAAATTGGATGCCGTTTATGATATCAAGGCTTGTATCAATATTCACAAAGCCAAGCTGGAAGAGACAGACGATGGACGAGGTAGGTCTTTTCCTTTCCACTCTGGCTTAATTAACTTTGCAGGTTTGCAATGCCATACCGCGCCGTTTTCTTGGAAACTAGTATTTGAATGCGATCATCAATTATACGAGCTCATTATGACGGCATGCACCGCACGGGAAGAGTCGGAATGGCGAGAGCACCTCGCAACCAGCGCCAAGGATGAAGACGAAGGCGCAGTTGATGCCTACACCACTTTGGCATTAGATATCAAAGGCTTTGGATCCATTTTTGGAAAGCCAGGTAAATATGCTAATACCCTGAGGATCTAATCGTGCTAACAAAGCAGGATCGGTTGCGCGGCGCATCTCGATTCACCGCGCTACTACGCTTGGAGCGAGGCTGCCGCATAACCAAGTCATTCTGAAGAATACAAGCGTCAAGGACAGCAGCTCGGCTACTTTGTCGATCAATCGTTCACAGTCCCTGCTTACGACTCAGAGAACTCTAGTCCTAGCGCCCGATCGTAGCGAAAGGGCTCGTCTCGAAGCGTTGGTGTCAGATGTTTGGAGCCGCTAGGCGCTGCCCTTTCCCGGCATGTCAACACGATCGAGACCAGAGCAGCTGATGAGGGTGTCGGCGTCGTCTGTGATCCGAAAATTTAGTGCATCGGGGTTTGCCAATTCAATTGGCAGAAAGTCGAGCGGGACAAAGCAACGAGCACGGTCAGATACCCTTTCGGGAGACGACGATCCCAGCGACGATGCTTCCTCGAGATTAAGTCTCAAGCTCAGACCGAGTGAGGAGAGGCGCAAAACGTACAGGTCCCGGTCGCTCAAGACACGTTTGGGCAGGTCGGACAAGACGGCAGAGAAGAGCGTCCGGGGACTTTGGCGCGGGGAGAGAGACTGCAACGGCCGCAGCCTTCGTGGACTCTTTGGATGAGGTGTGGGCTGGAGCTGGAACTAGAGCCGGAACTGGAGCTGTCGGCAGATTAACGTTGTACACTACTTAGCGAATCAGAATAGCAATAGCAGGCCCAGCAGCGGGCTTTCTTGGTGGCTTCTTCTACCACATTCTACCAAGAAAAGATGGCTGTACCTGACAGGGGTCTAATATTGGCATTGATTCACCTTGACCCTGGCGAGTGAGGGCAATGTGAGGACGATGACGTTGTTTGAGGCAGGGCCGTGGTACCCATCATTGGCGGGGCGTTTCGCGGTGAAGAAAGTACCAGGAAGACGTAAACTGCCAGCAAAAATGGGTGGAGAGATACCTGTCCCAAAGCAGCCGTGACATTGCAGGGTTCTCCACCATAGCAATCACGATGACGTCGACGCTCTAGAAGCAGCTCCCCGCTCCAACAAGCTTTCAGCTCTATAAATGCATCTCGTAGTCTGCTGATTGAGCTGCATCCTGATCCAATTCATCAATCCCAGCTTCACTTTCATCTAGTGTGCGAATCATACCCTCAACTTGCACATCACCTTCTCAACTTCACATCACCAAGCAAGCACTCACCAGTTCTACCCTGCTAGACCCCCAGAACATCACGCGACCTCACCCGCAAACACCACAAAACCGTCAAGATGACCCGCGGCGAGACTATCCAGACCAAGTGCCACTACAAGGGCAACAACGATGACTTCATCATCTTCATCGACGACGTCGACACTTACAACAAGTGGAAGACGGACAAGAGCATCCCCATGGCTCACTTCATCTCCTCCTTCCGCATCTTCCTCACCAACAAGTAAGTGGTCTCGAACCGCCTACCCCGCCCGGGGCAACCCCCCCGCGTCCAACGTGTGTGTGTGCGCGCGCTAACGCATCCCTCTTCTTCTTAGGCACGGTGCTCAAGGCCAGCTCGACGCGGCGCCCAAGCATGTCCTGGCCGCCGAGTTCGACACGGAGGACGAGGACGAGGTGATTAAGAAGATCCTGGACAAGGGCAGCCTGCAACAGTCCGAGGTAAGACAAACCCCCCCCATCCGCTTCGTTTGCGGTGTGCAGCGTGATTTACGTGATGCGATGCTGACTTTTGTTGGACGGCGGTTAGATGCCGGCGCGTCAAGGACCCAAGAACGACTCGATGAGCTCCATGAACGCCAAGTAGACGGAGCGTGAGTGAGGGACTGGGAGCGGGGGGGAGGGGGCCGGGAATGGCCTGCTCCAATCTCCTGGCTTAGGGAAAGTTGTTCCTTCATCAGGAAATGGGCCGAGCGGCCGAATCAGACACCTTAGCATGAGGAGGTAGCTTATGAATGTACTTTTATGATGATTGCAAAAAAAAAAAAAGATTTCTCCCTTGATGACGATTATAAATTTTTGGCTTCGATGGTGACTTCAAAAGTCCTTGCTGCGCGCGTAAAGGGGCGGGTGTGACGCTTGTGGCGGTGGCGGTGGCGGTTAAGAGATGAAAACCCAGGAACGCGGGAAAAATGGCAAGATTTCATTTGGAATTTAAATTTGGAATGAACTATATCGGCAAACCGGGCGATGTGGTGGGCGGCCAAGCCTGTCGTGCGCATGATGGCGGTGCGACAACAATGAGGCAGGGATCGTTTCAACATTGGCGCCACAGGGAAGGCGGGTACGACAAGTTACGGAAATAGTCACCAGGGATGGTACAAAGTGGGATGTGAGAGTCTTGTCATATAGTTGGAGCGTTAAAATAGTGTGTGTAATAGAGAGAGGAAGAAAAAAGTCCAAGATTGGCTTGTTTGACCAACAGGAGATGTAACACTGCTCGAACAATTGACCGTCTACCAATACCGCCGCTATCCAGCCAAAAAAAAAAAAAATTGGAATAAACGCCCGAAAATGCAGATTCGTTGAGTGATGTGAGAATCATTCAGAGGACTATAGTTAGAGAAAAAAAAAGAAAAGAGAAGAATCATGCTCGTGAGAGACCGTTGCGTGGCATCCGCTGAGGCAGCGTCCAGGGCTTTGCGCATATAATCTGAGTCGGGGTTAGTTTCGAATAGAGATCCAAAGAATACTGATTCGCGTCTTTACGTACTTCGCCTTCACTGTAGGCCCAAAAATAAGCGGCCATGCCGATAAGGTAGTAAATGGCCGGGTTCGTGGACTGGTACATGAGGATGGAGGCGAGGATGGTGAGCGGGAGGAAGATGAGACGGAACTCGAGGGAGCGATGCAGACTGGTGCCGGCAACGACGCCGAGAGGCCACTCTAGAGCCAGCATGCCGAGGCCGAAGAAGAGGTTGAGCAGCTGGAGGACGGGGATGGGCTTGACGGCGGCGTCGAGGTTCTTGGTGGCAAAGTCCCAGAAGATCTTGGGCCAGAGGAAGCCTTCAACAGCGGCAGCGACCTGGTCTGGGAGTTGTTAGTGAACTTTCCTGGATGTGGTCACCAAGTAGGCACGATGATGTCGAGAGCGAGGATCGAGTCGACGTACAGGTAGCTGCGGTGAGCATAATGAGGCGTGCCCAGTGGTTCTTGATGAGTCTGCCCATGATTGCGATTATGATATTCCAACAATTTCCGACAAAAAAGACGATTCCGGCAAGAAAAGATAGATAAACAAGGGAGCCAGCCCAAACTAATAACCAACAAAGAGAAGGACGGAAAGACCAAAAGGAAAGGAAGCGAAAGCCCGCTCTGCGGTTTCTTCAGACGAGAGAGAATGAAGGTCCAAGTACAGATGAAGGGACTGATGGAGTTTTTTTTTTTTCTTTCGTTTTCCGATCCGGGTCGCCTGAGACTCTTATTAGAGACGAGATAAAGGTACTTTTCCGTCTCTTCCTCCCCGGGGTTGAATTTGGGGAGGGGGGTCCTTTGGTCCGTTTGAGGTTTGAGGTTTTGGTGCGGCAACGGGTTTTGGGCCTTGTTCGTGCCCACACCCGGCAGAGGTGGACGCCGGAAACGATGGGACGGAACTAGGAGGGGGCAACAAAAGCCGGGGGTTGTTCAAGTTTGCCTTTTTTCGGATGTCAAATGGGACGACTGTGTGAGGTTGTATGGAAGACCGACCCCTGGCCAAAGAGATGAAGGCGACGGTCGGGGAGTGTATCAGGGTGACGGTGGTGATGAGAGAGGCTGCTGGTGTCCCGGGAAGGACGGCCTCATACGGCGATGGTGGCGGCGATGGTGATGGTGATGACGTCTCAGAATCGCAGACATGTATGCGACGGGATAATCATTTGCTAGATTCTTTTTGTCTGGTATTGTTGCTTTTTTTCCTTTTTTTAATATGGCGGTGGAATGATGAAGCAGTACCCGTTTGTCGTCGAGATTTCAGCGCAAATTGGTGACACGCTCCCCCGCTGTCGTAGATCGGACGGAGTGGGAGGCGGAGGAATTGTCCAAAATTTCTGAGGCAGTAGTTTGGTCGCGGAAACGTCTCGAGTCGAGATGAAGAGGAACTGGAGGCAAGAAATTGAAAATTACAGGCGAGTAGAGGCGAGCAGCAGCAGCAGCAGAGCAGCAGCAGCAGTAGCGGTGGGATGATGAATTATGCGGGTTTGCGACGGCGCCGGGGTTTGAGAGTGAGGGAGTAGGGTGTTTTAAGAGAGCGGCCCAGGTTCAGTCGGCAAACCGCCAAGAAGCTTTCCGAGAAAGAGAACAAGGGCTATTTCAAGCCAAGGGGTTTAGCGTGGAAGAAATGGGCGTATAATGGTCGTGTAAAAGGTGCGCATGTGGGAATTGTCCTGGTCCTTGTTCCCTCAACAGCCGCCTTGGCTGGACCTGGACCCGGGCTGGCAGGAGCGACTGAGTAAGTGGCGGATGGAGCCGAAGGAAGGAACAAGAAAAGTAAGGGCGGCCGGTTGGCCCGTGGGCGCGTAAGGTATGACGGAGGGAAAGGTAAAGCGGAAAAGGGGATTGCGAAAGGGCCTGTGAGTATGTAACGCAGTGCACAAGAAGAAGAAGAAGAACAACAACAACGGCCACAGCCAAACTCCCCTCTTCTACCGGCCCTCCAAGATGGACCGGCCGTGGAAGGACGATGGCTCCTTTGGTGATGGCGTCGGCGGTTACACGATGGGGTCGGGACCAATCATGGGCGGCAACGGGTCAGTGGTCACGGACATGCATGGTAGACCAGGTGGTGTGGTGTGGTGTGGGACAGGGGGGTTGCTCTTTTTTTCATTTTATTATTTTATTATTTTATTAGTTGTACTAATTCTGCTGCGTGGCATTTGAATTCCGCCGTGCAGTGATTGATCAGTTATTATTATACGCCGCTGGGGGTGCGACCCTGGCTCGAGGGCTGGGAACTGCATACATACATACATAGGTACCTCAAAAGATGGTGCCAAGCCTGTGGGTGGGCATCTCGTCTACAGTGGCTACAGTGACGTGACAGGCAGGCGTGCAGGCCAAGATGGTTACTGGTGCTGGTCAAGGGAGGGACAGACAACGGCCCTCTGACAAATCATTCTTTTTTTTTTATAATTTACTAGAAATCTTGCAGTAAAATCCTCTAAAAACTACCAACCAAATACCTAAAATAAAATCCTCTTCTTTCTAACCGCCGGCCATCGTCTCTGTACGCCCATCTCCTACACAAACGCTGTGTTTGTCCAACGTCAGCCGCAGCCGAACTTGTTCTTTTCATCTTCATCTCTTCTGCCTCGGTCCCTTTTACCACTCTGCACTGCATTGCATTTTGTCGTCTGTATTTTGTTCCCCATCTGGCAGCAGCCATCCCTTCTTCTTTGATTCTCCTCCCTCCTTCTTCCGACATGAAGCACGGCACGTTTGAGCCCAGCCACCTGCCAGCTGGACGTTGTGTGTGGGGATTCTTCAGTCTCCGCACCAGACCAGCATAGTATGTACATACATACATACAAGGGCACCATGCATACATACATACAGTACGTACATAGATACATACACCAAGGACACCAAGGGTCGACGACTGCAACCCTCCTCGGTGTGATGCTCGTCACAGTCAGTGGTCTGAATGCCATGCCTTTTCAGAGACATTTAAATATTCTCTCCTCCTTCTCCTCCTCCTCCTCCTCCTCCTCCTCCCGTTTGTTTGATGCCATTGAGTTTCGGGACACCAACATGCCGGTGCACGATACTATGTACCTAGACAAAGCACATCCGATCGATGTCGTCAGACAATCTGTCCAACAAGACGGCTCTCGATGAAGTACCAGCACCCTCACTACTACACCCACCCTACCTTTGTGCGTACCTACCTACCTACTGGATTAGCTCTTCCTCTCTTCCTCCCTCTTCTTCCCTCTGGCATCACCGCATCAGCCCCGAGTCGTCCACCCCATAACCTTGCCTTTTGGTCCGTCCCGTCTGTGCTTCCCCCCTCTTGCCCACCCCTCGACGAACCATTGCGCACGCACCAGCCAGCCAGGTCTTTTTTTAACAGCAATAATGGCTCTTGCTTTCCTGCAGTCACCGCCCATTTTTTCCCACATGGCCATCAACGATACTGCCGACAGCGACACCCTGTTCCCCTCTTTTTATCCCGCGCCTGCAGCCTGCAAGCCATGGTCGCTGTCGCTGCCCCGATCAGGAAGTCTGGCGGCTCTACGGCGCTTTTCATTGGTTCGCCTACTATCCGCTCCACTAGCCTCACCAGCCCACCAAGGCCAAGTCTTTGCTTCCAACCATTCACATTCACCATTCACATTCACCATTCACCATTCACCATTCACCATTCACCAACCACTTACCATCAGTGACCAACCATCCAGATTTCCGCACACTAGCGAGCTACTTGATCGGCTTTTTTTTTCATCCTCAGACCTCTCGCAGAAAGGATGTGATTGGCTTGCATATTGGCGTCTGCATCTCTGCACTTCTGCACTTCTGCACTTCTGCACTTCTGCACTTCTGCCTCCCGCGCGCGCTATGCATCATGTCGCATTCATCCTAATCGGGTGCGACGGCGCAGTAGACAAAGGAGTCGCATGCACCTTTCTTTTCTTCCCTTCCTTCCCTCCTTTGCCTCCTTCTCCGACGGTCCATCGTCCCTCCATCTCTCTCCATCTTGTCCGCCCTTTGTTCCACTTCGGTAGTTGGTGCATCCTGTCCGACCTCCCTCCCAGGCCGATGGCCGCATTGGCCCACCGTCCTCCAATTGACAGCGTAGATCCCATCCCCTCCCCCCTCCCCTCCCCTCCCAGACCCTGCCAGATCTTGTGTCACCGCCCACAGCATCCCGCCATTCCCATGTCAGATGTCCAGTGCACATGTTTTTTTTTTCTATGTCTTGGTGTGCCTGTGTCCGTGCTCCCTTCTTCTATTTTCGTCTCCTCTCGTAACGGAATACAGTAGATAGATTTCGAGACTATCGCTTCTATATTCGCCCAGAGTTGGATGCTTTCCCATCTATACATATATACAGGCTTTTCAATACAAATATATACACATTCTAAGACGCACATGATCCCAAACAAAAGATCATAAACGCCTCTCCACCGCCCGCTCCTCACGCCGTGGCCGCTGCTTCCGGCACCGACCGTACCGGCCCCGGCTCCGGCGCTTGCTTCTTCCCAGACTCACCACCACCACCACGCAGCGCCGCCACAGCCTGCTCCAACTCCTCCAACCTCCGTCGCCGGCCCTCCTCCGCCTCCTCCCGTTCCTCCAGCCGCCTTGTCAGCTCCTCGATCCGCTCCTTGTTGCTGTCCGGCTTCTGCTGTGCCCGCCAGTACTCGTACAGGATCAGCGCCACCGCCACCCCGAGGATGAACGTGTCGCCCACCACGTCCGCGAACAGGTCCACCGCCTTGTCCTCCGGCAGCGCCCGGAACTTGCGCGTCCAGATGTTCTGAAACGGCTGCCTCCTCTGCCTCTGCCTCGTCGTCGTCGTGGGCCCGGTGGTCGGTGCAGTGCTCTTCGTCTTGGCCGCCTTCTCCTCCTCTCGGGCCTTGGCCTCATCCTCTCGCCGCGTCTGCGCCTCCGTCTTCACCGTCGGCGCCTCCGCCTTCTCCTTGGCGCGCCGCTCGGCCTCCGGGTCGCGCAGCAGCGCCACCGACATTCGCATGTTGAGCTGATGCATCATCTGTCCGTACCGCGCCGCGAACGCGCGGAACCGTGCGTGGTCGTGCGCCTGCTTCTTGATGTGATTCTGCCCGTCGCCGTCGTCTGCGTCAGCAATCGTGTCCTCGGTCGGTGGGCTGGCGGGGTTCAGGGCCACCCCAGGGGTCTGGTCAACATAACCTACCGCGCCATATTTGGAAATGTGCCTCAGAAACAGCGATCCCAGCTTAAACAGCGGCAGCGGCACCATTGTCAGCTTATTTCTTCGTCGTCGGGTAATTGCTCAGATTGCAGGAATCCCATCCAGCAAACGGATTCCTGTGTAGTCATCAAAGTGGGGCGCCAGGAGGCTACAGCTGCCAGGCCGCGTGTCTCCATAAAGTCCCTCAAAAAGCCAATCATATCCCCTCAATTCCGTTGCCAACAGCAACCAAATGTCTAAAAAGTACACAAACCACGGGGCAACCACGCCAACGACGCATGGTCTTTTGGTTCTGCAGCACGACTTTACGAGGCCATGGTCAACTCCACAAAGTCATCTTCTAGACTTTATTTTTCCCATCCTGCTTCAGCGTTTGTTTGACAGTCTTTTTTTGTTTTGCCTTCGCCGCCTCTTCCCCTGCCGCGACGTATGCCTCCATCGTGTGTCACTTCCGGAGCTGTCTAACATCCAGCCCCCGTTTGACGACGACGACAACTACGACGACCCTCCAATCGCCCTCCAGGCACGACCACACGACCACACGACCACCGCCCGCCGCTCGCAGCCATGGCCCATCGGCTCGCTGCTAGAGGCGCCGCCGATCTTGAAGCCCTCTCGCCCCGTGATGCCAACGCGCAACGCATGCCCAAGCCCTCGACCAAGCCCGCCGACGGCGTCGGCGCCGGCAAGACCAAGACGGCAGCCCAGCTCAAGGCCGCCAAGGACAAGGAGCACCCGCCGCCGCCGCCGCCCGAGGTCCTTGAGCCTGCCTCCGCCGAGCGCCCCGATGGCGCCGTCTACCAAACCGGCAAGCTGCTTGGCAAGGGCGGCTTCGCCATCTGCTACACCGGCCACCTCCAGCCAACCAACAAGGTCTATGCCCTCAAGATAGTCAAGAGCCACATGCCGGCAAAGATGGAGCAAAAGGTATGCTTGATTCTAACCGTCTATACCAGAGGTGCTTCTCACGACAAGGGCACGCTGACACAAACGAACACAGTTCCAAACAGAGCTCCAAATACACTCAAAGATGAAGCACAAGAACATTGTCCAGTTTTGGCGCGCCTTCTCCTTCCACAACAGCACCTATCTCGTCCTCGAGCTCTGCCCCAACGGCTCCCTCATGGACATGGTCAAGCGCCGCAAGGGCCTGACCGAGCCCGAGGTCCGCTTCTACTCGGTCCAGATTGCCGGCGCCATCAAGTACATGCACAGCAAGGGCATCATCCACAGGGACCTAAAGATGGGCAACATCTTCCTTGACGCCCACATGAATGCCAAGATTGGCGACTTTGGTCTCGCTGCTCTCCTTGTTACCGGCAGGGACATGCACACCATCCGTCGCACGACGCTCTGCGGGACACCAAACTATATTGCACCCGAGATCTTGGAAAAGGGCAAAAAGGGCCACGACCACATGGTTGACATCTGGTCCCTCGGCATCATCATGTAAGTTGTCTTCTGCCTCATTCATATCCGACTCGGCTAATTTGGTAGGTTTGCCATGTTTACTTCCAAACCTCCTTTCCAGTCTTCAACGACAGACGAAATTTACCGCCGCGCCCGAGAGCGCGACTACGAATGGCCCGTCAATGACGCTACACGTTACATCAGCGATGAAGCCAAAGATCTAGTAGCCATCATGCTGGAGAATGCAGACCAACGACCGGAGCCAGATGCCATTATTCAGCACCCGTTCTTCACAATTGGCTACACGCCAAGAGAATCCGAGATGAGCTCCCGTCTCCGTGACACAGCACCAGACAGACAAGAGTTCTACGGTCGTATGCCCTCAGCCATGCGTACACAAGCGCTGCGAAACTTCAAGGAACTCTGCCGTGAATGCTGCATCGGCCCCATGGCCAACGTTCAGCTCGTTCATACGCAAATCTGGAAAGAAATGGCTGCCGAGGAGAAGGCAGGCCTGACCCCCATCATTCCCCTGGCAGAAGATATTGTCTACACGCCGTTTGACGACTGGATCAAGGAGCAGCAGCAACTGCGCCTGAGACAGTCGGCATCCGCGCCGCCCACGGTAGCACCCACAGCTCCCCCAGAAAAGACCAGTCTCCTTCGCCAACCCCCGCAAAGTTTTGCCGCTCAGCAACGAGCCCAAAACCGACCAGCTGCCGCACCACCGGCAAAATCCATCTCTACAGAGCCGCTCTCACAGAGCACAAGGACTAGAAGTCGCGCAGATTCGTTGGCGCTGCGGCCCAAGGAAGCGCCCGATTCCATTAGAAGCGTACGCCCGGCAGTCCGTACAGCACTTCCTTCTATTCGCTCCGCCCCAAACATTCATGCCGTTGAGCGTTCAGCCACCCTGTCGACCTCTGCGTCAGTAAGCTTGGGTCACTCCAGGCAAAACTCTAATTCTATTCACACCGCAACGCTCTTTGGCCCCTTGGAGAAGCCCTCCCAGGTCGCTGGCACCAACCCCGATGTCGTGCTCGAGCGCCTTCGCAAGCTAGAAACAGAGCTAGATCGTGCCCTTAACGCGCGCTCCATGGCCATCGTATCTTCGAGGACGGTGACGCCCTCACCACCGCACATTGTTGTCAAGTGGGTAGACTACACCAACAAATTTGGCCTGGGCTACATCCTCAACGATGGCAGCGTTGGCTGCATTCTTCGTGACATTCCCACCACCGAGGGCAGCAAGACGGCTCTTCTCCCTTCCGCCGGCGTCTTCATCCGCGGCGCCGAGAGACACATTCTCCGCCGCCAAGACGAGTCGTACCTCGACAGAAACCAACCAGTCCCCATGTCGCAGCTAATTACCTTTTTCGAGAACAAGGGCGAGGCCGGTGTGACGGAAGTGTCGCTCTCGCCAGAGCAGTTTCGCGTCGCGACCAACGAAGACGGTACGCCGGGCAAGATGAACCCGGGCCGCGACGTTTATTCGCACAGAAAACGCGAGCGCATCATCCTGTGGAAGAAGTTTGCCAACTACATGATTGCCCACGGCCGGGACGAAGCCATTGCCGAGGAGCCCGTTCCCAGGAGCCAAAAGGCCACGCCCTCGGAACTCGTCACGTTTTACCAGCGCTTTGGCGACGTGGGCTGCTGGGCCTTTGGCGACGGCCACCTCCAGTTCAACTTTCCCGACCACACCAAGATCGTACTCGACGCGACGGGCACGTGGTGCCACTTCTGGCACCTGCCGCAGGACGCCGCTGAGCGACTGGCCGAGACGGGCACGATCGGTGCCGCCGCACTCGACGACCGCGCGATTCTATCATATCCGCTGCAGACGCTGCTCAACTTCCAGTCTCGCACGACTGCCAACAGCAACCTGGCGACCCGGTCGTCGACTAGGAGGCGACCCGAGATCGACCCCGCGCTGCAAGGCATTCCCGCGGCCAACGACTTTCGCCGCAAGATTGAGTTTGTCCGCACCGTCGTCCACGAGTGGGTGGCCAACGGCGGGCTCGGCAACAGTTCCATGGCGCGCGATGACCGCCTCCGCTGGCGCGGCCACCGCGAGGTCATCACTCACGGCGTCGGCGTCGTCCTACCGCCTCAGAAGCACGTCTGGGTCACCATCGGTAGTCGATGGGGCGACCAGCGCATATCCACGCTCGTCGATCCCCTGAAGCCCTGGGAGCTGGGCGACGAGGTCGAGGCCAAGAAGTGAAGAATGATGATACCCCTCTCATGATTGTCCTTGTTCTTGTTGATGATGATGTCTTTTTTAACAAAGCCGGCGTATATATTTTCTGCAATAATATTTTTTCCTTCTTTTCTTGTCAATCTTGATACCAGGTGACTGTATTTGATATCAGACCATGTAAATGAGTCGCGTTTAATACGCATGTCGCCGAGTCACATTGAAACAATTATATGAACCACCCCATTTGTACACTCACCCACCACTGTACTCCGGTTGTACACTGCGCTATAGCTGGCCGCTTGTTACAAAAAAAAAAAAGGTTGCCGAGTGTATATAACTTTGGGCTAGGTATGCTAAGCTGCGGTTAATGAAACGCCTCCGGAAAGGAAGATATAGAACAAACAACCTCCTTTCGCGTCGTCAACAAAATTAATTACAAGGTCATTCTTCTAATGGAGAAAAAAACACTGATCCAGAAGCGTGAAAAAAAAAGGAAAGCTTAGACTGAGCCACCGTCAAGAAAAACAAGTGCGCGAAATAAAGCAAAACAAACTCCCGCCGGTCCATATCCTGTTCTCCTACATTAGGCTGGTCTTTCAGGCATCCGAGTAATATTCGTCCTGGCCTGGGGCGGGCGGCAGCGTCCATCCGCCCGTTGACGCGAAGTTGTCGCGAGAGCCCGAGGCCCAGTATGCGCTCCTAGACCGCCTCTCACGCTCAAACTCGGCCCATCGCTTCATGGTGATTGAGGACGAGTCGAATGAGCCGTTGTCCTCATGTCCGTCTCCGCCCTTCTTATCGCCCGACGTCTTGCGCGTCTCGCCCCAGGAAAAGTCGTCAAACTTCCAAAAGGCGTATGTGGGCAGCACAAAGTTCCAGATAGGTAGGGAGATGAGGTAGATGAGCATCCAGACGACGTACGACCACGAGTGCGCCGTGACAATGATGAGCGCACCAGGCAGGCCGAGAATGAGTCCAAGCAGCACGAGCGGGATGATTTGGACGGGCTGGTGGATGATGGACGTGATGACGACGTAAAAGGTAAAGGCAATGGCAGCGGGCAACACCAAGGTGCCAATGAGCTCGACAAAGATGATGAACTGCATGGAGAAGCAAAAGGTGCCGCAAAGGTCGCGGACGAGGATGAGCTCCATCAGGTTGTGCACGGTAGAGTTTATCCAGCGGCGGCGCTGTGAGAGGAGCACCATGAACTCATCGGGAACCGTCGTTTTGCAGACGGCCTGCGGCACAAAGATTTGCTTGCGCTTGGGAAAGGTCCGCAGCATGAGTGTGGTGAGGTAGCGATCCTCACCCAGCAGGTACAGGTTCTTTTCGTGCAGCGTCTCGACCACATTCTCCGAGTAGTGCTCGACGACATCTGGATTGGCCAGGATCGGCACCCAATAGTTCTGGCCGCCCTTGGGCGCCTTGATACGGTACATGCAGAAACAGCCCGGCAAGCAGGTGACACCACCAAAGACTGACTCGAACGACTTGGCGAGGTGGTGCGAGATGAAGTACTCGAAAACCTGGATCGCCGAGACCCAGCTGGCACGCTTGTTGGCAATTTTGGTCTCACCGCAGAGACCCATAATCTCCGGGTCCTTGACCATGGCCGACACCATGTGCGTCAGGCTGTCGGGGAAGACCTTGGTGTCGGCGTCCACCATGAGCACAATCTCGTAGTAGTCGGGCGATATACCCGTCACCTTCCACAAGCCGTTGAACATCTCGTACTCGAGTTCCGTCATGCGCTCGTCAAACATGACCTTTTGCAAGAAGGACATGAGGATGATCTGGCTGTCACGCTTTCCACGATTACCCGCCTTAGCCTTACCGGACTCACTCTTAGTACCACACTTGACTATAACCATCATGGGCACGCGCTGCTGACGCTCCTGAGGGATGCGCGAGTCGGCACCGTAGTCATAAAAACCGCAATGCACCTTAGCCATGTTGTGTCGCTTGGAGCCGCTAGCTACAGCAACGTACGAAAATGGTTGAACGAGCTCGGGCGGCGTGGTGTGGTCCTTGAGCATGGATAAGCAGGCGTCAGGGGTCGATACATTTTCACCCTTGCCCTTGACGATACCATCGCAAATAACGAGGATGACCTTGTGGCTGTTGGGGTAATCAGTCATCGCAATCGAGTCAAGAGTGGTACGAATACCCTCCACGCCTTCGGAGTAAGCGGTCACGAGGCACATGGTATGAGCAAGCGGAAAGCCAAAGGGCATCCAGTCCGAAGGTGGCTGCGGAACAACAGAGTCGTGGATGAAACCGGCAGGGCCAGGTCCTTCGGTCGAGCTCACGTGGCCGTAGGATTCAGAGCGTAGGAAACTGGCACGGCTATCGTTGCTCTGCTTGTAAACAGAGTTGGGCTGCAACAGAGCACTGCTGCCACCCTGGCTGGCCATGGTGGTGGGAAGACGGCCGCGGGCAATGAGAGCGCGCTCGCCCGGGTTGAGGGCTGAGAATCGAGAGGTGGTCGGGAGGAAGGACGAAGCGCGCTTGCTGTTGCGATCCGAGCCGGCGACGGTGCTGCCGGCGCCAGGGAGACGAACAGGTGCGCGGTAGATGTCTTCGGACCAGTCCTCGATCTGCTTGTTGCGCTTACGGCGGTCGGACGTTTGCGAGGTCTTGCTGGCGGCATAGGTACGGCTGATGAACCACTGGAAGACTAGGGCGAGGGCGAATCGGGCGATGACGACGGATAGAATCAGGACCAAGGCACAGTAGAGGACAACCTTGGACGCAATGCAGCCGACGGTTTCAGTGTCGACGGAGCCGACCTTGATAATTTCTTGGAAGCACTTGGCGTACTGTTTGTCTTCGGAGCTCTGGAAGAGGCGAGTGACGTCGCGGCCGCGAACGGCCTTGTTGACGGCGGACTGTGTGTCACGGAGCTCCTTGAAGCGGTCGGGGATGGCAACCTGAGTCTCGTTGAACCAGTTGAGGACGTCGAGGTCAAGAACATTACCAGAGTAGACCATGAGGTTGCGGGAGCTGTTGCGGATATCATCCCAAGAAAAGTAGACATCGGCGGCACCTTTAAGTCCCTTGTAAAAGGCGTCGCGGCCGGGGTTGGAAGTGTGGCAGGCGTAACCGAGATAGTAGGGAATGGTCAGGTTAGGTTTCGTGGAGCCGTCCTGGTTCATCGTGGTACATGGGAAGTACCAGGCGAGGTCGCCATTGGAGTTGGTAGGGACATCGGAGTTGGGGGCAGCTGTGATGATGCCCTTGCAAGCGCCGTTGACATTTTGGAAGAGAAAACTTCCGTCCTGACCAGAGTGCTTTTCCGGTAAATCATACAGCACGTTGGCACCAGTGCCGTCTTGACGACGAGGGATACCCTCAGCGACGGGGTGGTGAGACTGAGACAGGTCATAGGCGACACCGTGGAAGATCATATAGCCACCGCTGACCTTGTTATTGCGAAGACGGACGGGAGGGGCGCTGCAGACAGCGGCAGTGAAGCCAAAGGTGAGGAAGCCGACAATGGCCATGATCATGAGAATGATGCTGATCAAACCCATCTTTTCACGCCAGGCACGCTGCTGCGCCTTTGCGGGCATGCCGCAGCAGCGCAGGATGAAGTCGGGGCACCAAAACGTGACGAGGGAGCAATAGACGTTCCATATCGTCGGGGGCCGCAGCTTGCCCTCGGGAACCTTATGCTTACGCCTGGGCTTGATCTTGCTTTCCTTGACGATCTTAGCACGCTTGCCGCGTACGGGACGAGAACCGCGTGTGTTGTCCTTTTCGCGCGGCCGGGACTGGTTGTCCTTGGAGTTGTCCGAGACGGTCTCGTAGGCATGGGAGCCTCCGGAGCGTTCGGTTGCGGCGTCGAGGTTCTCGAGAAGAGGGTCGTTGCCGGTGGATGATGGCAGGACGTTCATATTTGCGGCATGTTTGTGGTAGTGGTAATTGCGATGGTCCTTGTTGATGCGGTTGCGCTCGGGGCGAATCAGGCTTCGTTTTCGCGAGATCTGATCTTGGGCGCGGGGCGAGCCCTCACCATGGAGAGGCGCAGTATCGGGATTGACATTGGGGTTGGATATCGTCTCGGCAAACGAAGAGCCGGATTTGCCACGGCTGTGGCTTTGGCTGGCAGTATTGACGCTGTGGAATTCGCCCGTCTCGATGTCGACAGCACGGGGACGCCGTGAGCTGGAGTTTCGGTAGCCAGGGCCCTTGGGCGAGTCAGGCCCGGGCCGTTGTGGGAGTGACATGGCTTATCGGATCATAAATGCTACACTAAAAAAATGCGGACAAAAAGAAGTAATAAACAAAAAAGGGTGAAGAGAAAACGAAGCGAGCAAACGAGTGATGCTTCGCTGTTGGCGATGCAGAGTTTGTGTTGTCAGGAAAAGGGATGGCGTCCAGTCGGGGTCAGGCGCCCCCGCTAAGGTTGGCTTTGGCCAAACTTGAATGCTGTCAAGAAAGGTCGCTGCGAGTACATTGATTCAGGGATGTGTTACACAAATGCCCACTAGCGACGGCCATGGGCTGGAAAAAAGTAAATACAGCGGCTGTGATTGGCGGTCATGCCAGGGCACTGGAAAAGGTACATGGCGGTACTTGGTTGTCTAGCCGACAGGGTGCCTGGCGCCATGGAAGCAACTGATGGCTCGACATATATTTATCCTATGATTTGAGTGTACAATGAAAAGTACAAGTCTGGAGTACGGAGATGGGGGATGACGACGACGGTTGAGTCGAGTCTCAATTATACGTCCCGATATAGATTGTGTGCATCTAGTGTCCTCTACTTGACACAATCCCGTCCAAGCAGGAATGTTGTAGGTGGACCTCGATCGAGGTGTCAGCCTGGATGCCAGTAACTACTTGGTGTCACCTTCGATATGCTGTGCGCGCAACTGACAACCAGCGCTGTGTATCGTCCGCGTTTCGAAACATTGCCGAGCCGAAAGTTGGTGGCGACGTCAGCGCAGAGCCTCGATGCTCGCCGCAGACGCGATGACAGCTTGATGAAACACGACGACGCCTCAGCCACGCTCACCACGAAGATGGTATAGGGTAGCAGGACTGTCGCCAAGTCTATTTGCAGCATCTATATCACGGGACCGGATCGGACGGGAAATCTAATTAATTTACGGAAATGACGAAGGTCGAGGTAAATAGAATTCTCAGAGGCGTTGCGGTGATTTGCAAGTTGCCAACCATACAATAAAGCGTGCTGGTATGAAGTTGGTTGTAGACTTGATGGTTACTGATCAACCATCTCATCATGGGACGCTAACAGTTTCAGGCGGGAATACGAAGTTGCCGCCACTGTGTGGAGCAGAAAAACTCAAGACACAAAAAAAAAGAGCAGAACGCAGTCTTTGGGCGAGGCTGAAACTGGTCGGCTGGCTGACTTGTTGACTGGCTACCTTTGTAGGCTGGCTGGAATTGCGCTCATCGTTATGTGCTCGGGCGTGGAGCTGAAGCTGAGAGAGGACAGCGGCAAGATCAGTAGGGCTAACAAGCATGGCATGTCCATGTCCCGTCGTTGGCGAAGTGGCTTTTAAGAGAAAAGCCTAGAATATTGCATGCAAATCAGCAATGCAACGATGCAGCCCAGCTATGTACTGTAACTAGTCTGGCGGTAACTAACTAGGATTGATTGGGGCAGAAGGCGGCGAGGCTCTCATGGGTCAGACTATTCGTAGGCACAGTGCGCTCCATGCTGGCAGATGCTGGGATGACGGATCAACGGGCCCGCAGTGCTTGGCGTCCACGGTCAGTGGGAGAGGATGACGGCATGCGGATGCAGGAATACGAGTAACTAATACGGATAATGTACGGATACGTAGTATATAGTAACGTTGGGATGAAAGGATTGACGCCGCTGCAGAGGAGTTGAGCTGCAGCTTGCTGGTTACTCAAGTAGTTTGTAGGCCTGTTGGAGTCATGAGGTTGCCATTTTTATAGGACCCTGGACAACCTCTATTAAAAACCGTAAAATTACAGTGTCTAGCAGTAATGCGGTTGATGGGCTGAACAGGGGCTAAAAGACGCTAGGAAAATGGCGACGAGTGGCGTGCGCGATGTGGTGCGAGGAGATGAAGGTGTGGTTATTTTTGATTTTTTCCAGAATTGTTTGGTTGATTTGGCTGTCGAGGCTGGATGCGGCTGATTCGAGGCACCACCCAAGGCAGAGACGAGAGGTCGACGGCAGAGTGCATGAGCATGAGCAGCAGACATTGGTGGGCTGATGGCCGAGGTGAGTGGTGAGAGAGAGTGACGGGAGTGAGTGGTGAGTGGTGAGTGGTGAAGCTCGGCGGTAAACGCTGTGCCGCCTGCCTCACAGTGCTGCTGCTTGTGCCGCCAACGTGACAGCAGCTATTGGTACTGGCAGCTAACTAACTCCTTACCGCTAACCCCCTACATAAAAGACCTTGCCTTTCCTTTGAGGCTGAAATGACGCTACTTCCGGGTCTTACTTGTATGATGTACCTTTCCAGTGGCAATTCCCAGCGTCTTGACCAACACATTTCCATCTTCCACACACATGTCAACCTCCGAAGCAACCGTCGTCATCGCCATTCCAGGGTCCCCTTCACTGCCCCCAAGATGTTATTGAGATTGTCTGTGTCCGTTCAGCCAGCATTCAGCCCACTCGCTTCACCCACCGTTGCCTATCCCATTCCCACCAAAGCCCACTAATTGAAGCCCTTTGCTTGGGTTGAGTGGGCGCCCCATTTGGTGCGTGGCAGCGCTAAAGCCACCAGTTACAGCTGTCTTCTGGACCCTGCGCGCAGTTGTCATGCATATTAGTTAGGTACTGGCAGGCAGGTACATACATAGGTGCAGAGGTGACGGCGGCAAGTAATGTAATGTGCACGAGCGGTATGATTGCCTTTGCTTGTCTGCCTACTCGCGGTATTTATCGCGACAGTCATGGTCTAGAATCAACGCGTCAGTCAACCTAGCGGTTTCACTTGGCTTTACCGTGACGCCTTGTGTCGTGCAGCCGAATTGATAGCTAAGGTAGGTATAAAGGTACAGCTACCTGCTTGCCTTTTAACAGACAAACGGGAACGCCAGTACAAACTTGCAGTGCAAACTTTAGTCCAACATTACCTGTAACTAGGTACCTACGGTTGTACCTACAACATAGCACCAGTCGGATTTTACCTGCAAAGCACCACTACCAGCAAGTGGATACGCAAGTACTCCCTCCCTAGCTCGCTCGCTTCATCCACCAACAACCATCTCTCAACTCCTCCTCCTCCCTGCCCGTATTTCCCGAACCGACTGACCCATCTTATCCATCCATCCATTCGCCATTCTCCAGCTCCCAGTCTCCCGGTCCCTCATCACCGCCGTCTCTCGCTAGGCTTCTGTTTTCCCTTTAGCCAACCCATCATCAATCCCCTTTTTTGGATTCTTCTTCATCTTTAGACATCATTCTTTTCCTCTCTCTTCTATCATCTACTACTTCTTCTGCATCACCGGGCCCCCTCCCGTTCGCCCTTCCCTTGCCCGCTGGCCGCCTCTTTTCCGTTTTTTTCCCGCTCCAACGGTCCAACGGCGGATTCCCTGCAGGCTCAGAGTTTCCAATATCCATCCATTATGGCCGCCGTCACCGCATCGCCTCCCACCTCACCGATCGCCGCGCCGCCGCCTGCGGAAAAACAGCCGCTGTCTGCACCGCCAGCCGCAGCCGCATTGCCCGCCGAGAGCCCTGCCCGCCTGCGCGACGCTCCTATATCGCCCGTCCGCGTCAACTTTCAAGATCACCCATGGCCTACGCCCTCCAATGCCAACATTGAGGAGGCCGCCGAACATGTCCCCCAGAGCCAGCTCGCCCACATGTCCCTCAACGTCGACGCCGACCTCGTAGGCGAACCTGCCCCCGCTGTTCGTCTGCGCCCCCAAGAAGCTCACCGCAGCTCGCGCGAGTCCGACGAGTCCAACGCCACCTCCCAGGCCCCAGCCTCACTGCAATCCTCGGCGCCCACCACCAACAGTTCCCTCTCGGCTTCCCAAGATGCTCGGGAATGCCCTCCACTCAACCACTCCTCCGCCTCCTCCACCACCGGAGATGTCCTCCCCCGTACAGGGTCGGTACCGCTCTTTCAGTATCACCACCAGCAAGAGAACGCCTCCGATCCCAGCGGTGGTTCGACTCCGGAACCTATCGACAATGTTCCCCATATACGCCGCCACCTTACCCCCACCATGCAGGCAATGCGCCGAACCTCGATGCCTCGCCCGCACTCTTCGTATTCGACATACTCCGACTTTGGTCCTCGCGGCCTCTCCCCCGGCAGTCCGCACATGCGCCCACCTTCCACCTCGTCGAGAAAATCGCCTGATAACCGCCACTCGACGTATGCCGAGCTCCTCAATGTCCCATACCCTCAGCAAGCGCCTGCGCCCCTGACATGGGACAATTCCAACCTGCGCAATGCCGTCGGTAATAATGCATCGCTGCTTAGCGCCCAAAAGACGTTGGAAATGTACCGCCAAAACGTCAAGAAGACGACCGACTTTGACATTCAGTACTCTTTTGCCGTCTTTCTCATCTCGACTGCCCAGGATCAAGGTTTGGACTGGACTGACCCAAAGAAGAAGCCCGCGGCGCACCGCGATCTTGACAGCCCCGTTGTCGAGGTGTCGGTGGCGTCGCCCGTCGAGCTTGTTCGCGAAGCCAAGCAGATCCTTCAGCGCCTTGCCAACGGTGGCTATCCGTTCGCCCAGTACTACCTGGCCGACGGCTACGCTTCGGGTCTTTTCAACAAGGGAAAATCCGATTATAACTCAGCCTTTCCTCTCTTCGTCCTCGCCGCCAAGCACGGCCATGCTGAGTCGGCCTACCGGACGGCGCTCTGCTACGAGTTTGGCTGGGGCTGCCGTAAGGATCCTGCCAAGGCCGTGCAATTCCTGCGGTCCGCCGCCTCTAAGAGCCACCCAGGTGCCATGACACGCCTCGGCAAGGCCTGCCTGTCGGGCGATCTCGGCGAGAAGCGATATCGCGAGGGAATCAAGTGGATGAAGCTCGCCACCGAAGCCGCCGATACGCAGTACAATGCAGCGCCGTACCAGCTCGGATGCCTGTACGAGACGGGCTACGGTGACGATATCTTCCAGGACGCGAGCTACGCCGCGGAGCTGTTTACGCAGGCCGCGGACCTGGGACATCCAGAGGCCAACTACCGTATGGGTGAAGCCTACGAGCACGGCTTGCTCAACTGCCCCAAGGACCCAGCACTAAGTGTGCACTTTTATACGGGAGCCGCCGAACGTGGCCACGCCGCCGGTATGATGGGGTTGTGCGCCTGGTACATGGTGGGAGCGATCCCTATACTGGAAAAAGACGAGGAGGAGGCGTATGAGTGGGCGAGGAGATCAGCAGAGCTGGGTACGTTGCGAGAAACCAACTTCGGAATGAGACAGTCAAGTTGCTAACAGGTGTATCAAGGGTACGTCAAGGCGCAGTATGCGGTGGGATACTTTTTGGAAATGGGCATTGGTTGCCGGAGGGACATTCTCGAGGCCAACGTGTGGTACGTACGAGCTGCGGATGCGGGCGACGAGCGAGCCAAGCAGCGACTGGCCGTCATTCAGGCGGCGATTCACGGAGGTACACCGATGGAGGTGGCACCGCGCAAGGGTGGGAAAAAGGACGACAAGGACTGCATCGTCATGTAGGATATGGAGGACAGCATCGCCGCCACGAACAAACGCCGATGGCAACACAACGCCATCAACCACGCCAAAAAAAGACTTTATAATAGCATTTTTGATTTAGCATTTTTCTAGCGCTACGCTATAACTCTTAATACAGCATGTTCATATTATCGCCGTCGTGGGGTGCAGGGGGCTGCACTGTTGTGAGGGGCAGCAGTGTGGGCATGGACTTTGGATAATATCGCCCTGCATTATATAGCACATCATCATGTGGGCGGGCGGACGCATGATGGGACAAGCATGGTACGACGACAAGGTATGGGCTGATGCAGCAACACTGACATTTCGTTTTCTCGTGTGCTGATGTTTCACCGGCGTTGCAAGAGGCGAGGTTGAGCTCGGGATGGGATGATGGCAGTGCAAATGTTCCGCCCCGTTTGCGTTGAGTCCACATCTGTATATATTTGCGATGCTGCATATTTTGCACACATACTATTCGTAAATTTAACCTCCCTGATTCCGCCTTTATTTTTGGACGCAGATACGTAATCCCCCCCCCCCCCTGCCATTGGGAGGTACATACACACGCCGCGGCCCCCCCGGGCCGTGGGACGGCTCGTGTCCGCGCGGCCGTTTACAGGGGTGGGGAGGACGATAGTAAGGGGAGGGGGGAACTTTGTTGGCCCAGTGAGCAGGAGTTGGCACGTGGCGGGGTTGTCGTCATGGATGGATGTCCTGGGCCTTTTGAATGAAAAAAAAAAAAATTGAAGAGAAGAGAGAGAGAGAGAGAGCTGCAAGTCTCGTCGCTGCCCGCTGGTTGATCTAGCGCCACCGCCGCCTTCTTTCTCGAACAAATTAATGTGGCGGCTGTCAAATCGGAACTTTTGGGTCGCACCGCAGGGGGGGGCGAGGGAATAAGAAAGAGAAGGCGCCGAACCCTGACACTGCAGCAAGCAGCAAGGATATGTATCTTGTATAATAACCTGGCGTCATTGACGTCGTCGATCAGAGACATGCATGCACGCGAAAGCATGCACTGACAGGGGACACGATGTATAAAGCTAGAAGAGGCAAAAAGTGAATCAAAACAAAAAACGGCCGTAAAGGCCTACTGTGGTATTATTGAAAAAAAAAAGAGTAAGTGTAGATAGATGTAAGTGTAGGGGAGCTTTTGTTGCTCGGATATCTTGTTTCCAACGCCATGCAATGCAAGTCCAGTAATGCCAAAAGTAAAATAGAAAAAAGGAAATAAGAATGTGATAGAGGGATCCAAGTTGGGTCTATACAAAAAGACCAAAAGAAGAAAGTGAAAGCACTATGAAGGCGCCTTCATCGCCACGTCGACGGAACCTTGCGGCGCTTCAGGCCAACGTCGTCGTTGAGGACCAGGCTTTTCCATCGGCGAGCCAGGGCGTGTCTGTCCTTGCCAAGGCTGCGCGCGCAGTCCTGCCAGTCCGCTTTGGAGAGCTTGAGTTTTTCAAGGACGAGCTCGACGAGGATGCCATCATCCTCTGTCGTCCACTCTGCGGCACTGCTGTCGTCTTGGAATGGTGGTGGTGTTGAGGCCTCGTGTAAGTTGTGAAAGTCGGCGCGGGCAAGGCCGAGCGGCATACGCTCCGGGGCGATGCGTGAGCGCTTGGGTGTGGTGGGCGGCTCAGGAGTCTTTTCCCTATCGCTGCTGCTGCTGCTGCTGCTCTCCGATGAGAGGGTGCGCTTGTGCCGAGGCGGCGCGGTGCGCTTGACGATGCCGCGGGGGCCATCCTCGCGGAAGTTTGTGCGCAGACGCAGCTTCATGGGCGACGGAGCGTGAGCCGTGGGCGGCGTGGGCGGCGGCTGGGGCAGCAACGCGCCGCCAAAGTATGACTGGAGATGATGTTGCGCATGGCTGTCGTGTTGTTGGTTGTAGTTGTAGCCATGGTCAAGTTGCTGTTGTTGCGCTTGGTGCTCGGCGGCGGCGCTGGCCATGAGGCTCTGTAGAGTGAAGCAGCTCGTCGGGGGGGCGGCAAAGGTGACTGTCGTTGAGAGCTTGGGCGGGCTCGCGGGCGGCGAGACCATGCCCCGACCGGAGCGGTCGCATGGGAGCGCAGAAGGAAGAAGCATGTTGGCGATGATTGATGCCTTTGCTGTTGGCCGTTTGCAAGGGTGATGGGTAAGGGTTGGAAAGAGTGAATAGTGTCGGTTGGAAGAAAGAATGTAAAAGGGAATAGTCCAAGGTAGCTGAGGAGGGCAGGAATGTTCCTTTTCAAGGAGTCGATGAAAAGGACTATTGCTTTGTATAATGTAATATCTGATAAGTTTTGGCGCGGGCCGGTGAACCTTGTTTGGGCGGTGGTGCTGGTTGTCGGGTTGGCGGTTGAGAGGGTGGATTTAGAGGGAGGATGTTGTAAGTTGTAGGGGACCTAGATGGGCTGAATGGGAGGGGGCGAGGGAGCGCTCTAATAAAAAAAAAGCTCGAGAGCCGTCAGACTGGACGCCCTGGACTGGGCTGGCAGGTACTGGGGAAGCAGAGGGGGGTAGCCAGATGGGCGTGCCTGCCTAAACGTGTACCTTGTAATTTAGCGCAGGCACAGGCATGCTAGCGGCCGCTTCCAGCGTTGCGTGATGCAAACGCCTACTGGGAAGTTACCGGCACTGGTCAAACGTCCAGTCTCTCTTCTTCGTCCAGGGGCGGGCGCTATCTTATCCCATGGTTTTTTTTAGACGACTGGAATGTAAATCTGTTTCTTGGATCCTTCTTCCCCATCATACACTTGTGATCCGCGACGTCGCTGGTATTGGGTGTGATGTTTACACTATCACATCCCACGATGACAGCTGCCAAGGCGATTTGGACCAAGCAACCTTTCTTTCCTCCCTCCCTGCAACCACATTGTCCCCCCTCCTTCACTGACTTCGCACCGCACTATTCACTCCCTCCTCTCCCTTCGCCTTCTTCCTTTATTGTTTCACCCCCCCAAACGAACCACTCAATAACCCTCCCTTGTCCGCGAAGCGGGAGATCCACCTCTCCAAATCTCACAAGTCACAACTCACCTGACGTTGCCGCACGGGGCGCCAGTCAACCTGGCCAACCACCCGGCAACCAACTATCCAACAGACTGCATCGACAAACGCATCAAAGAGCACGAAACGAACAGCAACAAGACTGCCAACAGTCCAAAGAGAACAACAGAAACAGCAACAGCAATAACAGCAACAAATCATCAAAGGACCTCTTTCATCCAACACCATCGCCACAGTGATACGGCCGGCCCGATGCAGACCAACACCAATAGATTCAATCTGCCCTCTCCACCAAACCGCCTCCTGCATCATGCTCCCCGTCTTCATCATATGCAGGCACTTTACTGCAACTTTGACTTACAACAACCCCACACACGTACGATATATTGATCACTACTCAACTCCTCTTTCTACTCACAGCTGCAACCTCTTCCCGCCCCTTGCATCCCGTTAACCGATTGCTCGCATCCCGCTAACAACCCTTGCCACAACCCTTGACCCCTAGTTGTCCTGCCATGTCCAACTATTATTAACTGCCACTTTGTCCTGTTGCCATACACTCTCTAGACGACCTCTGCCAAAGCAAAAAAAAAAAAAAAAAAAAAAAAA